CCCCCCCCCCCCCCCCCCCCTCCACCGCCGCCGCTGCTGCGTACGACACCCCCTCTCACAACCACTTTTTCTCCCTTTGTTTGGTTGCGCTCGAACCCCTTTTTGTTGTTGGTCTGATGTTCAGATCGACCCTGCCTTGTTCTCCGCGTTTGCGGACTATTTACGACCCGAAAACACTTTGACGTGGAGGGTGTGGAAGGGCAGGGGGAGAGGCAGGATTAAGGGGGGAGTCGACGCGTCAGAGAGCGGCTCAGGGCAGGAGGGAGGGGCGGTGGAAGCGACAGTGAGGGGCGAGGGGGAGCAGCCGCTTCTGGAGGAGCGCTGGTGTGTCTTGTGTTGGCATTGAAATACGTTTTGTTTTGTTTCATGGAAAGTTCATGTATTTCTAGTGGGAAGATTATCGTGGCAGTCAAACCTACAGCGCAAGGTCGCGGTCTGGTAGATCCCCGCTGGTCCTTGATGGTCTCTGCCGACTTGGGTGTGTTGCGCGTTTGCCCCTCGTGCATTAACATCTACACCTTGAAAGGTCGCGAACCCTGTCCACAGTACCTCCAGCCGTGCCTCTGTAGTTCCGATTTGAAACCACCACGCCCCCCTCTTTCGTATTCCTTCCTGGCACCTGGCTCGACACCTTCGAACGCCCCCCTGCCTCCTCTCGTCCTTTTGTCCCCAAGGTACGGAGTGCCGTACGGGGTGTCTCCGACCCCTGCCAAGCTGCTGCAGGCTTGGAGCAACCCCTCGGAACGCCTCGAGAGCCGTCTCAAGCTCCCGGGGCCCAACGTCTTCATCCCGGACGACTTCTCCCTCTTCTGCGACACGGAAGGCCAAGACGGTGGTAGCGACAGCAACAGCGGGGCGACAGCGGCGGGGGGGAGGGTAGTACAGGGGGAGGCTAAAGGTAGGGCGGGGGTGGGTGTTTTTCAAGACCAGTCGTGGTCTCTCTGCTGCCGGGAGTGTGTGCTAGCGCAGGTAGAGAGGGGCTTTAGGTTGCCGCTGTACCTCGGCTGGGCTTAAGAGAGAGACCTCCCTATTGTAGTCAAGTCAGCCAGTGGCCACCAGAGCCTGCCTCTTGGTAGAGACTGTTGTCTTGCCGCAACCCCTCCGCCCCGTCCCAACCCCTTACCCTTTGCGCGCACTCTCTCTCCGATCCACAGAAGGAGTAATCAAAGCTCCCGATTTGTTGGAGACTAGCGACGAGGATGGTGTTGGGAAGGCGGGCCAGTTGTGGCACAGACTCGACACCTCTTTCCGACAGCCGCGCGCACAGGTTAGCCAAGTCGGCATGGTCAAAAGGAAACGGCCGGTGTCTTGTGTGTACAGTTCTGAATCCAGGTATAGCAGTAGTACAGCAGTAGGACGCGCTGGTGCAAGGCACATGTGGAGATCATTTTGGGATTCCCTCGGGGTGTCCCTCTCGAAGCTCCTTAACGTAACGGTTTCTCTCTCTCTCTCTCTCGACTCTGGTTGGAGGTAAGTCAGAGAATTGCCACGCCTGATGTTGAAGCGTTGCCGCTACAAGAGGTGGTCAGCAAGACGTTTTGGTCTAAAAGGGGCAAGCAGGAATTTACATACGCGTGGGATGGAAACGAGGCGCTTCTTGGAAAACTCTGCATAACCTCACCCGGTTCGTCAGCAATCAAAGAAAAGACTACCCGTTCGAAATTAACCACAGCAGTAGTCCCAAGTTTTTTTTTTTTGTGCTACATGTATGTTGTTCCCGCATACGGAGGATTGCTTTCTGGGCCCATTTTTTATACATATTTGTATATATATTTATATATATATTTTTCGTTCTAGAAAGGTGACCCCTCATTGGGCATTTGGTTGGCTCGTGACCTCGGAAGGCGTACGCCTCAGTTGGACCAGTACCAATGATAAGGTACTGAGCGTAGACCGGAACGATGTATATATGATGTGAAGACAAAAGCAACAACAATCAACAAGCGCAGAGAGCATCGTCGCCATCATCATCGTCGACTTGCTCTTGTTGGCAGGTGCGGGTGGTCCTTGCGACCCCTGTCATTTCGGACGCAGGAGCCAAGGGGCGTCAACACGCTCAGATCATGGCAGACATCCTCCACAAGGTAGGCATCGCTCTGATTGGTCAGTGCCAGGTAGCAGGTTGGGCGAGGGTGGTGGGGGGGGGGCATGGTCGTCGGTTGCTCATCTCAATGGAGAGATTCAGGGAGAGCGAGCAGTATGGAGACTAATTCCTTTGTTTTTTGCCATATTGTGCAAGTAGTTCGTTATGTATGGGTTTCCTTTCGTGTGGCCTTGCGAAGGAGAACCATGGGTAGTTGAGCGGTTTCGCGGTTGTTTCTTGGCTATCCATTTTGCGGTACGGCCAAGTCAGTCGGACAGTGTATGTGGCTGGCAGCGATGTCGATGTAAGTGTTTCTGGCGAGATGCCATGTGTACCTATGCACGATGTGCTAGATTTCGAAACGATAACGATCGTTTGTATAATATTACGTCTCCCCGACGACGTAGAGTGTCTCTCTGGGTGTTGTGATTCATCATGTGATGAGCAGCGCAAGCATCGGGAACTTGGATGGTATCGTATATGTTACTGTTTCTGTAGTCCGGGCCACCATCCTTTTGATTGGCCCACTAACTCTTGCCAGTCCCCCATCCTCATGGCCGTATTTCACCCATCTGCGCGTTTGATCCACCACTCTCAAGGTCCTCGCGCAGAGAACCTACGACGCGCAGCTGGCGGGTCTGCACTGGGGCGTGTCGCGCCACACGTGCGGGTACGTGCTACAGGTGTCGGGCTTCAGCCAGAAGATCGACCTCCTGCTGCAGCAGGTACGGAGCAGGAGAGCAGGGGCGTGTGCTCAATAGCCGTGCATGCCGTAGTCAGCCGTTAGACCATTGACCTCGCGTCCGGGACGGGGCACGCCGGGTGGGATCTCACCGGGCCAGGCTCTCACATGACCAAGCGCGAGGCGACGTGAGGTATTCGGCGAGTAGCATGGAGGGAGCAGGGGGAAAAGAAGGGCATTTGCTTCCAACCGGCCCTCCGCTTCCACCCGCCTGCACGCCCACCACCAGCGTTTAAGAGAGAAGGAACTGACCGCCGATCCATGTATAGCGTCAATGTGTTCTTTTGTAGGGTATCGTATGGTACATGTAGAGGTCACATGAGTGTTCGAGTGGCTGGCGATTGTAACCCAGCATGAAGAAGCTCGTTCGCCCTGTGCTTGTTTCGGTTCTCGCCCCCATGTATTGATTGTTGCCCGCTTGATGGTGCGAAAGCAGAAAGAGAGAGTTGATGATGGCTAACCTTCGTCTATTTCCTGTTGAGACACACTGACGACACCATCCATATCCATATCCATATCCATATCCATATCCATGATCTGGCTCAACGTGACGACAACAACAGGTGGTAGAGGCGTTTCTCGACCCGGTTGCGGCGGCGGGGGGCCCGGAAGAGTTCGCGAAGCAGTTTCAGCTGGCCAAAGAGCGGGCCCTGATGCGCACCAAGAGCTGGGTCATGAGCCGCCCCGACGAGGTTGCTCACTACTACACTGGCTTGGCCTTGTGAGTTTTGCGGCACACGTGACGAGAAAGGTGTACCCCGTTTTGGGTGTAGTTGGTCTCTGCGTCCGCGTCAGTTGGACCAGTACGGGTATTAGAAGGTACTGAGCGGAGACCGGGACGTTTTTTAATGTGAAGACAGCAGCAACAACAACATTTGTCATGTCTCGACGTTTGGCCGATTGTCGCGTCAGAGATATGTAGATGGTTGGCTTACTACTGTTGATGCGTTCAGCGTAACAAGAATCCCTGAGGTTGTCGTCGTGTCAGCGCCCCGTTGGCCCGCGGTGTCGGTTTTTCCTGCCACTGCTTGTCAAACGAGTACACAGATTGTATGCATACAGATACGGCAATGTCGTGACTCCTGCTTGAAAGAATAATCGGTCTCCTTTGTTTTTGGTATTGCAGTAGAAAACGTTTGGCGCGTGATATATAGACAAAAAAAAATCCCACGCTCGATTCGTCCGTGTCACCTGTGTGGTAATTTTCCATATTTATGAGACACTTTCATCGAATTTGCCCCCGTCCGTGACCTATCTCGTTTCCCCTTCGTTTGTTGTTGTCCTCGTTGCTTCTTTTCGTTGGCTGTGGGGAGTATTTGTCATCAGAGGTCCCTGTTTGGTGCCGGTTGAATACATAGTGCCAGTGGTTTCGGCGGGCACACACTGAATATCCAAATCAAGGTTAATGCTTTGAACAGTGCCGGTCGGTCCGGTATAGTGCCGGTCAATTCTCTGGGCACATACCGGCACTATACAGGGATCTCTGCGGCGGAACACGCAGCTCACGTACCTTTCGCAACGTGCGTGCTGCGCCTTGCGCAGGAAGCTATCCGACGACCTCGTCCCCGACCCTGGGCACATTAAGGCGGCCGAAGCCACCAACCTGGAGGAATGCCTGTCGCAGCACAAGGAGGCTCTGGCCAAGGTGCTTCCCGTAGGCCTCGTGTACGGAAACACTTCTCAAGACGACGCCAGAAGGATCTGGAAGACGGTGAGGGAGAGAGGGGGGCGGGGGGCGGGGCGGGTACTCTTTGCATGCGTTGTTAGTGGTCAGACCATTCGGTACCCTTCGTCGTACCTCCTTTTAGCCCGGAGAGGAGGGGGGTGTACTCATTGCCTTGCATGCCGTGGTCGTTAGACCGTTTACCTCGCAACCCTGCAAAGCCGGGACGGAGCACGCCGGGTTTTCACCGGACCAGGCTAATAGCACATCACCAAGCGCGAAGCGCCGTGAGGTATTCGGCGGGGGGGGGCGGGGGGGGGGGGGGGAGAACAACGATAACAATAAGGGTCCCCCAATTGAGGCCTGGTAGCCTTTGTCGACGATACACACTCCGACCACTGTCTTGTTGCTCCCCCGACCCACCCACTCCCTTTTTGGCTAATCACGCAGATGACGGAAAGGCTGGACGCTGCGGGTTGCCCCCCTCTCCCCGAGGATGAGTACCCCCGCTCGCTCACAAGGCCTCCTGCCTAGAGGCAAGCGGGTCAACCTCCGGCTGGACGTCCCGAACAGACACGATGAGAACTCGTCAGCGGTTGCTTACTTCCAGGTGCGTGTGCGTGTGTGTGTGTGTTTTCCACGAAGGTGACGTCCGTCTTTGTGCGCCTTTGGTGGCCCATCATCGTCCCGATGGGTCCATTATCATCCCGATGGGTCCATAGTCATCCCGATGGGTTCATCATCGTCCCGATTGGGCCATGATTGGTCCCATCAAAGGCAAGTGTCTGTTTTTTCGGGTAGATTAGTGGGGGTCCTGGACCTTAATGTCTTTTTTGGCTCCACTGTCACCGGGTTTTGTCCTTTCCTTCTTGTCGTCGCGTCCCATGTGTACGCGCTCGTCTACAATCCGAGACAGCAAAAATAGAGCAATAATGAAAGTGCTGGCACATTTTTTGGTCGTGATTTCGTTGAGAACACAACCGCCGCAATCAGTGTTTACTGGCTGTCGCCCGTGCGCATCAATGTGCGTGTGTGGTCCGACTATGTCGATTGTCACGAACAGCTTGGAGAGCGCGACGAAAGAAGGGCCGCCACGTTACTCCTGCTGAGCCAGATGATGCGGGAACCGTGCTTCACGGAGCTGCGGACCAAGCAACAAATCGGGTGGGTCTCTCTCTCTCTCTCTCTCTCTCTCTCTCTCTCTCTCTCTCTCTCTGTGTGTGTGTGTCTCTGCCTTCCTTAATCTAGCTGGCTTCACGCGTTGCTCCTGGGACAACGGTAGATACGATTGTGTGTTTGTTTTTCGAGAAGTTGATCGTACTCCTCGTGGAATTATCAACATGCTTCGTGCTGCTTGGGCCGAGGCCGCGTGCTTCTATTCGTGGCAAGGCGCTGCGTGGCGGCGTGGGGAGATATATGACCATGCTCTTGCCGCTGTTTCTGCCGTTGTTTACGTTCTGTCTTGTTTTGGAAGGGTGGATGAGCGGTGGAAGTATTTTTCTACCCTGCAGCCCTTGTGTTTCGGTTTTCGGTTTCAGCGCCCCCTCCCCGGCGTCTCCCCCCCCGGCGCGCTCTCCCGAGCCTCCTATTCCCTTACCCTGCCCTCAACCTGTAGAGCCCGGTGCCGACCCTGTACATGGCGGATGCGGGAGGCCTAGCCTTTGTTGCGTAACAAGCACCTTCGGACGCCCTCTTTCGTTTCCAGGCGCCCAACATTAACATCTTATCGTGATCCATGCGCCCAACGCAAGCATGAAAGACTTTCATCCCATCCCCTCCGACTGTTGTTATATCTCGAACGGGTACAGTAGTATTTCTTTGATTGTACGTATTTTTGGTGTATTTCCTGACGATCTTATCGTGATCGTCGTCTGGGTCGAGCAGGTACATCGTGTCCAGCGGGGTCCACAACTACGGCAGGGGGGCAAGGCAGCTCGGGTTCTCCGTGCACGCCCTGTCCAAGACCCTCGGCCCCGATGAGATCTGCTCGCGCATCGACGCCTTCCTGCCGCAATTCCGAGAGCTAGTTCGCAACATGTCCGATGAGGTGCGTTTTGGGTGTACCGGGGGTTGTTGGGGCGCGGGGCGGGGGGCGGGGGGGGGAGAAGAGACTTTGGTTTGTCTTCCGAAGCCCGTTTTCGATTTGTCTGCGTGAGGCAGGAGAGTGCAAAGTTGTGAACTTCAGCGGCGGAAAGTTGATTCACAATTGTATGAGACGCCAGCGACATGAGGTGACTGATCTTGCACTTTTGAAAAAAATCTAGGGCGCTGTGTGTACCTCACAATCAAGTCCCGAACTTGCTGTCTTGGCTGTCTTTTCTTCTTGCTGTGCAGTTTTGTTAGGGTGCCACCGCATTCGCGGTTGGTTGGTTGTTGAGATATCCGCACAAGAAAGCTGTGTGTGATATGATGTACCACTTTCTTTCTTTTCATTTTGTCTTCTGCTGTGGGCAGGAGTTCGACATGCACGTGGGCAGCCAGGTGTCGAAGCAGCTAGAGCCCCCGACCAAGGCCGATGCAGAGTTCGGCTTGATTCTCGGCGAGGTATGGTGCGTCGGCGTCATTGTCACGAATGGACTATTCTATTCTATTCTAGTCATGACCATCGTTCTTCGGGACGCGATCAATCGATCGTGTCGTATTGCAACTTCGAAGGCATGCTAATATTTGCGGATTGCTGCGTACAAACGAAATATTTCGTCTAAGAGAAAAATAGGGTCAAGTAATTTTACGAAAAATAAGAAATCATCGGAATATTCCTTGGCGCATACAAGGGCATGTGTGATCTGAACCCCCCAAATGAAAAAGGAAGTAAATCTCCGGGCTACATGTACTGTAGCAAAAAACAAAATGTAGGCGGTCCTGACCCATTGCTCGTGGTGAGAGAAAAGAGCTGTGGTGAACAATATCCTTTTCTCAGACCGTCAAAGGGCAGATGAAGCTACGTACGTACATGACGCGGATTGCAGGTAGGCTTGTTTACGAACAGGTAGGAGTGGCAAACAGCGGAGATGATAGGGGATTCCATCCAACCCCCCTTTCAGTACACTCCCCCCCCCCCCGCCGCCCCCGGTGTTTGCCATCGGGGTTGGGTTTTCGTCGCTTGGCAACGACGTTGTAAAACAAGCCCCCCCCTCGGTGTTTGCCATCGGGATTGGGTTTTCGTCGCTTGGCAACGACGTTGTAAAACAAGCCAATTCACTTCGTGAGCTTGGCTACCAGGTTGCCGGGGGTTTTTTGCCTTTGTTTTTTTTGGCGGTTTAACCATGAATGGTGGTCGAGTAGATCATGTTGTGCGGGGTCGAGAACCCTCACTCCGCGCAAGGGGGATGATCGCACCACGTTGTGTTAAAATGGTCAAGCATCCTCGAGGCAGTTACACAGTGCTTACAACTGTCTCTGGAAGTGAAAGCACCAGAAAATAAAGTAAGTCATACGTAGCTGTCATCCGTACGCAAGGAAGTAAGCACAATATGCCGAACACCCTTAGCAGGATGCAGCTCACCCTTCATGCGACTCGCCAAATACCTCACGGCGATTCGCGCTTGGTGATGTGAGAGCCTGGTCCGGTGAGAACCCGGCGTGCTCCGTCCCGGCCTTGTAGGGATGCGAGGTCAATGGTCTAACGACTACGGCATGCACGACTATGAGTACACCCCCCCCCCCCGTTCTCTCCGTGTGCCGCGTGATAACGTTGACGTTGCGAAAAGGTTTTCTCGGGCGACCTCAAATGGGACCGGGCGGCGGTGAAGGCTGAGCTGCTCAAGACCATCACCCGACAAGAGGTGTTGGCCCTTCTAGGTGGCGAGATGCTGGATGGCGATGGCGCCAAGCGCGTGAGTGTGTCTCTGGTGTTTTCTTCGCGTTGCTGCCGGGGAGGTAGACACTAATTAATGTTGTTCGTTCTTCTGTACGTGAAAGCTTGCTTGGCGTGAGAGGATGATGATCTCACTGCTGCTGTGGCAGCTAGCCGGGCATGGATGTGGAGGACTCAAATCCTCAAGCAGTAGTGTCCTGCAGTGTTTCGGCGTCACGTGGGTATGGGGTGTACCCCGTTTTCACCCGAACGGTTGATGCCATGGGCCGAGTTTTGATGGTTTGTTTTCCTCCCCCTTTGTGTCGATTCACCTCTACCTTCACCACCGAACCAAACCCACATACAACACGACACGACACACGGTGTGTCGTCTGTGAGTTTGGTTATAGGTGGTGGACGTAGAGGCTAATAAACAATACAGAGGAGGATGACAAAAAAAAAATCAATACTCGGCCCGTGGCATCAGCCGTTCGGGTGCAAGCGGAGCACACCCTCTTGCGCACGCGATGCTAAACCACATGTTTGTCCCAGGCCCAGTGCGACATCGACAAGGACATCGGCAACGACAACTCCATGTGTTTGACGTTTCAACGCCGGCTAAAGCTGTGCCGTGGCAGTGATGTGCTTACATACGTGTTGTCTTGTTTGTGTTCAAGCCTTGCTTGCTTTTCGGTTGATGTGCAGTTTTGGTTCCCTGCCTCTAACCACGCGAACAACGCGGAATTTTCGGCCAGTTTCAGAAGCAGCCGTTTATGATGCTTGCCGTGGACGCCCTTAGACATTTTGGGGGTTATCGCTTTTGCCAGTCTGCCGGTCGCGCTCTCCCTGTGTTGTGTTTGTGCGGTGCCCTCGACTAGCTTTGTTGACTGCAAAAAGCAAGTCATGTACCAGTCGGACGCTGGTCAACCATTTCCAACTGCCTGCGAAGAACGTTTGTTTCCTTTCCGAGAGGACGAAAAAACAACTTGAGCCTCAAAAAAACTTTCCGACTTGTAAGAATGGCTGCACAAGAATCGGCCTTGGTGGCGAATGTTTTTTGCTTGTTGTACGTTCGCTACAACAACGACAGTGAGTCCCATGCCCTTCGTGAGCGACGGTTGCGGTACACGGTAGCGACCGCGCACGAGTCCTGCTTTCCCTACTCGCGCGCTGTAGAATGATCGTTACGCGTAGTGCGGACGTTGGCTCTTACTGCTGTAGCTCGGCACGCTCGTTGTGCTTTTAGATGCACTCATTGGTACGGCATAATGTGTGACTTGGTTCTTTTGTACTCCTACGATATGCTACATCTTACGTGCGTGCAGCTGAACGTGCTGGTATACGGCAAGAACCACCCAAGACCAGAGCACAGCTCAGAGGACGAAACGTGAGTGCCGTTTTTGGCTGTTTTTTGTTGTCGCTGGCAGTGGGGCGAGTGCCGCGGGTGAAAAAAGACATTTTCAATGCACTAGCTGTAGATCCTTGCGAGGCGTCCTGGGAGAGACGTGGTTGATTTGATGTGGAACTGTCTCGGCGAAAACATGCACGCGAAAATTGTCGTGCCAAGTGCGAGAGAGAGAGAGAGAGAGAGAGAGAGAGAGAGAGAGAGAGAGAGAGAGAGAGCCTCGTTGTTTTCCCCCTATCGTTTATGGGACGGGAGCGGACCACCTTCTTTGTGGTGAGGCTTGATGAACACGCCCTCCCGCTCTTTTGGCCATCCTTGTTGCTTCGTTCTCAGTTCTACTGTTTGCGTGCCATGGTCTACTGTAGGAACACCCCCCGCTAGGTTGAACCTTGCGGTTGGGTGGAGAGATGAAATCACACGTCGGTGGGTTTAGGCTGTAGTTTTGGCACTGTCTCGTGAGAAACAAACTGAGTACGAACACAAATACTCATGTAGCGATGCCCTTGTCCCCGTCAAGTCGCAACTTGTCCGTGTGCTGATGTTCCTTCTCCCACCCTCGACGCTTTCCACGGAATGCAGAACGGCGATCGAACTGGTCCCGGAGACCCTCCAGGCCTTCACGCGAACCCTGGCAATGCAGGACACGACGGTGACTCCTCAACAGGCCATCGCCAACGCCGCATCATCGTAATCATCGCTGGCCGGCGCAAACAGCGCTTAGTTGTTGGAGCCAGGTTGTTGTCATCATATCGCCACGGACACGGTGCAGCAGTTTCTCCGTGAGATGGTAAATACCGCCCTTGGCCAGCACGATAGACAGCGACAAGCACCACGGGACGTGGGTGGAGCAACCCATCACGCACTCTCTTTCGTTCCGTTTTTTCCAGGATTGGCGGCTTGATTTACCCCGCAGAGTAAGCGAATGAGCTCTTGAAGCGGAAATTCTGTGAAACACGATGTAGCGTGGCAGCGTGTTGCCGGGTTGCCTGTGTAGCCCGGGTTCTTGTCTAGTTTCCTCACGAAATGTTGTTGATGGAATGGTGTTTGTTTAGTGTACCAATGCCTTCTGTCGATGTGATAACTTTGCAAGGATGTTCGAGCATCCAAAGGAGAGACCAGCTTTGAAACGCAACAATCGACACCTGCTGCCTTACACAAGCAGGATCCCTTACGCGGGAAAACAGTCATGTGCGTGTTTACATGCCACGCTCGAGGAGCACGTCGGGCGTTCGGTGTAATGTAAGTATTCTGTGCTTGGAAGTATTGTAGTTATTTTCCAGCAATACTCTCCTGGTCAGTGTGAAGGGGTGGGTGAGTCCAATCCGGCCGCGGAACAGGATTAGGATTAGTTTCCAGCGTGTTTAACCATTGTCAACAGACAGTACTCCGGTGTCTAGTGCTGGCGGCGTGTCGAGCTGCTCAAGTGGTCTCCGTGTTTTTACTACTTTTTGGGGGAGATGATTGAACAACGGTTGTTACTTTTATGGTGTCGCCAATAAGTACACGGACCCACGGATCAGCTTGTTTTCATGCCACGGCCAAAATTGTGCGAAACCATTTCGGGCCCACGGAGCGAGAGGAAAGACAGTAGTCACGGGAAAAAAACATCGTTGATCTCTTTTCGTGCCGCTGGTGTGTCTGGGCCACTAACGTGCGCCACAGCTCGACAGGTGTCTCAACACGGGAACAATCACTCCACGGCACAAGTTGTTGTTCTCACATTTGCTCTTAGTCCACAAAAATGGGGAGCCCGTGGCCGCAAACACCCGGCACGTACGACGCCGCGGGGAAACAAAACAAAAATAGGGTACAAACCACTCGAGTGTATATGATGTAACCTTTTTTCATCGCCGAAGCACCGCAGCTACCAACACCCCGAAGCCCTTCGGTTGCTCATCAGTCATCAGTTCTGTACTTGACAAAGCCCGTTCGGCAACTGCCCCTTGAAAGCCTCAACCAAGGTGCATCCTTTGCCACCCGTACCAAAAGCGTCAAGACATAGACTGGGAGGCTCTTCCTCTCTAATTCATCCACGAGTGGGCTGAGAAAAGTACCGCACCTGTCTATTATACTAATGCGTGTCATCTCGCAACGGGACCGGTTGTGAATCTAACGAGATCACTGGTGGCGACGTGCGCCGCCCTAAATCCTCAGTAGGAAAAGGCTAGAGAGCGCTATCAAGAGAGCCAAAACGTCTTGAGCTTTCTCTGATATCTCTGTACGGACGGCGGTTGCTTTTTTCTGTGCATTGTGAGCCAAACCACACTCTTCGACAGTACCCCAAAACTTTCACCTAAGACTCGAGTCGCCGACAGACAGAGGTGCCACGAACGCCGTCGAAACCCAGACAACTCAAGCTACGGAACATACCTCTCCATCTAAAAACGCGCCCTTCCCTCCGAGATTCGGTGTTGTCTGCGGCCTCAATGTCCCCACGCAAAAACCCACAGGAAGCCAAGAACGACACAGGGGGCCGATGCCAAAGCAGTTTAGTGCCTGCCGGGCTTCTTTATTAAAAAGCACAGAAAAGGTCTGCTCTCACGTGTATCCTGACCCCGAAAGCTTGACTGATTGCACAGGCGTCGACTTTCGCACCAGTACAAACACAAACTCGTTCAGGGGAGATGACATTATTAGATTAACTGCCCGGTACGTCAAAATCTCAAAGCCCACGAAGCTCTTGTAACAGCCAGAACGACCAACTTCGCCAGTTCCAGTGCGCTCTGCTGTGATGCTAGTCACAGCATCATGTGTCAAACAGGAGAAGGACGGTCGATATTTCAACCTCTCCGTCTAAAAGAGCTGTGGGATCGCTTCAGGCTGCATGGCCACGAGGGGAGCGGGTGCCTTAGGCGGAATCGGGGGCAGGTAGATACCCCCGTGCGCGTCGGTGGTCTCGTCCCGCGAGATGCTGTGCACAGGTTGAAACACGCCTAGCCCGGGCCGAACGCCGGTAACACTTGGGTGCAGCGTGCATTGGCGTGAGGTCTCTCGTACACCTGAGCAAGACAACAGCAGTAGGTAGGCGGGGTAGTTCTGTTCAATACAGGGCAGCAACCAGGGCATTTGGAGCACAAGACGAAGCAAAGAGGAAGACGGTTTGCGTGCTGCCCGCATGTTCTCGTCGTTTACACGGTAGCGTGTCGCCGTTGCACTATTTCGTTCAAGTTTAGTAACCCTACTGAGGTGTGCATTGCCGCTGTAACGAACCACACGGCGATTGATCACACGTGAGTGGTTGGCGCTTTGAGCGCTTGCAACCAAAACCTATTAATTAACTTAGGTGCAGGATTCCTGTGACCAGCACGGTGTGTACAACAGTAGCCCAAGACAGGGAGCAAACGCTGCTGTGTGCAAACAACACGCAACTTTCAACTGAACATCAATAATGTCTGCTCAAAGATCTAGGGCGGCGGCTCACGAGAAAAACAACGTAGTGTTGACGTGCCGCGCCCACTCTCGCCGAGCGAAGATAGCCGAGACTGGCGGGGGGGGCTCAGAACGAGACCCCCTCCTAAAGGTCGTCAAGGCCGGGGGTTTGCTATACCACGGACGTAACGAGCGAACGGCACTGGTGCTTTCGGAAGCCGACGCGCGCACCGCACAAGACGAGCGCGCGAAAGGCGACCGAGCCATTCGCCCTGACTTGCGCATGGAAGATGGTTAGTTCGATGCTCACTGCTGTACACATGGCGGCGAGAGAGGGACGTGTACAGTCGTTGCCGGAGCTGTCTGGGTCTACAAGTCTACTGCTGTAGTTTCTCGATCCAAGGATGCTGACTGTTCCCCCCTTGTTCCTACGAGTGGGCCGTTGTGGGTCTCTTGCTACCGAAGGAACCATGGGGCACTGAACGTCCCAATTGTTCGAAACCTGCCTGCGTATACGTACAAAACACCAATATGAGGCATTCATGGTACGTACAACACCAAAGGGGAGTCATATCAACAGGTTGATCGCATAGGAGGGTGGTGGCTTTCAAGGAGACGTCGAAGGCGCCATCAGGACGGAAAGACCACCGACGGGTTTTTGAGGAAATGACAATGTGGGTCTGGAGGGGCAGCTGAAACGCACGCATAATTCAACATGAAAATACTTCACGACCGCATGGCAAGTGGCGCACGCCTCACCGCCTACAACTATGCATAGATGGGTGCCATGATGTAGGCACAGCATAGCCCAGTTCTTTCATTGAACGGGCAAGAGAGGGCAAAAACTGTGTGGTGGTTCAGAGTTCGAGAGAGAGAGAGAGCGCGCGCGAGGAAGCCGATCTCAACGCGAAAGCCGCCAGACCTTCAACAGACCCAGATGTATGGCCCACCTGAGTTCTCCTGCAGCTCGCTTCCTGGCATGTCTTCCGCAGTCGGAGAAGCCTGGCCACTCATGGCGTTCTTGGCTATCAGGAGATCGTTGCTTGTGTTGCAGTCAGTGTTATGGCTCACGTGATGGACAGGAACCATGCCTGTTTCCAACAACAGGACGAGTTGGTGGTGCTCATGGCTCGCCTCATCAGGATGGCGAGACTTGTAGGGTAAGGTCAAACGTGCACACGGTGGCAGTAGTGCGGGCAGTGGGCGGTGTGGTGAGAGGTGAGAGGCATCGCACCACCAAGATGCGGCGAAATAAGGGCGCAACGGGGTATGTGAGGATTCAAACAATCACAGTCGAGGGGCCCCCTAACCACCGAACCAGCCGGCGCAGACAACGGACATAACACCCCCAACCCGCTCATCTCTATCTCCGTTACCGTTCAGGTAAGGCATCATGTGTTAGCTATGGACCTGCTACACTGATGATGATGTGGCCAGGACATGCAATCCCGTGTTGCTGTGTAGTGAGTGTTTCGTACTCTTGCATGTGTAGACTTACCGACAGGTCTACATCATTTGCAGTACAATGTACTGTACTGGTCACTGAAACAGGAACATTCACCTCCCAAGTTACTACAGCGATGTGTGCACACCAGTTCGGAAGTATTTGCAGCAGAGTTGAACTTCTACTCTACAGCGGCAGCTTGGGTGTGTTTGTGTGCTCGCCAGCGAGTGTGCGCCGTGTACCACACTGTTCCTGTAGCGATTTTGGGGACTGAAACTGACTGTTCGTACCATCCAACTGTACCTGAGCGGACGGAACAGGGGGCATGGGGCATCCTAAGTTGCTGTACTGACTCTGTAGCATAGTCTTTCGGTCAAGTGCACTTCCTGTGCAGCCTACCGGGGTAATCATCGTCCCGCGAAGGGATAATTTAATGGTATGCTTAATAGCAAGCCCCACCAACGAAGATGCATCAAGTTATGCAATACACAGAGTCGACACCCGTGACGCTCGCCATTAGTAGGTACTGCTGTATCAGCAGGTTCTGTCCGTGGCCTACAGCGAGTATGGGTGAGTATGAGATGAGATTTCACAAGCAATCGGAATCCTTTCAAGTACTGTTGTGTACACTTGCTCGTGTAGTAACCCTGGTCCACCTCTGCAGGTTTGACGAGGAAACCAAAACGACCTTGAGCTCTCAGGCCGACAGCTTCCGAACGCAACCATGGCCGAGGAGAAGCCGATGACCGTTAAGGAGCGGATGGCAGCGTTAGCTCGTGCTTCCGGACAGAGTTCAGGTTTGCATAGGTTACCGAGAGCGACGCTCAGAAATGAGTGTGTTGCAGCGGTCCCCGTGCTTGCATAGGATCTCAACTGCTCCAGAAGCTCTAGGTAGACATGCGTATGTTTTCGTGTTCGGTGAATTGTCGGACACAAGCGTGGCATTGTGGCAGCCATTATCTCGACACTTGGGTTGCACGCCGGAGCGTCTGCAAGCATTCAGAGAAACGCCGGAATGATTTCTAGCACTTTATGCATACCTTCAGCACGAACATATCTGCATCGAGTTGTTGCGTGTGGCTACTCCGCAGGCCACATGATACGAGGCACTGCTGTGTCTGCCTGCCATTTTCAATCGGGGCTTTGCAACCCCAGTTAGGTACGTCACGTCTGATATCCGGCAGCAGGAAGTTGGCCCATTTTCAAACCTGCTTGGGCTCGCTCGCGGATAGCATAGGTGTGTACTGTAGCACTAGCTCGATTTCCTTGTGCATCCTCCGGAGTGCGGCCTTAAAAGCTGGTCTGCCTGAGGCAGACAGGTACCGAGGTCTACCTTTCGACTGCCACTTTCAAACACCCACGGGAAGGCGCTACGGCGTTTCCGGGGCACACGGCTGCATCGCTGACGGCCTTGCCGTCCACTGAGAGTCGAACCCAAACGGCCGATTTTTTCTCATGTCCCGTTGCGACATCCATTCGCACGCGTCGTTCTCCCCCCCCTCCCGTCTCGGGCACAGCCGCCCCCGCTCCCGTGCCGAGGGCGAGCGGCGCCGCTACGGGACCCTCCGTCGCAGAAAGGCTTGCCAAGATGCGAGCAGGACCAGCTGACGCTCCGACAGGAGACGCCCCACGGCTGGTGCGAACCCTCACCCCTCACCCTGGCGCCCCGACGGTAGTCACGTCAATGCCCGGCGGAGCTGGAGGTGGGAAACCCACTTGCTACGTACGCGTTTGACTCGAGAGTTTCCAGGATGATCACTGCTGGCGCCTGTTGACGGTTGCGTGCGGAAGCGGCTCAAACAAAAAATAGGTGCCGTACAGATACGAAGGAACGGCGCGGTCTGGATGTCCCCTGGTTGCAGCTGTTTGTGCATGCCACGGGATACGTGTGCATGCACTCGCGTCTGGACCGAACTGAATGATCTGAAAGTTCCGACACGTGGCGTCTATATACTACTGCTGCCGCCCTGTGGCCTCTCCGCCGCTACTTGATTTTCTCTCTCGTGTACGTTGCCTTCAAGAGGTTCCGCCGCCATTTTTCGGCTTCCCCGCATCTCATCGCTTGCAACAATGCAATGCCACGCGCTGTTTGCCGCCGGCTTTGGCGACCAATAACCTGACCCCTCGCCTGCCTAGCCATGCCTGTGACTACTGTTTTCCTAAACACCCGAACATTGGTTCCGTTGCTGCGCGCTTGAAAGATTCCTCCAAAAGCGGGGGCTCCTCCAGCGTTGCGGACAGAATTGCCTCCCTGAGCGGAAGCGGAAGCGGCAAGCCCTCTATCCTGCCGCCCAGCCCCTCAGGGAGACCGGCTGGTTCGTCAGTCTCCCCGGCAGCTGGAAAGACATCGGTGAGAGGCGAAAACTCCGACCGTATTGTACCACGATCATCTTCGATCATCTTCGATCATCTTCGGGGTCTTTGCATGCCCCCCCTCCTCCTCCCAACAACGAAGCAGCACGGATGAAATAATCGTGGAATAGGGTACGACTTGTGCGAAATCGAGAAGTGTGATCTGGTCGATCGACGGAAGCACGCTTGTGCCCATGTGAGGGATGAGATTGGTATCACTCCCTCATATTGGGAAGGTGAATGATGAGTACCTCCCAGCTGTCCGGTACTTAGTTTTGCTGTGTATGCATAGCCTGCGCTACACAGGTAGCATGCGTAGGTCCAGGGGGAGCTTGGAGCACACATGGACAAAACCAGAAAATCATTTCGCAAACGGCCTCACACAAGAAATCCGTGCCCTGCCATCTCCCGCCCACCTCCCTACCTTGAAAACACAACTGATAAAATTTACCCAGCAGCACGGTGAAGGTGAAGTGTCCGCACCGGCAGAAGCTCCCGCCGCGTCCAAGCTTTCGCCTGGGCTTGCAGCCCGCTTGAACGCGATGAGATCGAGCACAGATTATGTGCCGGAGGGGGAGGAGGGGGAGGAAGAGGAAGAGACTCCGCCCCCCCCGCCTGCTTTGGCCACGTCCGGGTCGAGCTCTTCGTTTTCGAAGGTGTCCCCCGGTCTCGCGGCTCGTATGGGGAAAGCCTTCCCAATTCCTATGCCTGGTGGTGAGCAGCCCTGTTGATAGATTGGATTCTCTTCCTGTTGTCCATGCGTGTGTGAACCGTTGCAAGGACTTCGAACTTATGCCGCGCTTTGCTGCTTTCAGTAGCTTGCTGGAGTTTTGGTGGTTGGTTTACACTCCGATGTCGATGACATACACGCGGTTCAAGGCCACCTTGGTTTCTGCGTAGAAGATTAGCTGTTGACAAGAGCTTTTGTCTTGACAAGAGCTTTGTCTTGTCTAGTGTGAGTGCTGATTAAAAGTAGTGAACAGTAACAAAGAAAGCTTTGGTTCTAATTTGACGTACGTGTTCCCAGGTGGTATGCCGGCAGGGGGTGTCGCGGAGCTGAAACGTCGCAAACAAGAGAAAGAACAGGCGGAGAGAGCGGCAGCAGGCATGCCCGAGGAGCCAAAGCCGTCCGAGACTGCAGTGGAGCAAAAGCCCGGCGAGCTGCAGCACGTGAGTATTTATCTGCTTGCACATCAGGAGGAATAAAGTCGACCGGTTGGTAGACACGTTAGTGCGCCGTCTACCGTTCCTGATGTGACTACTATATCGTGTTGTGCTCGTCTACCGTTGGTGGAAGTGATAATGTGTCGCGCTGGTCTTGGCGACGGTGGTTCACCCGGGGGTTGGGTGGAGGTTTATTATTTTACATGTGATACGTACAGGAAGCGTTCGGCACTTGCAGGTTTTTGGGGCGATCGTGGCAATTTTCCTCGTGTGTTGCGAATGCGTACTGTACCTCAAGACACGATGCCTATGTGCACGCCGCCCCCCCCATCCGGACCTTGTCCACGAATCGAACAGGCGAACCTATCCCGTCCTACTATTTCCCAAAGAAGGCGGCCCCGCAAGGCAACCAGGCCGTTCAAACCGACCGCGGCAGCAGCAGCAGCAGCAGCCCCAGCATCTCCACCGTGTGCCACAGAACCAGAAAATACAACCTCGAGTGTGCCGGAGAAAGCAGCTTCGCCGCTTCCGGCAACAACGGGTGCATCGTCGGAAGAAAACACGGCAGAGGAGACGGCTGCCCCGGCAGCAGCAGCAGCAGCAGCAGCAGCAGCAGCAGTAACACCAGCACAAGAGGAAACGAACTCTGTTGGCAAGATGAATTCCATGTTAAAGGCCGCGTCGATCGATATTGCCGGGGGTGACGGGGACGATGACGAATGGGACGAGTAGAAGTGACATGCGCAACGAGGCGGGTCCCAGCTTAGATCCACTGGGTAGGTTTGCCAATCGTTTGCAACACGGGGCGTGTGCGCGTATGTGTGCTTAGATCGCCTCTGCCTCGTATGTGTGCTTACTTAAGTGAATTCTAGTTTCTGAGACCCTCGAGGTACGTAAATGCTGGCTCCTTCGGCCTTTTCGTTGTTCGACTGAAGCCTTAATAGTTTGGATTGGGTTTTGCCGTGTTGCATCGGAGGTCCTTCCCAACGGCCTCGCATGCACCGCTCTCTGCGTAGAACACCATAACTACGCACACCTAAGAGTAGATTGGACTCGTCTGTACACATTCTTACAGCACCCATGTACAGCATGGGGTCCTTCTCAGGGCAGGGGAACCCCCAAAGCCTGGGCCTAGCTGGCCTACGTACCGACACGGTTTGTTGGCTACTCGGCTGAACACACCTTTCCATAGTCCTCAGCCCCACCCAAAAGAGTTGGGAGTGACTTTGATATGTACAGAGCAATATCCAACGCGCATGAATTTCGAATTTTCCCAGTTGCAAATTGGGGTGTTTGTCACCACTATCCGAAACCGACATTTTTTTTCGGGGTTGTGATGTGACAGAAAAACAGCCATTTGTCAACACACTCCCACAAACCTATCATTTTTGTCTCCCTCAACCTTGAAATCAAGTCAAATGATAAAAAATTGCGTCAAGCAGCATCTGAACCGTCATTGAAATCAAGTCAAATCAAGCGAAACAATTTGCTGCTAGCAAGGAGTTTTTCTGCACAGCTTGCTGCTTCCATATCTTCACATCACACGGAGTGCTCGCACGAGGTTGTCGGAGCGCGAACATTACTCATCACCTCCAAACACATATACTATACATGTGGATTGCGAACGAATATTTCATGTGTCCACGAAATTCGACTTCAAGGTCGACGAGGGCAAGCGACTGCTGCATCCTTCTCGCGATACACAAGCACCGCAGACGCAAAATAGAGAAATATATACTCCTATCCTACGTACCTCCAGTGTTGTCTTTTCCTTCCGTGTCCCCGACTGGTGCGTCCAAAAACCATCCAATACAATACCGAAAGAAACGACAGGTTGCCGGTGACGGCGATCCTTAACCAAGAAAACGAACATATGCATACATGCAGAAATGTTGTTTATCCCGCCAACACAAAGTGGCGTCTTGAAGTGGTCAGCCTGTTAGAGCGGTCCATGCTGACTCACGAAACACACAAACGAACCGTCACAAACGCTAGCATTTGATCGCTGCTATTGGGCTTTGCTGTCAGGGCCAGCCCATTTTCCACTACTACTTCTGCTTCAAATCGCTTCGTATACACACTTGTGGTGTTCGACTGCGCTCGAAGAAAAGTAAGCCTTCCCCCCTTTCCCCTGTGCGCGATGAAACGCTGGTGAAGCAGTTGTTCCCTCCGGAAAACGACAAGGGATGGCTGTGAGAACAGGCTTCTCCCCCGTAAGCAGTGCGCCTGCCAGTATTTTCTCGCACTCGCAGCGATGCAGACACCGTAAAAGCCTTTGAATGAGCGACTAGACTACAAACCCTGGCTGACACTACTGGCACGGGACTTGGTTCCGACCGAGCCAGGGTTCCAGCACAGCACGGCGGCGCAGGAGGTGTAACCCTGAAATCGAGACTTGGCGGTCTTGGGGTGGATTCCTGCCGACATGGCTGCCACAGGCCCGAACTCGGCATCGCAGAACACTCCGGCCGCGGGGGCATTAAGCGTCTTGATGAATCTGACCATCTCCTTTTTGTGGAGAAACGAGGCAGGTGCGCCAGGGCCAGCAAAGGGTGGGTACAGCAAGAATCAGCTTGGGAGTTTGTTATGCCCTTCTGCGGGACGGCGAATTTCAAATGTCCCCACAAGCACAGGAACATCGTCTCTTACCGGTATTACGTGGCATGTACATGCATCGCACGACATACCTGTTGGTGGAGGGCCATGACGCGGGTTACCACCGCATCCCCGTCCCCGCCATCAGGCTGCTGCTGTTGCCGCTGCTCGCGTTCTTGCTGCACTCGTCGACCAGACAACTGCTGTCAAAGGCATCGGTAGATTGTGAATAAACCAGGGAACTTGCATCAGGGTACAGGATATCGATCCTGAACAAGGCAGGTGAGGAAGAATGCCTCCCATACTTTCCGCGACACCGGCGAAGAATGTCTCTCTCTCTCTCTCTCTCTCTCTCTCTCCCCAAAGCGACACCCACTCACAACAACTCTACACATGAGTGCAGAGGGTCCAACCCGCCACGATTGCACGGTACACTATGTACCTCCACGTGGTCGAGCCGAACGCAGCACGTGAAGCTAATGGAGGACAGCACGACGCCCCCTTCCCTCTCGACGCGCCGCCCGCACGCGTGGTACGCAGCCTCGGCGTCCTCGAGAACGAGCCGGTTCGTGCTGCGCAGGAAGCGCGCGTGCTGCCCGGGCGTCACGTCGTCGTCGAGCGCGACGGCCTCTCCAAAGGTCCAGTTCACGGCGACGGGCGGCGCTCCTGTCGCTTCTTCCTCAATCTCATCATCCAGATCCTCACAACGCCCCGAGCCGGATCGGCAGCGGAGCAGTTCGGCCGGCGAAGCGCTTACCCCTAGAGAAATCTTTTCCGGGTAGCTTTCGCCTGAGGCTTGGCAAACCTAAACGCGTTCGCAGAGTGAGACTAATCAGGGAGGTGGTGAAAATCAAGCAGTCACGGAAGCATTCCGGATGGTGATCGTGGCGTTCAGAGTGCACCACAGCATTGTAGTTCTTGGTGCCTGCAACCTGCATGCAAAGACATGGTTCACCGAGAATCCTGAGTGTTGAGCGAGCAGTTGACCGGGCGTGCATCACGTATCGATGCCCTGTTCTAATAAGTTAACCTTCCGCACAGTTTCAAAGCCCTATCTACAAGTACCTATTACTCTTCCGTCCTCTTCGCACGCATCGATACGAACTAATGGTCCGAAGGAAACCGAGGAGTGTGGAAAATTTTAAAAGCAGCCGCCAAGGACCGAGCATTCTTTCGTATCTCGCTTTCAGAAGTGCCGCCTCTTGTTTCCCCAAGAGAAGCCGACTGAATAATCGCGCCAGCTTTGTCTTCGCTTCACTTCACCTCGTGCTGGAAGATCGATAGGGCGGTGCTTTTGCGAACAGCGACCCCCTCCGATGACACGACCGTCACATCTCGTAGCAGCTGGAAACCGCGGGAAACGAGATACGCAACAAACACCGTTGAGGAAAGACGGCGATGAGGAGTTTTGCGGGGGCGGGTAGGCCGAAAATATCCCTGGAAATTGGAGTAAAAGATGGGTTCGTCAAGGCAGAACAAGCCACGACGGATCCAATGCCACATGTGCACGTCATCCGTTTTAATCCTACGGCCATTTTTATTTTTCTGAACATACTGCTGCGTTGGATATAAAATGCGGGACAACGTCCCCCAACGTAGCCTGTAGAGTGTGGCTTTGTTGCACTCGTCGTATGGTCAGCTCAACACCCAACAAATAAAACCCTCCATTCGGCAAAGGACAGAACTATAGCCGATCCTGTTGATTCTTTGCTCGAAGGAGACGTGGTGGTGGACGTATGCGACTACCCAGAGAGAGGTCTAGTCTCTTTTGGCAGGGATCTGGGATCTTCCTGACATATTTATCGGTTTACGCGTATGGAAAACCCGATAAATGGTGGACATGCCGGTGTCAAGGTCAGCCAGCACATCCGGTCGCCGAATAAATCCCGTTCAGGCGAAAAGTAGGCCAAAGTCGTCACACCGGACTACAACTCTGATCGTACCGACGGTGCCCAAACTAACCCTCCTCTTCCGCACCTTGCCCTTCTCTGCCTGCGGGCCTCCTTGAGGGTCAGCCGTGGTGTCTATCTTAAATACCGGCCCGACACCTTCGTAGCCTTTCGCTGAAATCGCCAGGGCGTGAACTCCTCGCAGAGCAACCCCGACCACAACGCGAGCTTGGATGCTTGGTCGCGAGTGATTTCCGACCTTTTCGTCGGGGTCGGGAAACACCTGGATAGGGGGGGGAAACACACCATATCATAGTATTGATTGGGTTTGGAAGAGAAGCATGTGCCGCATCGAGGAGCTGTCCCACGAAGCATGTCCCGCATCAAGGAGCTGTCCCACGCGTTGCCAACAATATTTTTGTTCGGGTTACTGCTGTTTGTCGAGGAGCATAACGCGGGAATAGCAGAAGAGACTTGTCCGTGCGTTCAACTCGACCTGCGTGGCTCTGGGCGGCGAGAACAACACTCGAGGTGTTTGCCTTACCTGGCTGCCAATACACAAAGCGCACGTCGTGCTGCCACCAAGAACCACCGTATCTTCCCCGAGCAACTTCTGGAGCCAGTCCGCCGTTCTCGCCATCAACAGCGGGTGGTGATCGTCCACGAGAAAAACAGTGTCAGCGTCCTCTAGCGGGACGCTGGATGATGGCGGTGTTAGCTTCGGATACACGCGCTGCGATGCCACCTTCGACTTAGTCACGGTCGTCGCCCGGATCGACCTCCTCACCGGCTGGGGTGGCCCGCTTGACCCCGCGGGTTCAGTGAGATTAGTGCAAGACGCCGAGCTAGAAGTGCCGCCAGGCTTGTTCTCCCCGTTCACTGCTGCCAGTTTGGTTCCGAAGGTAACGGCGGGAGCGCACTCCGTGAAAACGGGTGCGACACCGTCCACGGACGGGCCGTCATTTCGTGTGTTCTGGAAACTGTGGCTGGCGATGAAGGTCTTAACTCGAGGCTGCGGTAGGCCGCCGTCGATCCCCCCCTCCGGTGGGATGTATGCAACGGTGAGCACGCACGTGGTGGGTGGTGGGGGATCGAGCTCGATGTCCCGGCCTTCGTAAGTCGAGTAGTCACCTTCACCGGAAACTCCCGCTCCGTATACGCCCGAATCGCTCTTGTGGTCACCCGTGACGGCAGGAAAGGGTAGAGGCAATCACGTCCGGCACAAACAACGTACATACACGTTTGACCGGAGCAAGTTTATGTAGGTTCCCTTGGTTGTTCGCGGTTCCCTGCAAACTCAGGCATGAACGTCCAACAACACCAGTGCCGGAACTCCTCCGTCATTTGAAATACCGAAGTGCTGGAGGGTTGCTGGGCTCACGTAACGATACAGCTGTTTCCTGAGTTCGAAACGCGCTTGAAATGTTTGGCGTCGAAGTGTCCCATACGGGGAGTCAGTCTTCTCTCGTGTCCTCAACTGCCTTCGTCACGAAACTTTTGTAGAGCCCGCCTTACGATAAAACGATCGTTCTTTCTCGCGCTCACCTCCGCCACAACGATTGGGCACTCCACCGGGATGAGGTTGGAAGAGTGAAACCTCGAGCACAGTTCGCGAAGGGTTGTTGAAAGAAACACGTTGCCATCGATCATCAGCATGCAGAAATTAGGCCTTGCCGACGGCGTGAGCACCTGACAGCAGTATCGCAGGGCACAGAAAGTGGTTCAACGCAAAAGCCACGAACGAGTGCGCGTGGTCAAGAGGTTTGAGGATTGGAAAAAGTTGACATATGTACTGCTCTCACTACCATCCTCTGCCACGCTACTGCTGTAACTTCACACGAGCTGTAAATTGTGCTATGTATTATGCATACTACAATTAGGCGGGGGAATGGCATTTAATTACGCCGCATAGAAGATTGAAGTACACCTGGTGCGCTCTGTAGTAACCTCGTTATGTTAATAGAAGCAGGCACAAGAGAGACCAGCTTTCAATAGATACAAGACATGAGTGTTAAAAGACCGACCGTCTCGGTATGGCTGGGAAGAGAATGCTACGGTCGTCCACGCGGGAGGAGCGAGAGAGAGGGTTCGACGGTACTTGCATCAGACGTACACAGTCTAGAGTTGAGTCATGTGTGAGTGTGAGCAGCGATCAACTCTGTGCGCTGTGACTAACACTCCCTTCCTGACACACCTTTCTTTGCCTGACGAGGGACGCCACCAAACTCTCCATATCCTGGCGGGTGGACTGCGCTTGACCCCACCACACGTGGGCATTGATAGTGCTGTTGATGTTCGCGGAATGGAACGCCTTGTTGACGCAGGATAACTGCCCATTTGTTGTCCAACTCAAGTAATCGAATACGTTACGATGAACGTCCTCACCCCATGGAACGAAAAGACAAGTCATGACGCGGTACCTTGTTCAACTACGAGTGGAACAGCCTGTGGAAGAGAGGGAGGGACAGAGAGGCAGAGCAGAGCGGAGCAGCGCTATCGCGCACGGGCAGCGGCGAGATGTTCTTGTTATGTTCGGGGGCACGCTTGGGGCACACAAAAGGTATCCTACGGAACCCCCAAAGCGACATGCACTCCTGCTGCTACACACACGACACGGTCTGCGGCGGCTCTGCCTGCTGCTGTACGGAGCAGGAGCGGGGCAGGAGTGCGCGGGTTTACTAGGTGTAATGTCGGACTCAGCACCCCCCGTTTGCGAGAATTGTAAACCCGGCAAGGCAACAGACGAGCGAGAAGCAGCGATAGAAAAAATGGATTGTCAGGCGAGTGCGGTAAGGAGTAGACTATTCTCAGAGCGAGAGCTTTTGTAGCCGCCCAAGACGCAGTCACTCATCACGTAACCATGCGGAACAAACATCTCCGAAGCATTACCGTATAGTCGATGCGGAAAATATATGAGCGGTATCTGATATTTCCGTGCGGTTGGCGTCCCAACTGTTGGACAAACAAGATTTTCGTGCAACACAGCAGAACTGCAACTAACTTCGGCCCCCGGGGTTGACCCTTTTGCGAAAGCGCCCTCATTTTGTCTTGTTGTAAACACACAACTCCTTCGTCTCTATTCAGTTTTCCTGTGTTGTGTTGTTTTTTGGGGGGTGGTGGTGGTGGTATTGGCGGGTGGATGGGTTGGGGGGGGGGGTCCGCGATTTTTTTTCTTTTCCCTCCCATTTCGGTACGCATGTGACCATCGCTGCCAATTTCTACCGAACGAGCGACCTTAGGGTTATTGTTAAGGGTTATTGTTAATGCAACGAAAAAAAACGCTTTTTTCCACGGAACGGTGGAAAGAAGATCCGATTATTTTTCGCTTGTTCTAATCGTGATGTCATCGCGAAACGCACGTTTCCTTCCCTGAATACACGTTTTGCTCGACACACAACAGGTTGACATGGTATTGCTCACCATAGAGCAGCGGTGAAAGCGCAATGAGCAGCACCCGACACAGAGGACAACACACTTAGAAAGATCCCGTCCACCTGGCCTTCTGTTTTCAGTTTTCAGCAACAACAGGCTCAGGGCAGAGTGTCGCCACCTGGGTGTTGCTTGCGATTTCTTCAGTTTGCCAGCTCATTTTTCACGGTTGCGACTCCCATCTTTGACCACCACCTGCCCAAAGGTAGACGAGCTCAACAATCACAGGGCGGCAGCCGCGCTGACGGCCAGCATCATATAGATGGCCAATCCGAAAGAATTAGCGTGTCGGAGGCCCTGTTGCTCTACTGCTGTGTGGTGCCGTGGATTGATGTTGATGCGTCCGACCAAAAACGCATCATCTCGCCGCATTTTTTCCAACGGCATTTTGGTGAGGTGGCACACGTCTCTAACACACTTTATTGAGCAGCACCCAAGCACCCAATACCCACGAAGCAGCACGGCGCCGGGAGATGGTATCATATGGACAGCCGAACCGAAGGAATCAGCGCGTTGGAGGTCTTGCTGCTGCTGCTGTACTCGTTCTACTGTATCCGTGTTTGCTATGTGTGATTGAAAAAAATCCCCCTTCACCAACAGCAGCAGTTGAAGACGAGAGCACCACGCAATGCCTAGTTTTGGGCCAAGAACGGACTGAACGCCGCTTCTGCCGCTTGTCCATCTCCACAACAGGCCTGGACGTGAGTCTGGCAGGTCTTTCTAGCGTTCTCAGTGATGTTACAGCGCCCGCGGTGCGCTTGTCCGATGCTTCTGTCAAAAACACGTATTCGTGAAAGTAGCAAGCCCCCAAAAAACCCGGCTCCTTCTTTTCACGCTTTCGGGGAAAAACGCCTCCATATATGTTCAAGAAAACACGGTTTCGTTTTTTTTTTCGTGTTTAATTGGTCGATAAGAAGCACCCTTACCCCTCCGACTGAAGATTATTTCCACTTTTTTACCTATCATGTCATTACATAGTCCATGGGACGTCGTTAGGCCCCCAAACGTTATGCGTCGAGACACAGTAGTCGGCCAACGCGCGGGTCCAGATGCTTCCCAAAGGACGAAAAAAACGTACGTTTCCCGCAGGACGACCAGAGTCATGCTTCCAACGCGTTGCTGAGATAAGAAAATCCACGCGTTCTGATAGATAATGATGAACTTTTGGGCGCCTCACCTTGTCCGTATTTGCCAGGCTACGTACGATGTTGTCGCTGCTTGCATGGAGGCTCACAGAGGGAATGTGGCGGATTGTCGAACGGAATGGAACGACTTCAGAGAGTGCCATAAAGAGTCACGGGGAAGATCAACGGGCGACGCATAAACTTCCGTGCATAATGTTCAGCTCGATACGGCTCGATCGAGATATATCTACCAGCGGAAGCGGAGAGGTTGAATGTTGAATCCAGTTAACTGCACTCGGACTACCGTGGAGCCATCAGATCTACTAGACCAGCTCCTTGTGGCCTGCTACTAGACCAGCTCCTTGTGGCCTGCAGGCTGGCCAGTGTTTCAGCTGTTACTTTTGCTGTTGCATCTCTGGTGTACGGCGTTTTTGAGCGCACTGCCTGTAAGTGCTTTGGGCCTTGTCGCTTTCTCCGTGGAAACGTGGGCACTGGCAACGCCATCGTGCATGCATATGCGTTGTTCTATGTACGTCGAAAGCTCTTCCCTCTGATTCATTGCATCTGGGGGAAGAGAGCACCCACTTGTTGTTTGTTACCTATATAGCTCAGCAAATAGATCAATGCGGACTTCTGTGCGGTTGGATGTTTTGGAGTGTTGCGTTGGTGCTTTGACAAGAGCTGTAGACCTAGCGATGTTGTTTGTCTTCGATACGTAAGAGCTCTAGAACTGCTTGTAGACTCTTGCGGCCATTGACCGTCATACGTTGATGTCCAAGATGCAGCCCTGACGCAAGTGCTGGATCAGCTTGTAATTCCGCCTGGCTGCTTGTAGGAGGTGATACACCCGGTATCTGTCGCGCACAGAAAAATATAGTGTCGTTCACGCCCTGCCTTTACGACCTGGTCTGAGTAACACGGTGACGTGCATCCGTAGTGCCCTTTTGGATTCATCGGCCCTGGTGTTCATCGAGTATCCGTCGCATGTCAACACCATTCACCAGCCGATCCTTGTACTCCCAATACTCTCAAACTCGTGCACATCGATCCGAAGCAAGCTTTAAAGACCCAAGCTAACGTGTGTCAGCAACACACAAGTTGTTTCGGGCAGCGTGCGCAAAAGACGGGAACGTCCTCTGACGGAGCCTGTCAAGCTCGGCCTTAAGAGCTTCTATCTCTCCCGTCTGCGCCCGAGCGAGGTCGACCAGGCGCCGCCTTGTGGTGATGCGCTTCATTCGCCCGGCGCTCTGGTGTTGGGAGTGAAGAGAGCGAACAAAAAGCCGGGTCGCACAAGATCCTATGGCGATAAGCATAACTTTATGATAACTAGTGCTGCTGCCATTTGGTAACTGCCGAAAACATGAAGATGGCTGCAGTAGCACCTGGCAAAATATCACGAATCTCTGGCTGCCGTTTGCCCCCAAAACGTTTGCATGTCCTCAATGCTGCTTGATGGCACGATGGTTGTCATACAATCCTATCGCTATCGTGCGAGTAGCCAACCCACCCACACTGACTCTCGTAGCTCCGTTGATCCACAAGAAAGGGGGCGCCTTTGCAGAAAACGGTGGTTTCGGAAACATTTCGCGAGAGCTTTCGAGCTTTCCTTACAATAGACGTACGGTCGGTGTTCGCGCCTTTTCGGTTGCGGCAAGTTGCGGAGCAACAAGCTATGAAAGTCGATTTCAGAGGGATGCCACCACTTCCACAACTATTTACCATATTCAGAGGCGGCTAAATACGTGTACCTAGATCTTGGGACCAGACTCAATTTGAAACGTAATTTTGTATCGGACGCCGAGAAACTATCACTCTTCTGGACATACTCTTGGAGAAGCAACAACCAACCCCCGGTAAGTTTGTTGTAGTACCTGCTGCGCTGGGTTGATCTCCCCGCCGGACGACTCCATGTGGCTCCGGAAGATGGCCTCGCGCACCTTAACGCTGGTGGCCAGCTGCCCCAGCTGCCCGTTCACCCTCCGGTTTTCGTCTTCTCGCTCTTGGAGCTGTTGCGCGATTTTGGCGTTTGCCTGCCTCGCTTTGTTTGTCTAACGGCACACGGAGCACAGAGCGACGGATCAGGCATTGTGTTGTAATCACATAGGTGTAGTTGGAGCAGTTAGATGCTCTAGCCCGCTTCGAGGTGACTTCCGCGCAAGCGCGCCGAAGGTGGGAAGTGGCCATTGTAGAGCCTCGTGCTTGTACACATCTAGCACGTTGTTGTTGTACCTGCAGCGAAATCGATTTTACCAACACCACAAATAAGCAAGCCCAGTCCGACATTCCGGGAAAAGTTGTACGTATCGGAAGACGGCGAGGGATCACACCAACTAGCAGTTCCTTCGACGATGTGAATACATGTTCTCCACCTTGGACTCGTGCGACCTCTCCATCATCTCTACCCTGGCCTCTGTTTTCTGCACAAGCTCTTTGTCTTTCTCTCCCCGGTCGCCCTTGAGCACTGCCTGAAGCTTCTTTGTCACCCGCAAGAGTTGTAGGTCGATGTAGTACGCCTCGCGGTCTTTGACCTGCGTACCAAGGGGATAGTCGAAAGAGGTAGTGTACATCTGGAGGATGCGTATCTCACTTGGCGCAAAAAACACTGCCAGCGGCCATATTCTGCAAAGTGCGAAGTGCGACTTGAAAAAAGTGGTGCAACTGCCTCTATCGCAACATGGTGAAAGAAAGGTGGGAGCAGTAGCAAGTTCGTACAACTACCTTGCAGAAAAGTCTCTCTGGACTTCTTGTGCCACGTAACCCTTTGCATTTTTGCGATATGCAGATAGACATGATCGAATCAGTCGCAAAGCTGCCATGAGCGACCAAAAAAATCGAAACCAATGGCATCAGCACCCAGGGATGAGCTGAAGCGCTCACCTGCTCGTCGAGGTAGGTGTGGTCCCATTGCATCAAGTTGATGTTCTTCCGGAACTGCTTGATCTTGTTCAGGGTACGAACCTGGATGACCACCACATCGTGTCACGCGTTGACGGAAAGATCTTCTTTAACAGTACAGAACATTGAACCACTAGATTACATATTGATATGGTAGGTATGTATTGATGTCCTAACTTGATGTTCAAACTGGATGAAAGTCGCTCATGGTGGTAGAGGACTCGGGGAGTCAGAAACGATGGGAGGAACAAAGGCAACACTGAATCTACAACATCAGTCTAGAGAGACTTTGGGCAAGAATCAGGCGTGGGTACAATCATGGCGGAGTTCGCAGCGAAACATGTTCCTCTGATGCATTTCTCCGGGAGAAGATGACTCTGGGTATTCTCCTACAAAGCCTCAGGTTATTCCTGGTTTTATTGCCAGCCTGGCCGATTGATCGAAAAACGGACCACACCTTCTCCCCTCCAAGCTTGCGAATTTCCTCGTTGGTATGGTTGACGATGGCTGACGGAATTAGCACGCTGTCGCCGTAGTCTGTCACCACGGCCCCTCGGGGCACCTCGTCTTGCCCCTTTTGTTGCAATCAAAGGCGTACACAGAGCAACATATTTTGTCCCGCGAATCTGCGATGGGTTGGGGGGTTACCCTTCCGCCAGGCGGATGGCGTAACGGTCCCTTGCTGAGTTCCTGCGCCAAACGTGTGCCGCATTCTTCGCCGTTTCCGTTGGCCGGTGGCTCTTGGTGGTAGCTACGTAGATGATTTTTTCGACAATATCAACCGATTTTTTTGTGCATTCCCTGACGGCAGCTATTATAGGACCCTGTACCAGAGGCTGAGTGCGTATTCTGGTTCGTGGCGACTTCCGGTCGTGCCCATTCACTTCCTGACAGTCCCAGCAACACGCTCAAGCAAAAATTCTCCAGCTAACAAGAGCACCCGAACGCACGAACTCTACACCCAGGGAAGTTGACGATGGATTACCCCACCTGTTTGAGCTTGACCAGCACTTCGATGTTTTTCTCTGCGAGGTAGGCGCGTTCGCTGATCGCCCGTTTCCGTTTCTCGATAACCGTAACCTGTGGTATACAATTATAGCAGGCGGCCTTTTGGTTCAACAGTATCATGTTGAATCGCTTTGAAGGCGAAACATGGGGTGTGGTCCTCGCACCTATGCTCATGGTGGCCGACGAAAGGAAATTTGTGAGATAAAACATCAAATCATGACGCCTGGTGAGAGGGGAAAGTAAGTGCCGGAAGGATGCTTAATTGGGTCGATGTAGAACCTGGTTTACGTCGAAATTATACTTGTATGGCAACCGTGGATGGCGCGAAAGGGGGCAGTAACCGCGAAAGGTGGCACGTTACACGGCTGAAAAATGTTAAGCAGTATCTCCCACGACGGATGTACCTGGCTGTCGACGGAGTCGCAGTCTGCCTGGAGGGCCTCGAGTTTGCGTTTCATGATGGCGAAGAGCCGATGTTGCTTCCGTAGCTCCAATTCTTTCCCAATCTTGCTGCCCCTCAGTTCTAGAAGCCGGTTCCACACTTGGTCCTCCACCTCGAAACCGGGGTACTCCAAGTCCTGGGTATCCGGAGAGCGGCAGCCCGCGGTATGAGACGAAAGACAGAGGTTCCATCGTTGATGACAAAAGACATACGTACCCAGTGCGGTCATCGACACGCATCACTTCCCATGATTGCAGCCGATCGGGTGGGTACTCTGCTGGAATAACTATGTATTGTATGTACCTGGGCCATGGCGGCTGTGTTGACCGCCTCGGACGCGTTGCTCTTGTCTAGCTGCTCGTCCACCGGCCCAAAGGGATCCTTCTCTGCGATCTTGGCCGCCTTCTCGCGGTTCGTCGCCTGCCTCATCGCCTGAAGCAGACGGAAGCAGACGGAATGCACCACGTTGTGTCCAAAGGGTATTGGGGTGGGACACTGGTGTGACTGTGACTATTAGTTCAAGGGTTGCAGGCTTGTTCAATGAACTCCAGGTCTATGGAGGCCTCATCTTCCTTCCGAAGTCTTGGTGCGGGATCGGAAGCTGTTGTTTCACCCACCAAATGGATCCCAAGGATTGAGGTGCATTGCCGAAGTCCTCAATTATGTGTTACGTGGGGAGCAGCAACTAAGACCGCCCACGTCCGCCGTTTCGTGCACACCTCCTGCAAGGGCCCAAGCCCGTGGGACGCACGCATGCTGCCACCACCACTGCTGACCCGGCTGTTCCTCTTCCGTTTGCTCCGTCCCATGGCGCTTTCGCGCATATGTTGGGTGCGACGGCTGGTGGCGACGGGAGAGACAGAGGGGATACCATCACAATGGAAATGGTGGCAACCGAGGGGGGAAACGGAGGTTTGGGGTGAAATTCTAGTGACAAGCTTTGCCGGATTTCCGGCGTTGCCAAATGAGCTGCCGTCGTGACTTTCCGTTTTAGGACGGGGTGGGGGGGTCAAGAGACATGCCAACGCTCCGTGTGCGGAAGATGGCGGGCCGCCCTCCAGAGGTATCTGTACTCGTGCACTTGTAATCTGGCGCAAGTAAAGCTTCGACCGTCATGGAACAGTCGCCTGGTATCTCACCTCGATTGCGACTTGCGGTAACTCGTGGCGTTGCTCATGCCCGTAGCACTTCCACGGTACCCTGAAGAGCCCCCTGTGCTCATGGTGCTGTGATCGCGAAGCTTGTACAGCTGCCAAGATGTAGCAGAATGCGGGATGGACACGGAGGAGAGGAGGGGAAAGAGTGGAATGGCTAGCACGTCCTCTTATGCACAAGTACTTGGTCGATCTGAGGGTTCCTCTTGTGCAGAAGCACTTGTTCCGTATGGAGGTTGACGATTTCAACTCCAGAGAAACGAGAAGGGGCTAAAAGCCATGACGAGGCTTGCTGCTGTTTGACTGTCTGTTCCCTCCCGCGCGATTCATGACCAAAGATGAGGTAGCTAGCCTCAACCCAGATTCCCGATCTTCGATTTACTTGTTCTCGTAATTTGTTCAATAGGATGCCTAAACTGAAGCTATTTTCCCGAACATATCCGTGGGTGTTCATACTCGACACGCAAAACTTACTTGATGAAGACGTCGCCGAGGCGTTTAACAGAAAACTGTTTTGTTTCAATTGTGCCCTCGGTCGTATTATGTCGCTACGGTCGGTTCTCCCCTTCAGTACCTGCACCAGTTGCGCCATCATTTCCGCCATGTCGATGGGGTTTGACGCGGCCTCTTGGATTTCCTTCTTGAAGTTTCTCTCCATCAGTCGATCCTCCGCCTGTGAGGGAGAGCAACGGGAAGGAATGGAGCTGACAATAATCTTCTAGTTGGCCAAGGGGTCATGTTCCTCCTTGAAACCGACGTTCTCCACACACTGAAGGTCGAAAAAGGAGTGAATGGTACGGACCTGCAAGGTTTCTATTTCTTCGCGTGCTTGTTCTACGTGCAGCCTGTATCCCTCCAAGCGCTCCTGTGCCAGAGCCTGTGCGTTGGCCAGGAAACGAGAGAGGGCACATGGGGAGGGAATTGTGTTCAAGATTTGAGTACTGACACCAAAAGGTAGGACACAAAGACCCGGCGCGGGGTGTCCCACAATAAGGCTTTCAATCGATTTGATCTTCGTAAACGGTCGCGAGGCAACGCCCCTCTTCATCTTTCTCGCCGGTTGCTTCACCTTCTTTTCGAAGAGTTCCCCGAGCGCTTTGTCTAGCTTTTCCATGGTAACGTCATCGTCCTCTCGCTCCACGATTCCCATGGCTAGGCGCGTGAGCAAAAGCTCCTGAAGAACGGATAATCAAAACACGGTTAGGAGAAAGAACTCCTGGTCCAACTTAAACCAAACACAAATGACGGAGGCTGTTTGTAGACTTCAGACGCGGGTGAACACTATGAGCTTCCCACAATAACCAGCAATTGTTTACGAAAGAACCTCACACCGATGTTGAATTCGACAACACCCTCTGAGGTCTGACCAACAACATGTCCAAGTCCAGGTCATAGCGCTTTCCATACCTGGGAAGCGATAAACATCTGGACCTGCACTCGGAGTTCGCACATCTCCTTTAACCTGTCGTCGAAGGCTTTCACAATATCGGCCACCTGATTGGATCAGTGATGCATGTTCACAAAACCGATCATATGCATACAAGAAGGAAGATGGTCAGACGCATGGAAATAGACAGAGTGGCCAAGGCAACCAAAGTCCAAGAAGGGTAAATCGTCGCCGCGGGGAAGGAGTCGTTGGGGGGAGTGCACCTACTTACTCTTTTGTTGTAGTGTCCTTTCTTAGATACAACAGCATCTAACCCGCCTGCTAGGCTGTCAAGCTTACTTGGCAAACAGCTGTCTTGCACCTTCTTGGCTACAAAGATGTCTCGTGCCCCACCACCGTCATGCACCTGGCGAAACTTTATTCTGCAGCTTATCGCCTTACCTCTGTCCGAAGCTTCTTCAGTTCTAACTCAAGGGCTTTACGATACGTTGCTTGTTCTTCTTGCACCTCTTTCAGTTTTGCCTCGTACTCCTCTGCTTCCTGCGGGCGGCAAACGCCAGCGAGAATGTCAAGTGCTATGAATACGTAAAACGCGAACATCTTTTGCACGTACTTCAATAGGCACTGGATTGTTCTCTGACGCAGAGAATCCTCTTCCATGGAGACACGCGGACTGGTTCTCATTCTGTTTACGCTCAACCGTCTCAAGCAGGGCGCAGTCGGTGCTATCGTCGAAATATTCGAGGGTTCCGGTGGGTAGTATTCACAACTACTCACGCTCTAGTTGGTGATTATCCCTCACAGAATCAATCATACGAGCACGACATGGCGGAAAAGCGAATCGATATGGTGCTTGCTGCCTACACCGCAGCGTCAGATGCTGCAACAAAGGTACAACTGCTCGGATCGAGGCAGCCCTATTACAATAATTGTCTTGCTGCGCGTCGAACACGGTGGTAGAGCTTGTTCTCCCCGACTTGACCTTTTTCTGATCTTCGGTCATGTCTTCGGGTGCAACTTCGTCCATCCAGTCTGGCTTCTTCACTGCATCGACCGTGAGGGCGTCTTGCTTCACCTCCAAGGTTCCGTGCATCATATCCTAAAGGCCGGCAGTCCGGCAGTCCGGCGGGGTAACGACGGTTCGTTAGGATCGGTCGGGGTGCATCAAGCGGACAGAGACGGGATCTCCCGTGCCACACCTGCAGTCCGGCGCGTGCCCGGTTGTACACTTCGACGTCACAAACGATTAATAAGAATGTATTCGGGGATTTGAAGGCCTCATTCTTTTGGATAGCCGTCTTACACTTCCATGATTCTATGTGGGTGCCCTTCCCCCCCCAGTCCCTGACCACGTTGTAGCAGGCCACTTACGTCGAGCGCTCTGAACTTGTCGTTGGATCCCTTGGCCTCTTCCTCCCGCCGACGCTTCTCTTCTTCCGCCTTTCTGCGTGCCTCTTTATCGGCTTCACTTTCGTAAGGCTTTACCGTCATGTCGCTCTCCACCTGTGAGTAGGATCCAAGTCACGGGCACCGTCGATCCGCTGTGGGCTTGGCCACTTCTCGGTCAGAGGTTGGAATGTTGACGTAACAGGGTGCAAGCTGGGTGACGACCTGGCTACAAGTATTGTGCCTCAGAAGGTGTCGGAAACAGAACCACGGGGTACGATATGACTCTATCAGCGGTTTGTTGTTCACCAGGTTTGCCTCGAACTCACAGTTTCTTACTCCGAGAAAGGTCTTTCTGGTACGGTCATCTACAACATGGTGTTCTGCTCAGGTACGGTGTTTCCCACCAGGAAGCATGCAAAAAGAGAACTTGAGGTGTTGACAGTCGTATCTCACATTGAACACTTCTTCGGGTTGCTCCAAGTCCAGCCACTTGGGCCTGAAAAACGTTTCATCCGAACCAAGATCCACGAGGATCTCCTGAATGCGATTGTTCTTCTCCTCCACCTGACGAGACACGATGAACGTAATCCACTCACATCGTTACTCTACACCCGAGAGCTGTGCCGTATTCTGCGCGTGAAAGCAAGCGACAGAGCCTTCACCACATTCCTTAATGACATGAGCAGCGAGCACAATCTGCACTCTTCTACAGTAGAAGCTACAATGATTCATTTGGTCACGAAACAAAGACGACTAACAATGTTCGCGGATTCGAAGTCCTCCACAGATAAACTGGACCATTAAAGCTTCGATAGCAAGGAGTAAATACAGTTTGAACTGTAAACCTCGCAGAGAGAAGATACATCGGATGCGCTCGATGTCCACAGAGGCGCTTTCTCTGGAGTCTCTCCGAAGAGAAGAGAAGCAACATCATTGACGAGTCGACTACCCCCGCAGAAAGTTGTCCGCGTCCCCTTATATATTCAGGACTAACACAGAGAAATATCATCTGAGAGTGCATTTCTACTCGACAAAATACAGCTACATTCTCGCCTTGTCCATGCAATCTTCTTTGGCGGAATGCAGTTTGTCCAGGTGTCGGTTGAATGCTCTCTGGATGTCCAACACCAACTCTCCGAGCAGCACTATCTGTGTGCGCCTCTGCCTCGGCGTGCGTAGCGCTAGCGGAGGGTAGAGCAGGTAAGTCGGGTCGGTTTCGTCTGCCGCCTCCAGCACCTCGAGGGCCGCGATTGGGTCTTCCGTGTCCTCCTCGTCTTTGTCCTCGTCGTCTGATCCATCATCATCCTGTCCGGGGAGGAGAGATGCATCGTGGAGTCCCAGATGTGAACGTGACAATCGATTGCTCGCTGTCGTCTCGGCGACCAGCCTCAGGCGACGACGTTTTCACTGGGCTGTGTCGTAATCGACGTCAACCCGCAGAGTAGTCAAACCACGCTATCCTATGTTCATGTACACACCACTCGCCTCTTTTTTAGCGGCAGCTTTGTTGCTGCTAGTCTTGGCCATGTCGTCGGCAGCCCCGCCTCCTTTCCCACCCGTTCCCTTGGCGGTATTCCCCGCTCCCGCAGCCTCGTCTCGGAGAGCTTGTACGACATCCACCACAGGCGCGAGGCGGCCCTCGTTGACCATCCACGATATGTCCGAGGGAACCTAGGATACCGAGATATGCAGGTCGTGCTGCTCGTTTAGAGTGACCTATCTACCTATCTCTGTAGCCACCAGTTTACATACAATCGCTTCACCTACGTTGCCATTGAGGATCATTGTACTTGGGTCGAGAGGGATCAAGGATCGTCACCAGCCTCGGTCTTGTGGTCACAAGTTGTTGTCGGTTGCGACGAACGGGGACAAAATGCGGGCACCTATGTAAAACCCTTGTTTTGAGAGTATTCAGGAAACTGTTATGTTCTGGACCTTCTCCTCACTTCATCGAGAAGACCTGGCCATGCCCGAGACGCAGAGTAAGTCCCGCGCCGTACGTCCCTGAGCTCCAACGCTCTCATCTGCTTCACCTGTTGCCAGCAAAATAGTCCGATGTGTGAGCGTGAACGAGGCCTTGAATTCAGAGGCATAGTCCTGGGTAGTGGTTATTCAGCAACAGATTGCCCGTGACACATCATTGTGCACGGTTCTTCCACCCTACACGAAACAAGCACGATGTTGTATTGAGATGAAGTGAAGTGGCACCGTCGATACACGGCATTGATTGTACACGACGCCCTGTCAACGATGGGAGGGGTGCCAAACATCGACAATGTTTCAATGTTCCTACCTTGTTGATGAGTGCGAGCTCTTCAGGGCTGCGACGTCGAATCGCGAAGTTTTCGACGAACACACCATCCGGTTGAATACGCCATACCTGCCCAGTGGCCACCACACGGGTTTTACCGAAATTTAGAGGGTAAAGCTACCTAACTTTCAGCATCCCAATGATGATACGAAACAACGCGTGCAGACAATTCGTGCGTGGTTCTTGTTTTGACTGACAGGGAAACATGGCGGGGTTTGTTTCAAGATATAAATTTATGACGAACACATTCAAAGTGATGAGAATAACGTGCAGGACAATAGATCACGTAGCGTCGAAGAAATTGCTCACCATCATAACAATCGTAAGCACACACGCGAAACGAAAGTACTCTACGAAGAGGTTCTGCAATGGCCACGCCTGCCACACGGATGCCGCTGCGTGTTACGTTAAGAGTATGGCATTTGCAACACGATTGTGGATGATGGGTGGATGCAATCGGCCCGCTCCGCAAGGGATGCACAACATGTAACAGGGATGCTCAACAAACCGCTTGATGAATGTGATGAACCGCTATAGAAACCTCCTCGGCGATATCGCTCACTTGTTTCTTCTGGACCTCCATTGAGTCCCAGCATTCTATCTTGATTCTGGACGCGATCAACTCCTTGCCTAGATTTCTGGTTCGAATATCCTCGCCGAGCTTCTTCGCCGCGGCTTCGTTGGCGTCTATTTTCCGATCCCTGGCAGAAATAGGACGCGTGGATCCAGACGACGAATCAACTTCTCTGTCTTCATTTGCCAACATGTTGCGCAAACATGACACCTTTCACACGCTGAAACTTGGGTTGGCCGACACCCTACCGTTGTGTGGAAACGACTGCACTAGTTTGAAGAAATCCTTGTGTCATTGCCGAGGAAATGCACACTTCTTTGCTGGAGTGAGCCGTACCGCCGTACCGTCGGGCGGATCGGTTGTTATTTTGGAGGCCATAGAATGTGAAAGGGTTGTTTGCGATCCTTCATTCCCGAACCACTATACCTGCCGGCAACGTCCACTACGAACTCGCTCCGTTCCATCTTCTCAAGCTCTGGGAGGGTTTCGTTTTTTTCGATAATGCGTGCGAGTCGCTCCTTGAACTCTCCTACCACCTTCCGCTGCGCTATGCCCACCGCATCAAGCTCGATCTGGGCACAAAGCGACGAAGAGAGTGCCAATGGGCGACAACAATGACATAAAAGTGATCACAGGAGGGAAAACTACTTGTACATCATGCCACCTTCATGTAGACAATTTTCTTCGAGTCTCACCATTGGGATGACTTACTTCACTTTTGTGAACACGTTGGAAGGAAGCGGATTTCGATTTTGTGGGACGATACATCCGTGGTCGTGGTCAGTGCTGCAGAGCACAGGAGCTGCCCCGATTGTTCTTTGATCCACGGCGGTTTCTCACGTTTGCGTTGTCCCGGACTTCCGCCGCTGATTCCTGCCTCCACGTTTCACCATCTAACCGCTCGATGATGCCGCCTTGCATCTTTTGTGCCGCTGCTCTTCTGTCCGCTAGCCTCTGGTGAGACATGAAAACGGGACGACATGGTGTGGACTTCATGTTGCCCAATACGTTGTTGGGAAAGGATCCAGATTTGCTACTTCTATTTATGCTCTATTCGGCCGTGAATCTTGAAGTATTGCTGACCCTGACAAATTCCGTACGGTGGTAGCATAGCAATATCTCTAACGTAAAACTATCCTAGGCTACTGCGGCCTGCGCTCCGTCAGAATACCAGATTGTGCGTTACGACTACAAAACAACCTGGAAAACTGTGTGTGGAGTATGAGACAAGCCCCCTCGCCTACTTCTTACTCCCTTTGCCTTCGCTTTGTGTACGGATAATTTGTTCTTCCCTCAACAGGAGGCGCTAACGCCGGATTTAGCCCTCCTTTTCTCAACACAGCACCGCGTGGTGCCTGCTACGTTAGTCTATAGATTTTCTACTAGAGGCTGCAGGAAAACTTGGTCACCACAGAACTACGTTAAAGGTACTTCAAGTAGTATACCTCCAGCGTCGCCACTACCGGTGGTGGCTGGGCTTCCGACCCTTCTTGGAGACCTTCCAGAGCGAGGCCGAATACTGTTGCGTCGAGGGACGTTGTGAACAAAGTCGCCGAGTTGGCCGCAAAAGCCAGTGAGATCACCGGACCGGCGTGCACGAGAGCGGAGTTGAGAAGTTCCACCTGGACGAGTTCATCATGGCGACGGGCGGGCGGGCGGGCGGGCGGGCGGGCGGCGGGCGGGCGCGCGGAGAGAAAGGAGTTAAACCAAATGGCTGACAACGGAAGTAGGTGGTAGAGAGCTCGCGTGGTAGCTGTTGAGACGTCGCCAATGGTCTGGAAAAGCGGAAGAGTACGTACACCCAGGATGCTTGGGGCGAAGACTTCCCATACTTACTCCAACGTCTACCAAAGGTGTCGTCGCAATATCTACTGAGGAATTAGGTACGGCTGTTTGTGTGGATCTTGCAATCAACGGAAAGGGAATAAAGCAACAATGCCAGGTCTATCTACTGTAGACGTGTCCGAAATTTCGAAAACGCGAACATGCGGAGGGTGAGGAGAGACGGAAGGGGGAGAGGGATATGGCCACGAGCGAATGCTGCTACGCACCGGTGTTGGTTCTCGATACTGCTTGGATTTCATCTCGAGGATAAATTCCGAACCTATCCACGGACACGAGATCCAACCCTATACAATCAACGCAACGTTGATCAGCGAACCTGGTTCTCGTACACCATCCACAGGCATACGAGTCCATCGGCCCCTCCCGTGGCCATAAAGCGGCCATCTGGAGACGCGGCCATAACCGCCACACCCTTCTGATGCGCCTCGAGGGTGTCGAGCGGAGATAGAGCCTTCGGCTCCCCGCCGTCCGCCAAGGTGGAAGGGATTCCTTTGTCAGGAAGTGCGGGTAAAACCTGTGCGCACCATGGACACCATGCGCATCAAGAGGTTTGTTGTAAGAAGACCCGAAGACACGGTTGAGAAAAGAAAGGCGGACCGGTGGGACTTTGAGCCCTTTGGATGTTGATTGAAGAGCAAACGGGCGAGTTAATTCAAACTCAAAACGTTAGACAACTCATAGGCAGACAATACTTAACGTTGAAACCACGATTGCAAGAAGCATGTTTCCAGGCAGGCGCCCCACTGCCCCTAGAGGAGGAACGCCGACCATTTGTGGAGGTGAAGACGGCAAAGATCGACGATACACTGTGACTCCGCACCTCCTAAAGAATCTCATCCGCCCATATAATAATATTGTTGACAAATCAGGAAGACATTGTGAGAATTGGTTTCTGAGTCAACTCTGCACACCGTCGCATTCTCCGTAATAAGTTTAACAACGACAATTCCAAGAACGGCCTTGGAAGGAAAGGCACCTGCAAGACACGCATGTCGGCCGACACGGCGAAGAATGGCCCGTGCCGGATCTGCGGATGAGGTCGCATCCCGTGCAACGGTGTGGGCGTGCGCAACACCCACGAAAGGGGGTCAACGCGGGTGGGGCGCGCGCGACGCTCCGACTTGACTTGAAGAGCGCACACGAGGCAGTCCTCCGTGCTGAAAACGATGTCAACTCCCCGCCACCTGAACCCAATCGTAAAGGAAGGTCCAATTGTCGTTGCTTTCGAGATTGGGAGGGCACCATGTTTTCCTAAGTTTTCTCCTTGCTTTTCCTCTTTACAGCGCACCGTATGCATATCGAAGCATCGCGGTACTGGGTGCAGAGGTCTCTAGAACTACGTGGTGGACACCAGAAGCGAAGTGCTCTGTGTCTCTCATTTTCCACAGCGTTGCCGACACAAGCGTGTTGATTCGTAGGTGCCACACGGCAACACACAGGCGACAATAACGACTTCACTTTGTCCTCTTGACAGCTTCCATGTCCCGTCCTCATGCATCCTTTCGTGGTGCAAAACATCTGTCTCATCTCACATTAATCCGTTTACACCTCCTTGCCCCTGTGGCGCCACGCCAACACCGCATACCACGAAATCCCCCATGGAATTGTGAAAATTGATCACGTGCACCGAGCGATCGTCCGTAGAGGCTATGGCCAGCAGAGTCTTCGTGGGATGGAAGCAAAGCTGCGATGCGGGACCACGGTAGAAACGTTGGCTCCAAAGGGACGTCATGTCCACATCGTAAGCAGATGTCTGCAGAAATTAAGAAAATACGGAAGGGGGAAGAGGAGCAAAACAGACCGAAAAAGTCGTAACGCCTCCCCGAAGTTTGTATAGCCTATTCTATTGGTACAGGTATCTTGGGGTTTGAGCAATCGATCGGTTAGCCCACTCCATAATAAAGTCGGTTCGAAGGGACAAAGTTCACCTGTTTGACGTAAGCAATGTGAACCGCTCCATGACAGAGACCAATGGCGACCAAAGGCTGGGCTCTGCAAGAAGCCAGGGCACAAACCGGGACTGGCACGTCACCCTTCTTCTTCGGGGCATCTCCGGCTCCCTCCAAAGTGACAATCCTTTCATCGAGAGAAGCCCGCTTGTCGCCCGCGATGGCCTCGTCGAGCTCTTGTGTCGTTGAAAACGCCGAGAACGTTTGTGTGCCACACAACTTCCCTCGGCCTGCAGTCCATGCTCGGATTGCACCATCTTCACCTGTGTTTATGGGGTTTGGGATGATGTCATGCTTTCCAGATTGCTAGACATTCTGCGCGTGCGAATGATGGAGCCAAAACACTGCCTTGCCATTGCCTTGCGATTGTTCGGGTTTGCCCGAGCGCGCGTCGCTGAGAAGATTTCCGCATGCTGAAGCACGATTTTCCGATTTATCGCTGTTCAGAAGATGCCTCCCACCTCCAGTTATCAGGACACCACCCGAGTCCCCAACTTCGGCCGACAGTGGTCGAAGACAGGTCAGAGCCACGACCTTTCCAGAATGAAAAGTCCGCAGGGAGTTTACCCCACTTGAAGGCATGCCTGGTTCACTTGCATGTCGTTCAAAGTCCACAAATACACTGTAGAGGCTGCAGGATTGTAGCCCAACAACAAAACACAGGCGGTGACGGTGTTGGGTGCACACAGGACGGATGCAGGGCAGATAATAGATTCGTCAACAGTTTACTCCTCTGCCCGAAAGAGCGCCATGTTCACAGCCGACATATGACACATTAGAGATGAATAACACCACCCGTGTTGATCCCAAGCGTTCGCACATCTGAATGTGGTTTACTTTCCTCTTCCACCAAACTTCGACAATAGCAAATAAGGAGAACATACTGTTGTTGAGTTTTTAACGACGAAACACTGCTGAATAGATCCACCCCCCCCCCGCCCCCCCTCTCCGACAGAAACACACGATACGAAACACACATTCAAGTACCTTCCATCAGACGAGCCCACCACCATCTTGTCATACAGAGGACTGCACGCCATCGCAACAGCGCGGCAGGGTGAGCTGTCGTCACGCAGCAGCTGGATGCTAAACTCCACCTGCAAACAGGCAAGTCGGGCAAATAGTCGACATGGGGTCAGTGAGTGCACATGAACCAAGTCAGACCCACGAAAGGCCAATAGTGTTTAAAACTTGCAGAACATGGAAGTGACCATACGTTCAAGCTTCATGCTCACGTCGATAGCCAAGTCACCCTATCACCTACGTTGCGGCAGAGTGGTCAAGCGGCTAGGGGGGGACATTTGACGTGTGTACAAGGTCACTTGTACGCTGCGATCTAAGCATCCCAATAACTTCTTGGGGTTCTGCCAACCTTGGAAAGAAACTTCAAGAGTACCTCGAGGCTTCCCCCTGACTCGGTCGGAAGTGCAAGCCATTCGATCGAGCCGTCGCTTCCAGTCACGACAATGTGAGTCTTGGTCATGAGGAGGCCAACAGCCGTCCATTCCCCGTCGGAGGTGTTCGAAGCACGGCTGAGTGTCACGCAAGAAGTGTACTTGCCCGTGTTGGCATCAAAGCATGCCTGCACACAAAAAGGGGTCAACGATTTCACGAACGACAACAAACGTAAGCGGCGGGAAGTTGTTCCGGGCAACTGCACTTATGGATCACGGGAAGGTAGTTGTGTGCGTGTGGGTCGTATAACCTTCCTAATAGTAAGTATTTTTCGACCGGTGATACTTCGACCTGGGAATCTAGCGATGTACACAGAAAACAAGGCGCAGGCGCAGGTAAGGTCATTGCCTGGAGAACTACTGATTTCTCAAGCAGGGATTGGGTACAGCCTACATCGATCACTGCCTCTATCGACACCACACCAATGATATTTATCTGGGAGTCATATGTCTACGGCACGTCTGCTGAAAGGGGTAGCGCAACGCCGTCGAAGACCAGCCACGTGCGACACGCCTGTCCTCACCAATTGTCCCGGTTCATTGACTGCCCAGAGCGTGCTTTCAAGCCCCCAGCAATGACACGTGAAGGAGTCGTGCTTCCCATCCCCCATGGTAACGAGGTTCTCGAGGTGGAATATCTCGGCCGCGGCAACAGCTCCTGCCGCATCCCCTGTCTCAGGTTGGCTGCTCTCATAAGAAGATGGACTGCGCGAGGCCGAGGCTTCAGCAGGGGCACTTGTCGTGTCGGGGAGGGGTTGGTCGCTTGCACCAGTCGAGTTCACGCGGTCCGCGGTACCGATCGCGTTCTGATCCGCGTTGACATCGTCGACCTCGATGTCGTCCTCTTCTTCGAGCAGGTTCCGCTTGCCCCTACCTCGGGGAGCAGGTGCTTTGGCCTTGGTTGGAGATATTACCTAGCGGGGCCACGAAAGCAACGACGATGGTTGTCCGCTCTCCAGGTTTCGGTCTCGATGCTTTAAGTGGTGGTTTAGCGCACACGGTGAGAAAATGTGCTGAGGAAGCTAATGTCCCTTAACTTGTTCCACGCAGAGGGCTTACGGCTACACAACGACTGCACAAAACTCTTACCCAATTGTCAACAAGGTTGTCCACCCTCCAGAAATAGAGACCACTAGCTCCTCCGATGCAAAGCTGGTCAGAGTCGGCCGGGTTGAAGCTGAGGAATGACATGTCACCAGGAAGAACGGCTTCGACGACCTAACGGGGACGGTCGATTTGGAGGCCTCACCGGTCAGCAGAACTGCTACCAGTACTTCATAGAATCAGCTGGGCCTGAGCAATATTAACAAGCTTAACTACCTCACCGACTCGGCATCGCAACACATTCGTGTGAAGCCTGTTGTCACCCACCGAGCACCATGCTGCCACGTGCTCCAATACTGCAAGGAACGGAGCGAGGTATATACCTTTTCTCCTGTGAGCTCTTCTTCATCTGCCGAAGCCTTCTTCACATTCCACACTGTTGCCAAGTGGTCCGTGCGATTTCCGAACGCTGCAACCCGTGCTCCATCACGGCTAAACGCCACATCGGTGTACCGGAGATCGGTGCCACCGAGGAGGGTACCTCGCAATACCATTCCTGGGTAACTGCCGTATTTTCAACAGAGAGTACGCGTCGTGTCTTGGCACTTGGTCTTTAACTAGTAGGTTAAACGGTAAGTTAGTTAGCGTCAGAGTTCGGAGTTTTGGCACTTATGAGGGAAATTTCAACTCTCAGCCGTCGAGGGCGACTCAAAATTCAACGGCGGTTGGTTGTGATTATTCATCGAACTCAAAAACAAGGACGACGGAGGATTTGCTACAACAAACGTACCTGTACAAGTGTATGGCTGGATTAATTCTCCCTGCAGGACAGACAGCCAGACGGCCTGCCCGCCAGTTCGCTGCCACAGCAGACATGCCCGCCCACTCGTTTTCTTCCCACAAGCATTCGCCATCTCCGTCACCCTTTCGGTTTAAAATTGAGGTCTAGGTTGAGGGTGTGAAAATTGGAGAGACAAACTTGTATACCAAAGCTATGTACACCTGTCTGCGCGAATTCGTTGAGGACGTACAACAAGTGCAAAGACCAAAGTAACTAAACTGCTGTAGACATCCCTCACGTGTTCTGCATTCCTACATTATGTTCAAACCCTTCGACGAGTGAGTATGTTGCATACAAGGGATTTCCTCTGAGAGGAGTTTTCGCAATCGAGTGGCCGGAGAGGGTTGGCGGGCGCCATGCATAGTGCGGCAGGCACAGCATACATGAACATATTGATCTCTGTGATCTTGACATCTTGACAGGTTTCGGTGGCGGGCAGGCTAAAACTAGCTGTTCCAAGGACGGTACTCTAACTTAACGCAGTGTTTCGTGGCTGCTTGAAGAGGGAACGAAGTAAAATGCAGATATACGTCATCTTTTAATCTCATTTTCTATGATACCAGTACGTGGCATTCTTCGTGGCACACCTTGTCCGGTAGTAGATGCGTAATTCGCACCGCGCTGCCAAAACAATATGCCACGCTGCTTTCGTCAACGAACGTAAGTCGCGTGCCAGGGTAGGCCAGGGCCCTTTTCGGGGACAGACTTATTCCGGACATGTGCTGACCCTACACATATACGTTGTTGTGTGTTGTGTGTTGTCTTTACATTAAAATGTGGTGGGTGTTTCATAAATAATTAGTGGTGTGCGATGGATCCGTGGTCGCGCAAGGATCTGGAACGAAGGAAAAGAAAAAACGGTTTCATGCGGCAGAACAATGGAACCAGCACCCACCCCGCGGAGCCCCTGGATTCCTTTCTTTCGCGGAGCCCCGCGAGTCCTTCGGGGAGGGTGTGCCCTGTGCCTGTGTGCTGGCTCCGTGACAGACATTGAACAGAGCCAAGGCAGCAGGAGGGCGGGGTGCAGTGACCACGACCGGCGGCAAGTCGCACGTTTCAACGAAGGAACAGGAGATCGAGGTGGCTTCTTCGTGCAGGTCGCGGACGGTGAGGCAGGGAGTTCGTGCGGGGTTTGACCCTGATTTTATTGCCCGCGTTGTATCTGCTACATACACGATCGCGGAGAGGTTGAAACTGAAGACCTGCTGTGAGGGCGCGTGTTGCCGTATGTTGATGGCGTGAGACTTCTGACAGAGGGATGTTGCAGTTCCACAACCTTGAAACGTTTACTGTGTGACGAGTGGGGAGAACAGATACCGGTAAGCTTACACCGCAGCGGCTACTGCAGCGGTGTTGTCCGTCCGCCCTCAAATGTAAAAATGTGGGTGAAACTCGTAAACTTCCTTTCTCTTTCTCTGCGTGACGCAACTATGGTGTTCGTTTTTTGTTCAGCAGTATACTGCTGTATTAGTATCAAGGGTCGACGGAGTCTTCTGGATCCAGGGCGATAAATGAAAGATGTGGGGCGGGTCGGGAGGTTTACTTTCGAGATGGTAGTCGCACGCCCCTTCATCCAAGGCCGCGCGTTCTACTTTCTTGTTGGTGGCAAGTAGCGACTTCGACACGTCAACTGCGGTATGCATAGGAAACACGCGTCGACATCGTTGTGAGAGACCAAAAAAAGGCGCATAGAGACGGATAGTCTACTGCTGCGGCTTTCTCGTTGATGCTCGGGACAGGCGACCCGTTGCCCAACAGGGGTAGAAAGGAGAGGGAGGGCCTACAGCCTTACCCACACTCTCCGACAGGCATCAGCTCTGAACACATGCAGCGGTCGTTGTGTTTGGTCCGCATTCTTGGAACCGGTGCTCGTGGCACAGCAGCAGTGGTGACGCTAATTGTGTTGGGAAAATAAATACTTCATGTAGTATGCGTAAGTGCAGCAGTAGTCTCTGCTACGCAGGCAGGAACGAAGACCAGCAGCAACCATTGCAGTGTGAGACGGCTCTAATCATTCACCCGGTAGAGTGAAATGTGTTGTCGACTGCTTGGAGGTAAACCAAATATTCTACAATGTAGGGATGCCTACAAAATTGATCAAGATGTTTTTCCGTAACTGCAATGTAATTATGAGGTTTTTTCGGTGGGCAGATATTTTGCTGCATGCACACTGCACACGTGTCCGATGCGTGTTTCAAAACGGTCTTTAGGTCCCAATTTTCGTCTCAACAACACTTTATCGAAAGTACCGGCGTCCGTTTTCGCTGTTCGAACTGCATGCATGCCGCGCTCGCGTCGGCCAATGTACACCACCAGTATTGACACGACGCCGGAATCGCCTGTCCCAGGTGCGCTTGGCTGAACGAGTATTGCCGGGCATACATGGCATATATCTCCGCAGGGGCAGCCGGCCGTGACAAAGACTCCAAACAATCAGCCGAAGGGGCAGCTGGCGGTGACAAAGAATCCCAACTTTCAGCTATGCTGTCTAGCCCCTCTGCCGGGGGCATGCGATTGGCAGGGAACTATGCCCACCGTGGCTCTCCCGGTGAGGGATGTCGGCTAAATTTGGTTGGTTGGCGAGTTTTCTTTTTGTTTGTTCGTCCTGGTTTGTTTCTGCAGGTGTTGGCAAGCGTAGTCCTTCATGTATCATGTGTTGACAAGATCCTGAACACTGTATCTGTCGCTTGAGGTACCGCACCTGTCGTTGAGCAGACGCGTGTATTTTTGCGCACAGGCATGCGTCGAGATTCCGTCGCCAAGTATGCTGGATCATTGAGTTGTGCTACCTTCATTTCTTTGCCCTGTGTTAGCTATGCAATCCATCGATTGTGCGCGTGTTTTGTCTGTGCAAGCGTGAGTTCTGAATGGGATCATCACGGCTAACAGCATGCGAGCGGCGACCGCAGCAGAACGGGGAAGATTTTTTTTCGCGACCGTAGGTTGCTGGGTTTCCTAGAATCCCCGCAAGGATTTGTATCAATATTATGCGAACATTGAGCCTTGTGACCGCTTGTGCTGTCTGAACTTCGTTTGTCTTATTCTCCAGGTGTAGTTCGGCGGACAGCTAGTAGACCCATCTCTATCATTCGCTCTACATCAGTCCCAGCTCAGCTCCAAGATAGAACGCAGGCCGGTGACCCGGATCCGGAAGGGGGTAGCGGAGGCAACCCTGCAAATAGGAGGGGCCTTCACACTCGCGACAGGAGTCTTCAGCACGATTTCAATAGCGGTGCGGCAGGAGGAGTTAATGGGATCGTCCAGTCCCTCCCTCCACCGCAGGCTCCCCTGCTGGCGGGGTCCCTCCCTCCGTCGCGTTTTTTGGATGACTTGCCACCCCTCAGTCTTGGACCGCAGGTGTGTTTATAGGACACGTGACGCAATTTATTTTCGCCAGGAACAGAGCGTAGCAACAGTGTCTTTGGTGCAAAGGATTGCGGGGAGAACGTAGCCTGGTTATTTTTGTACCCTTGATGCGACTTTCTACGAGACCCACGATCGGCACAACTGTCTGCATAGCTTGTCTGTACAAGAAATTTTGAAGAACTTTTGGTTTTGCATGAATGACTTGCTTTCCCCCATTTTCGTCATTCCATGTGACGTACTCATATAGGGGAAAGAAGTGCCAGTAATCTGCTCTCCTTTGGTGGGCCTGCCAGGTCTAACCTCTGATTGCTAGATGCATGCGTTGTCCGTAGTCCGGCCCATGGACATCGCTTAACACGCAACGGTCCGCTGTGTGCATCACCCATCCCGGGGACCTTGACCCTCTTCTGGCGCAGGCTGACAATTCGTTTGACTCCGATTGTGGCGCGCTATCGACGTCGTTGAAGGCGAACCGCCTGGTAAGTGGTGTCTTGTCTACCCTCCCCGGCTTTTCCGAATCAAACCGTTACGTTCCATGCGCAAGATGCACAGCAATCGTCCACAATTTAGGGACACCCTCTCTGTTGGAAGCTCCCTGCTTTCAGTTAGAAGTACATGTTTTCGCGAGCAGGACGGGTGCGAATGTTGTGGCACACCCCGAGAGGGCTACGTGATTATAGATATTGCGCCTGTTTGTATCAGACACCCCGCCACTGAGCACCGAGACGTTCGGCAACAGATTGGTAGCTCCTCTGTTTGGTGTTTGTGGCCACTCCGAAGTAGCACGTTGTCACTTTTCTCGTGCGAGCAAGTATTGTTGTCAGCCTGCCGGCTCCAAGATGCCCCAGTGCATTCTTCCTTAGGTTGGCGCTGCCCAAGACTGTCGGCTACACCGTTTCAATGTTTTTCCTAAGTTGTTTTTTCCTCCACACCGCCCACATCCCTCGCGCGTACGGTCGTGTCGGTGTTGATTATTGTCATGACAAAACGCAGTACGCCACGTCTTGTCCGGCAAACATCGGAGCGCATTTTGGCCGCCCGCCAGGATCGAGACTCCAGTCCATGTCTGTTCTCGCAGAGGGGTCGTTAGATGAGGAGGAGGAAGAGGCGGCGGAGGAAGGGGCAGAGGCGTCGAAGAGGATCACGGCCCTGTCCATTCTAGAGTCTTTGTCGCAAACGCCCGCCGCTCCCGTGGACGGGTCGAGAGTGGACGCAGAATCTGTAGAATCGTTGACGAACATCGTAGATGAGCGACTGCCCATCGAAGACGACGTGTTCGAGCTGGACGGACTCGAAGGGGTGAGAACGAAGTTGGCAGCAGTGTTAAGTGCAGCAGTTGGCTCTGACTTGAAAAGAGAGTACATGCGCATATTTTTCAAAACTGGCGTGCATTGGTAAGGGCATGTCGAATCGGCCAGTGCAGACCGCCTATGAAAGGAGTACCTGCTTTCTTGTTGATCACCCCCCCCTGTTCGCAGCATCATGATGTGCTACACGCCAGCTACGCACGGCACGCCAGTGAATAGCATGCATTCCTTTCGTGGATGACGCATACTCGTACTCAGCAGAGTATGCTGTTTGTATTGTTTTATCAACCTCAAACCACGCTCTTGTTTGTTCGCAGGTGAACGAGGAGCTGGAGGCTCTTTCTCTCTCCGAAGCAGGCAGCAGCAACATGTCTTAGCTCGCTCGCTTTCCCCCAACGGCATGGAGCCTGCCTTAGCAGGATAAGGGCAGTCTCGGGACTCTGACACTCCGCTTCCCGTTACATGTCGCAGCGTTGCTTACCATCCTTGGGGCAACAACTGTACATCAAATCGAGCTCTAGAGCTGGCCAGGTCCGCGTTAGGGCGTCCCTAGCTGGCACAGCGCCCAATGTCATAGCTTGGCGCTGGAGCCCGACGTGTGGGTCTGGATTGATCGACTGTGTTGGTTTGGACAACGACTGAGCTACCCGTTACTTGGTGCTACAAGGGTATTTTTGTGTTTACACACAGTAGGGTAGGACACGGTAAGTTTGGTGCAAGTGGTTGAAAGTTTGCGGTTCCTTTTCTTGGTCTTGTTTGTGTGCATAGTTCCCATTTGTTGCGCGACGAAGCGTAGGATAGAGGGTGCTTGACAGATGCGCATTTCGTTTGGTTGTTGACAAGATAGATAAATTACCATGAATTTGCAGGTATCAAAAGATGGTTGGTCTTGTACAAAAGGAGCACAGTCGTAGGTAGATGCAGCTGTAGGCTGTGGTCGCAGCAGTTGTTGCCATGATATGTATATGTGAAAGTGTTATTTTTCATGCGGGAGGATGCATGAAGATGCATGCACACAACCCCCTAAATGGGGCGATTGTTGCAACCCCCAGGCGTTAATCTCGGATGTTCTCAAGTGCTTTCTCTGGAGTTTTGAATAGAATATCATGTTCGCTCGGATGCGTAGCACGTTCCCCGAGAGTGTATTCCTAGGGGCGCTGTAGTGATACAAATCCTTCCGTTGAGTCATCGCAAGGATACGGTACCACAGAAATTATCACCACCGATCCTTGGCCTCCTTTACGGTGTCAGTTTCTGTTATAAAACCGAGTGATTTTTCTTCAATCGACTTTGGGAGCTTCTTGGATTTTCGAGCGGGGTGGATAGAAGCGTAGCTGCTGCGATGCATGCACCCCTTGGTGCCAAGGTCGGTGCCAAGATCTTCGTCGTTTTTTGAGAAAATCGCTTTCTTGGTGGGCCTCATCTAGAATACAACCATTTTTTTTTTCTTTTCTTCAGTTTCGCGACCCCCGCGGCTGAGCAGCCATAGCATCACGGTTTTACGTAACCTGTGCGCGCCCGTCTGCAAGCTTCACCTTCACTAGTTGGCTCATGTTGTAATTTGTTTGGGTGTGGAAGCTCACGGAGCCAAGGCGTCCACACAATCAAAAACATGTTTGTATGCATGCATGATCTTCCGAGCAAAGCGTCTGCCAGAGTTCAAACACCACCCATGGTTTGTGAGTCCCAAGAGGTCGAAGGCGGGTGGAGGAGACAGGTCTCGAGAACCAATGTGACAGGGCTCGCCGGCCATCTGCTCAGGATCGCGTATGTATCATGCTCGTACTGAACAAAGCAGCAGAGTCGCCTCTTCTGATCTCGCCCTACTTTCCCTTCATGATGCGGTCATTTCATGCGGCGCTCCGGTAAGTGGAGGATGAGTAGAGCGGAGGGAGGGCTTCCGGGAACCAATCGCTGTAATAGCTACACATCTGTTCCGATTTCGCATGTTTTGTGGGCGGTACAGAGTAGGACGTGATTATCTGAACACCTGGGATGTTGATCTATTCTGTTAATATTTTTCGATCACACGCACGACCAAAACGCACGCCCTGCTCACAGCACTGCATATTGCCGGACCCCGTCCCTGAATCCTAATTGGGTCAAGTTTGTGGCTAGTACTGTAACTCGCTTTGACTCTTCGCTCTCGCTTCTCCCTTCCGCAACACACACACACATCATTTTTTTTCCAACGGCAAGGGGAGGCGCCATGATGGGATGCAGGTTGTGCTGCGGTCACACGTATGCATGCGGTTCGCCCTATTTCAGTTGTGCTCATACACACAACCTCTCTTCCGATATACGTGAAAGGTGCTACTAGCGCTATCCTCAACGTAACCATCTGCCTCCTGCTTGTCTGTTGCCTTGCATGCCTGCCGCACACAGCGCACGAGCTAACTGTTGAAGGAAATTTTCATCTCTCTTCTTCCTTTGTCTCCCTCCCTCCCTCCCTCCCTCCCTCCCTCTCTCTCCTCTCTCGCTCGTGGCCGGGGTATTCCCAGGGCAATTGATAACCTATCACACGATTCAATTTATTTACAACGGAAGGACTCGACAATATTTCAGCAGTACGCGTTCCTTCAATTGTGTCTAATGGCTGCCTACATTTGCTTACACCTCCGCCCACCCTTCCTTCACTAGGTGTTCCACGAAACGGTCGCACACCTACGGTTTGAAGTAGCAGCTGGTTTCCACATCAAGCACCGAGATGCAGAAACAAGGCATCCCAGTGGACCGTCGGATCCGGTGGCGGGCGGGCGTAAGTAGCAATCCGCGTGCCGCCAGATCGACGCTACCCTCACCGATCTTTCGAGGCAGGCGGATACGAGCTGTCCGGCACCCCCGGTTTTCTTTTCTTTTCAACAAAGCCACCACTCCTAACGTCGTCCACCACCTGGCGTCCGGGTCCACTTGTTTTCCCCCTCCGTAGTGACGACCCTTTCCCACCGAACGGGCCGCTGAGCTCCGCCCGCATTTGCCGCCGGCCTTGCGTATTCAAAACCTTCCCTGACTTCTTTTCGACATGGCACATCGACATGCCCGCCTCAACCCCCCGCATATTGAATTCCCCAAGCTGGCCAGTAGCGCGCGCAGGAGGTCGAACAAGGAAGTCAAAGATACGTTGACGCGGGCAGCATTGAACTTACAATAAAAGCGTTGTAGCGCCGGTCCCCCTGGATAGCGCCGGGCGATGCGCCGGGCACATACCGGCGTGATTGAGGGCCGCCCACTTTAATTCGAAAACAGACATCACCAAGCTATTGTGATAGTACATAGGAACAAACCCATGTGTCTATTTCTTGGCCGCAAGCATGGACCACACTTCATCATCTGCCCCAAAAGTTTATTCTTGACGAGATACACTGTGGGCCCAATACCATTCTTGAAGCTGTTCGTCTGACCGCGATGATTTTCTGTTTGAAATGGCGCTGTCCGCCCTTTGCATCCTAATATTCAAGCCGGCCCGGCCCTACTTGGCTATCCCTTCCATAACCTATGCTTTGCAAGAAAGGCACCCAAGGCAGCATTCCCGCCTCTGGAGTGCGCCGTGATCGCATTGCATGCAGGTGCATACCAGTAGCTGGCTGGAGACCCCGAGCAGCAAGACGAGGATGTATCTCCTGGGCGTCTTGGTTGTATATACAACAACAGCTCGAGACGCATGCGCAAGACCGCAACTCTCGACACATACAAGTTTCACAAAATGATGTGTGTCCACCTCGTATAAAATACAATTTTGAGCTTGCGTCCGGCTTCAAATAGAATTCTCTAGCACACCAGCCGACTTGTACTCAAAACGCGCTTGCTTGTGACAGAAAAACCAGTTCTCTCGTCCAAGTCAAGGGCGGCAAATTGTCACAGCAGTGGAACAAAAAGGTACAGCGATTACATATTACATACAAATAGTCTCGACGTCAGAAAAAAGAAAAACATCCCGTGGACTGCTGTGGGTATATCTCGAACGGGTAGTCTTTCTGTGTAATTCATTCTTCCTAATAGAAACGGTTGTCCGCTCCTCTGCCTTCAATGAGCTCCCGTTCGAACAAGTTTAGACCCCGTAAGCCGCTGCTGATCGTGAGTGACATGGTGGACACCTCAGGGTATTTCTCTAGGTCAGAAATTGCTGCGTTCTAATGTACGCGCAACAGGATTCATGCTAAATATGCATACATGTGCCCCGAGCTACAAAATCGTTTGATCATTCGTTCGCTTCCAATATTCAACGGAACTGTACAACTTACACATGAGGTGTCACTACGACTAACACACAGGTCCAGCTATTCCGCGGGTTGACAACAGTCAATACGGGCCCCTCGAGAACTAGGCGGGGCCGCGTATCCACTCTGATGTCGGTAAACACCGCTGGAATCGGCGGATCTTCAAATTTCCGAAACCAGCACCGTGGCGCGTGCTGTGTTGAAGTCGTCGAGCCCTTTTGACTTTCGACGGGCCGAAACCATGCAAGCAAGTGCTCACGAACGTTTAAAGCCAACTTTCGATCGAGGAGTGTCGAACCACCTCCAGTTAATACATAGGCTTTTCACAGCCCTCTTTTCCATCACTGCTACACCTCAACCCCCTTACCTTGGTGCCAACGAAAGCCCGCATCAATCCCTCCTTTTGCAGGTGTTGTCGTTGAATTGCAGTCGTCGTAGAGCCGGTGCCAGCGCTAGGCTCAGCAGTCCCGCCGAAGGTGTCTATTTTGAATGGTGTCTGACCGGCCAGCTCGCCAGCTGCTGCATCAGCTGAGCCTCCCGTGGTGGGCACGGAAACATAGGGAGAATTCCCCGCGGCCGGTAGACCCTGTCCGCCGGCGAACTGGAGAATTGAATCGCACAATGCTGTCTCATTCATTGTTCGCTTGTTCATTGCTCCACACACACACAGCACAGCAACAACGCGACGAAAATCCACTATGTACAGCAGGCGATCCACTCCGAACCATGTGCCGCCTGTGGGTACGACACGTGTACACGGAGAGCCCAATCGGGAAGTGAAACGACCCAAGGCGTGAAAAGCCAGCAACAGGAGCTGCTGGTCAGGGCCTGGGTTGTGGAGGCCAGGCTCTTGATGGAGTTGCTGACGAGTTGACGAGGGCACACACAGAGAAATATCCAAAAAGGAGGACAGGTATGCGCGAACAATAGAACTCGCATCCGGCGACACCCCTTGGGTGCGGCGGTGCTTTTGTTTTGTCTGTTGGTTGTGGGGTCCTCTGTCCTGGATCAGTCAGCACAGCAGCACCCTCCCTCCTGCTGTATCCCCTCCCATCCCGTGGCCTTGTTTCTGCTCACCAACTGCATGCGAGTCGGCTTTGCTCTCCACGCAGCGTTTGCCTCGAGCGCGAAGATTTCACGTTGCGCTCTGTCCGCCGCTTACAGCATCTTGTCCGACGCGACCATGACAATGGGCGAGACGATGCAAGTCAAGAAGCTCTCGGAGAATGCCATTATGCCCGTCAGAGGCTCAGAACACGCTGCAGGGTTCGACCTCGCGAGGTGCGTGTGTGGACTGCTGCTGTGGGCACATGGTGATGTAGAAAACTGCTGCGTATCCGTTTGAGAAATCTTGGGAAATTTCAAATTTCAATGATGTCTTCAAATCTTGGACCTTGCTGGCGTTTTTGGCGCGTACAGCCTTACCGGTAGGTTTCTGCTACGTATTAAACGCGTTGTGTCAACTTCGTATCACCACAAGCACCGGTACCGGGTATCTACAGTCCTGTACCTTTCGATCTTCCCTTTACTATCGAGGAGCTTTGATCTGGCCACACAGAAGGATTGCCTTCAATTGTATAGTATGCCTCCTACTGACGATAAACCAGCACGAGTTAGACTCCGGCAGTGTTGCCCAGGAATGTACGACCGTCCAAAGCGTTCAGTACCTCTAGACCATGGCGGCAACGCACCGCAACAACAGAGTGAACACAGCAGTATATTTCAACGTCCAGAACAAAACAAGACAACACACAAACAGCCGTAAGTACAGCAGGTTCTCTGATCATAATATTTTCCGTCTAAAGAGAACGGTTGCAAAGCGGTGACAGCGGTAGGGCTGCCGTGTTGTCCCTGTTCTCCCCGCGTGTTGTCGGAGTCCGTCTCAAGGTGGTCCTTGGTGAAAATAGATGTCATCTTACAATTATTTTGTGAAGTCATGCGCGAAGTATTCGTCCATAGCACGAGCCAGCTTGTGTGCCCGCCTCGTATACGGCTGTAACGTTAGCATGCTGGAACGTGAGATGGCTGTTGTGCATGATTTGCCTTCAACCGTAACGTGCGCAACGCAAGACGTGTGCTATCAAACACCCAAGCTCAAGGGGAAGGGCATGCGAAAAATACCCATCCAAACTAGTACTTCAGTACTTCGTATCGTTATTTTTGATGTTGGCTAAAAATGACTTACAATGGGGCGATCGTCGCTTCCGTTCCTCGGCGGCGTTTCAATGATCCATGCCCGTCGTCTTCTTCTTCGACTCGGCGGCTGTCTTTCGTTATTGCTTCAGTGCCTACGAGGCCACGGTCCCCGCCGGGCGTCAAGCTCTCGTTAAGACGGACCTCTCCATCGCCATTCCTCCCAACACGTACGCGCGCATCGCCCCTCGATCCGGCCTGGCCGTGAAGAAGATGATCGACGTCGGGGCGGGAGTTGTGGACTACGACTACCGCGGGCCTGTTGGAGTGGTGCTCTTCAACCATGGGAGTGAAGACTTCAAGGTCCAAAAGGGAGATCGTGTGGCTCAGCTCATCTTGGAGCGCATCTGCATGGCAGACATCGAGGAGGTGATACAAAGTGGTTTGTTTTCTTGCTTTAGTCATCCCATCTATGTACGTAGGATTGCTTCCTCTCCAGGGGCCACGATCGAGGTAAAAACCAAGAAGCGTTCTTCTGTCCTGCGTGCCTTGGAAGGAGTATTATGGTGCGAAGGATTCACCAATCTGAACCTTTCATCCCTCATCGACCTGTTTGTCGATTTTAAGTACTCGCGAATGCGCGTGTTATATCCAGTGGCATCAGTTGAACTTACAACCTGGACCATCCAGGTTTCAGACCGCGAACATGTTTGAAGCGGTTTATTTCTCAATGTTGATGTACTAGTCAAATTGAGCTCAACCTTCACGTATGCACGCGGACGAGGTTTTTGAATTGTACGTTGTCGTATTTTTTTGCCAGGTTACAGAGCTCTCCGAAACAACAAGAGGCAGCGGAGGATTTGGCAGTACCGGCGTTGAACAAGGCGCGCTTCAATCATCATCCACCGTGGCGAACGGGGCAAAGAAAATCAAAGTGGTGGGGTCCGAGCCGGTGAGAGCAAAGTATTTGGTGCCCCAGGCATCCTTCATGTGCAGGTACTTGCTGTGTCAGTAGTTCACGTGCGTGCCCGCGATCCTCACGTATGTGGTGCCTGAGACAGTCAGTAGGTGTAGCTGTGTCGAATGTGTTTTTTTTCCTGAAATGCATCCTGACCGCATTTGTGGAAATGACAGGTTTCGAGAGCGTCGGCCACAGTAGCGAAAGTACTCAGGCTTATCGACCGAGTCGACAAGCTGGATGTAGATGACGCCCCAACGCTTGTCGCAAAGGTGAGCGCCACGCCGAATGCGTTCCTTGTGTTTAGGATTTGCTCGCAAAATCCACAGCCGCGGGCGTGTGTTATAACAATGAGAATGGCAGGCGACTGCCAACTCGGGAGGGTTACTTTGCACTTTTGTCTCAGCTAACCATTGTATGCATAAGATAATTATTAGGGAAATAAATCCACACACAGAAAGACTACCCATTCGAGATATACCCACAGTCGAACGGGATGTGTTGGAGTCTTTTCCGTGGGTGGAGGAAAACCGGCTGGGTACTGGACTTATTTCGAGTCGTTTTAAGCCTCTACGCTGATGATTTTTATCAGTGATAGCAGCTGGTGTTAAGTACAAAAACATCTGTATCAAAGTAACCCACAGTTTACAAAAAATCCCCTGTAGTTCAATACTGGGTCAACGACAAAATATCGGGCAGAATCCCTCCGTTATGTCGTGTGTCATAAAATGTAACCTTCACAAGGAACACGGCGCGTGCCTTTTGACGAAGCTGGTTTCTAATTGTTGTTGTGGATGCGATTTTAGGAACAATATTTGTAAAGGCCATGGACTACTCATTTATTTTCAATCTACAATTTTGAGTTTTGGGGGCCGCTGTTTCCCGCCGTTTTTGAATCTGCAAATGCGACATTTGATCCTTTGGGGTTTACGTATGCATATCAGTGATGTATTAGACAAGATTGGTATACAGAGTGTATGGTAAGTAGGGCATAGCAGTCAGTTTGTATCATGTTAAGCTTGTTTCTTGTTATGTTTGGTGTTGGCAAACAGCAGTAAAGCACGAATATTTTTCAAAAGATAGATGGGTTGGTTGGTTTGTGGACTTCCCTGTTGTTCCTCAGGACGATTTGCCGAGATATCTGGTTGAGACCATTTTAAGAGATAAATGAGTCCGGATGAGTCGGGAGGTAGGGGCCTCATCTAATCCGCTTCCACACCACAGGAGTACTTTCAACGACTTTCTTGCCTTCCTTTTACTAAAAAATGACGACATAGGCTCCGTTTATGGGCGCGACGTCGCGGCAGGATCCCAAGGTCGACGTAGCTTAGCCGGCTGCCGAGGGCAGGAAGGTATTCTCGGTTGACGGTTGGGCAATTGCAGTGGGTTCCAGAAAGAGATTCGAGCAGGGCGGTGCCACAAGTGGTCCACCCGCTCATGCCAGCAAGTGGCACGTGGAAGATCCGTAGATCGATCAAAGTGGCTTCCTTTCTATGGTTTGGGATGCTTCTAATGATCGTTTTCCTACACTCAGGAACGTATCCGCGTTGGATCCTACGCTTCCAATATACCTGTCATTAACACGTGTCATTGTAGAGTAATTTCATCTGCTGCGCCTCTGTCAGTTGCTCGCGACACCCTGAAGCTCGCAGCAAGCAGACGTACAAATAGAACTGGCTCAAGGCCGACAATCGAGCGACGCCGGCAGTTCACATGGTTTCTTTTCCCTAAGTTGCTTCTTCGCAAACCACGACACTCCGCGCTCAAGGAGATCTTCATGGTGTCTATCTAGTGGCAGGTATTGTGTAGTGTCGAGAATCGAGCTGAGAGTCTTCGGATCTTGGAAATAAGCAAGAGGGTTAGAGAGACTGTGCGCTGCATCTGTGCAAGTGCCGTCTGTTTTGGTTCGAAAGGACACATACACCTGTCGGTGAGTCACAAGCATCCGCGCCGTGGCGCGTCAGCTCATTGTACTCGCCGACTCGCCACTATCGTATCGTATCGATTGAATAAATCGGTTCCCAACACTTTTTATGTACGTAACACCAAATCCAACACAACCAGTGGTAATGGCGAAAACAGCATCCTCCTTTTTTGTCAGCGAACCTCTGTACATTCCTTTGATCGTCGAAACCCTCCTTTTCCGCTATCTGTCTCGTCCTCTACCTGTCAGTTGCGGAAGGCTGCGATGTCCAGGCCATCATCGCTGGAGGATTTGCTGGTCGGTATTCTGGAGATCTACGACGAGACCGGAGACACCAAGGCGCTGAATAAAAACCTGATGGCCGTCGTGACTGCGTAATCTAGTTCGTGAGCCCACTTGCATTGCCAACCTGACGCAGTACGGAACAACGTGGAATGGAACACTCTAGAGTTGCCTTTGCTCACCTTCGCTCATGACCAGACCGAGGGGAAAAAGAGGCGGTACTGCCAACTTGTGGAGCGGGCAGGCCTTCAGTACGCAGAGAGCGTTGAGAACGCTTGTTTTCTCTTGACCAGAGAGAATACTTGTGCACGATTTAACCTTTTTGCACCCCCAAGATGTCTTTTCAGATAAGAAGTGGTCAGAGGCTGGGGAAGAAACAACCGTGATGTGCCAAACCTTGGATACCCCGGGAGTCTAGTTGGTATCCTCGCAACCTTCTAGCAGCCAGGGTGAGGGGTTTGAGTCCCGGCGTAATCGAGCCTTTCTTGCAACAAAATGGTTATTCTCTCGCTTGCTTTTCTGGTAGTGGACAGCGCTACTTCGTGTGCACACTTTGAGGGAAGAGAGCGCTGCACTCTTCTCGCGGTAGAAACCGAAGGCAAGCGCCGCAGGAGTGGTGCAGGGAGGGAAACCCTTCTGTGTGACCACGGATTGGAGCAGCTCCTACACGGCAGAGATGCTGTGGGTGGTGTGAGCGCTGATGTAAAGTGATGAATGAAATGAATAAAAAATAATGTTGCGTTCAGTCCGTCAATGATGCCGTCACACCATGCCGTTGGGCCCTGAGAAACCTGCCGAACCTTGCAAGACCGAATGCCAAATCTCTGTCGCACCCCCCCACAGAATAACAAACACCGGCTTGGTTTCCTAGGGTGGCGATGGCCTCGTGAGCAGCGTTAGCCCATGCATGTCCGCGATCTCGGTCGCGAGAGCGGCCTTCACCATGCGGTGTTGCGCCACCAGACCCTTGCCCCGAAACAACGGTGACTCGACCTCGATTTTGTACATGCTCCCGCACCCCCCTGAGATATCATGCACGACAGCTTTCGATGCCTCTATCTTCGACCTGCGCAACAAGGCACAGCGTAGGCAGGCAAAGCATGTGTTGGATTGAGCAACACTTCCGTACCTTCTGAACGTATTCCACGCATTGGGTCAATCACTGTATAATCCTCTGCCATAGCCCCCGGGCAACAGTAACGATTTGTAAAATACCACCCCGGCGCTAAATAAGCAAAGGGGGGGGGACCTTGAGACAGATGAAACACCCAGAGGAGGGCAACGTCCTCTGGGCCGCGTAGCGGAATCAGAGACGAAAACCACAACACACACAGGCTCGCCATGGGCCGAAATATGTTCACGGAAAGTAGCAACATGGGAGCCACAATGACCGCAACGATGGGCCAATTGCCGGCAAGAGGAGATCGTCGATTGTAGTGTGTTCGTCCCGGGCGGAGATCCTGAAGATTGGCAAAAAGAAATTCTCCACTGGGCAAATAACAAGAGGTTGGGAACGTCCCAAAACACACAAAAATACTCCAAGCTACTGTGCGCACACACCTCATTATATGAAGGGAACAACAAGACAAACAATTGTACGAGATTTTTTTTTCCGCACACTTGAGGCGATTTTTGTTGGGAGGCTATGGATAATATGGTACATAACACGTACCATCAGCTCTGCCTGGGAAAGTGCATGTGAAATGCAGTAGGGGTACTGTGTTGTGTTGTATAAAAGCATATCGCACGCTGCTGTGTAAGATGTACCTTTCTTCAAGAGAATCCTGCTGTTCTTGGCTGTATGCTGAAATACATCGAGTCACGAGCTGCTTACTTACTCAAGTATCGACGCGATCGCATCTTCTCTTGGACTGTCCGAACCGTTGCTGAGGCCGCGTCGCTGCTCGAGTGGCCAATAGCACGCTCGGCTACACCGAAGGGTGACCGAGTGAGGCGTACAGCAAAGGCGAGAGAGTCAGTGCGCGAGGCCTAGAACCAGTACTATTGTAGCAGTAATTCGCAAACGGTGGTTCAACGAAGGGCAAGAAGTACAGGTACAATAGGTTCGCACGAACTCGTGAAAAAAGGATGGTACCATGGCGATTTCTCATGCGTCCTGCAGGGCAGCCGTGCGTGAACAGCCGCAAGAGGTACACGTTTGCCGAGCAACGCTTGTGTTGCATACGGTAATGCAGCACCCATTATGTAGAGAGGCCTCAAGTGGGAGCTACGCATAAAATAAGTCGATCTGTTTGAGGTGCCAGCTCACCTGTCCGATCCAGCCACAGCAATAGCTCTCAATGGAAACTCAGCGCAGGCCTTCACCGCTGCCGGCACACAAAGCCGAGGATTTCTAGCAAAGGCGGCCCACATGTTGGCGTAGAGACGAGGTGCTGGCACTTTGCACGCGCTTCGCAAACCAGAAACCCAACTCAACTCAATATCTCCGCTCGGTTTTTGGTTCAGGGGGGGGGGGGGGGGGGGCATCTGCGACACCGCAACGAGTTGGCAGCAGGGCAGGGCAGGAAGAAAGAATGAGAAGGCACAACCCTGACAGACCTCGTCTCTCCTTTCCTCCCCTCTCTTTGCCTTCCTTCCCTCGCGCCACACCGCTGAAACATCGCTACCAGCTCCCGTCAACGTTGTGTTGAGGGCTAGCGGGGTGAAGCAGCCGCAAACTCCACCAAACACAGCGAGCGTCACACGAAACACGAGATGAGGATCTCTTTGCTTCAACTCTGCTTCGGCTTCCTTGCTGTATGTTTGGTGTTGGGCGAGCAAGTTGAGGAGGCACCGTCCAGGTATGTGTGTTGATTGGAACGATGTGACGATGGCGTATGATTTTAGAAGCAGCATTCAGCTGCATGCGATTTACGTACATGCTACAGCAGCAGTTCTGAACGACCTGACGGTCAAAACGGGTCGTTGCAGTAACTCCGAACCGTCGACAACGCAACCGCGCGCGCGCGCGCGTGTTGAACCACATCTATCTCTCCCCTGAACGCGATAGCCTGTCATACTATAGTGTTTCTTCACCACATCCAACAAGTGTCGCGATGGTGTCTGCAGCTCCGGTAGTTTCTCATGTTTTACGTGTGGTAGGAGGATGGTGTGTGCATGTGTGTGTGTCTGCGTAGCGCAACCGTAACCGCACAATTGGTCCTGTATTGTTATGTTTATGTATACACGTCTAGCGTCGAGTGTTGCTTCCACGAACATGAATAGAGTTCGGTTGTGTTGCTCCTCCCATCATGATTCTCATCTTGTTGTTTTCGAAGGAAAGCACACACGACTGCGTGTGATGGGCGATGGACGCACACATCGGCTGTGTAGTTTAGTGTCTGTTTTGGGTCGGGGAAACATTTCATACTAAATACAAACTGTGTCAATCAAAGGCGCAGAGCACATTTTTCTGCTCCTACGACATGAAAACTGCAACACGACTTGCAGGTCACACATTTCTGTGCGTGTTTGTTTTGGTCCCATCTATACAACCACAGGTGTTTTTTTCTAACGTACCTCCGGCGGTGCTGCCTTCAGTGTTTACCGCGAGCAGAGTTTCAGCACTCTCTCCTACGGAGTACTTCTTTTCACGCTTACTCGTCCCGGAGACTTTCGAACCACAACCTACAGCAGTAGCACGTGAGCCATGCAAGGTCACCAAGTGAACCACGGGGACGATGGATATTGCTATCAAGCGTCGCAACGGCTAAAGTACAATGATTAAAACCTACCTGCTTGGTGTTGAGTGGTTGAGTTCCGCCTGCCGAGCCTTAAAGCGATGGAAATTCCTGAAAGAGCCGCAGCAGCATGTACTTGATTCTGTTGTGAAAGAAATACACCCTCGAGGTGTCTCAAGGTCTTACCGACCTGGACGTGGATGCTTACCTCTTTTTGTCTGCGTGTGGGTCGGCGGCGTCGTATCTCCTTCCTCTGCTGCGTTGTATGACAGCAATTTGTTCAAGAAGTTCTTCACCAAGACAAAGAATGGCCTCGGCAAAGTGCGGAAGTCGCTTGCTGTTAAGAAGGACAAGGCGGTAGACGAGGAGGTGAGACTGTTTCTTGTGTGGTATGCTTAACGTGTCACAAATCAATTTCTCGACAAGAGCACAAAACTCGCATCATGCTCGTTTTCGCATTACCGTAGTATAGGAGAGGGCATGCCCACATGCCAAGCGCAGGAGTTGGAGAACGTGACAGTACGTCAAAGGGAGGGGGCTATCCAGAAAAGGAAAATAGAAATAGATGCATGTGAAATGGTCGAGTTTGAACTCAAGGCATGAGCGTAAACCGATCACCATACTGTACGACCGAACGGTTGGTGCTGAGAATGATGAATGAACAGGGGGTAGATGGGCAAGACTCAGCGACGTGGATTGTACAAGCGTAAAGATTGCCCGACTGTTGACGGTACTGCTGTATCTGAATTCGGAATAGGAAGTTTGCAACCTCAGTCGTGAATTAGATGCGTGGGTGGTGGTAACATTGGAAGACAGATGCGCCCTGAAAGTTTTTTTTTGCCCGGTTTCCCCAATAATCTACTTCGTAACATCATTATTTGGGCCCGTTGGATCAGCGATCGATAACATGTGGAAGTTTACCGGTTCTCCACGACCCCCGCTCTGTTTCGCCACGCCCCTATTACGTTTCTTAAGGACCCGCTGGGAGAAGGGGTTGAGGCAGTGCTAGACGCCATCGACGAATTCGTGGCCGAGGGGGAGAAAAACACCGGAAAAGCGGCGGAGGACGTAAAAAAAGTTGTCGACGAGACTAAGGAATCGGTGAAGAGTGCTATTTCAGCCTCCAAGGACAAGTTAAACGAAGCGGGTGCCGACATCAAGTCGACGGTAGACGCAGCTGTCGAGGGTGCCGCAGCGGATATGGACGCGGTCAGAGGGTCTCTTCAGGACGGCATCAAGAATGTCGGAGATCAAGTCGCCGAGGCCGCTAGGGAGGCCGCGGAATCTGCTGCGGCAGCGTCTAAAAAGGCGCAAGAGGACGCTGAAGAGACCGCCGAGAAGGCGTCCACGGCTGCGGGAGAGTTGTGATTTGGTGGGAGAGCCGTAGACTCCCGTCCTTGTCAATGGAACCTGAGCTATTCGAAGAATAGCAAGGACTGTTGGTGACGTTGCAATATTAGGCGGTAGTATGAGGAGTGCATTACGAAGAATTCGGTAGCACCTCTTGTTGTCAGATGTTGTGCGTGATAAGTCCGGTTTGGTAACGTCCGTTCAAGCACTTGTTGTGCGTTTGGCTTCCTGGCGTTGCAGTCGTGATAGTGACTGCTAATAGGGCAACATCTGTGACCGTTGCTCTTCCTCGCCGTGCTTCTCTTGCTGTTCAAAGTATTAGTTTTTTTATGCATATTTTGGGTTTGGTTGAAAGTGCCTCTGACTACTTGTAGAAGACCCAGACATGCTTGACTTGGAATTTTGAATTTTGTAATGTTAAAAGTACGTGCGATTGGGGTGGTTTATTGGGAGATTAAGATGTGCCCCTTTATTTGGACGTTGCACTCAATTTTTTGTCTGTCGAGCGTCCGCCGCCAGGTTTTTGTGGGCGCTGTCTGATGTTAATGTCTGGTACGGTTTATATCCCTTGTGTATGGAATCGGTTGGCCTTAGTAGAGCAGGAGTGCCATACCGTTGTTTGAAAGTAGAGTATCAGGACGAATTCAACGTTCCTTCTTGCTTTTCGCACATTGTGCCAATCCATCATGTCACGAGGGCTGCTTCGACGATGATGTTTTTCATTGCAGTTTTCGTTTTCGGATTACTTAGTCAAGCAACGTTCAAGAGTTTACAGAGCATCATCCGCGAGTATGCACGAATGCTCAGGAACGCGTCAAGAATCGTGAGTTAAATGCGACAACGAAGCGATGCCATTCGAAGCTCGTCCTCGATATTCGCACGTGGGCGGAGAGACTTGGAGTGGTTGCGAGAATGAAAATAAATCACTTGTACACTGTAGTGACACCCGTATTACTTTCGAACACAAGCCAATAGCTTGTCCATGACGGGAGGACGCTAGGGGCCAGTAGGAACGGCCAGTTCAGCCCGCCCGGTGCGGTTCTCTTAAAGTAAGTCTGACAGTGATGACGCGAGCTTCGGGGGTCGTCGCGTGTGCACACAGCAGTCAATCCATTTTTTCAGTATATGTTTCGTATGCATAAACACGGGCGTCTTCTTGGTGTCTATCTACCTTGATTGTTACCCGCTGCAAAAATCGAAAGCTTCAGACAGGCAACGCGACGATACTCGTCGAGTTGCCATACACAATGTTTCGTGTGCATATACATCCAGCAGCCATCCAGGTCACCGAAGGCAGGTAACATGTCGTTCGTATTATTTACGTGAGAAGAATTGAGGAGTCCCTTCCCTCTTCGAAATGTAGACAATGCTCCCACGACTATCGCATGCGCTCTCCACACAGCTGCATCGCGAATTAGATCCGCAAGACTCGAAACCATAACCCATTACAAAATACAACAATGTCAATGGGGTGAACAGAGAGGTTTTATGTTGGATGCATTGGTATGCTAGCCTGCATCCTTGCAGGAGCGGAGCATGTAGTCTTTTCGCGGAGGCTAAGACATTTGGGGCAATAGGGCGCACGCCAAAGGATGGAGTTCACCTTCACCAAGGGCACTAGCATATGGTAGTATATAGTACTGAGCCGCAAAGGCCGCATTTTTATCCGCTATTGTATAATAGTCTGTCTACTCCACTTTTAATAGCATACAAATCCACTTCCCACACAAATAGAGCCAGCCTACAGTAACAAAGAGGTACTTCTGTGATTCGATGAATCTTGACAGTTTTGTCAGTCCACAACAACAAACAGTAATTTAGTTGCCCCTTGGCTCTTGGCTCCTCCCGACCGCACACTACGCCTACGTTTACGGTATAATTTCCTCCTGCATCTCTGCACAATGGACACCATACTGGTTATTGGGGGAGGCATTGCTGGATGCACATGTGCCGTCGAAGCATTGCGGTGAGTCGCGTCGTTCTCAATCCTGACATGTTACCTTGGGCGAGTCTGTAAACATGTAATAGTTTGTAGATATATGTCCTGTTGTCCTCGGGTACAGCAGTGTATGTATGCATACAATGTAGCTGCTGTGGTGTTCACGAAACACCCCCAACAGCAGCAGTAGTAGTGTAGGCTAAGCGAGACTCGGGATCACGTGTCCCTGGAACATGCATTTGCATCTATCTGAGAGAGTACCCGATCAACATGTAATTAATGTAGACACACAAAATGCGGTGGATACAATCACCCGCACACATCGATTCCGGCTAATGCGTGTAGGTAGCACGTGAGAGTTATGCATACGTGATGTTTATGTTGTCCCCGCAGGTTGTCTCCTTCTTCGAATGTCACCTTGGTTTCCCCATCACCAACGCTGAGGACCGTGGAAGCAATCGAACACGTAACACCACTGCTTGGAATCGTCCACGTGGGGGATAGGTGAGAGTCTGGAAAGACGGTGCACGGTGTGTGTCGCTGTATGCAGTGTACAGCAAGTTGTTTTTGGGTTGCAATTGGAGACGAGGGTGCATAGTATAGGTACGTCGTACATACATTCGCATAGTATAGGTGATACATATTTGATTGTCTCCTCATACTTCACAACATGATCGAGCTCATTTCTCGATTCGTATAATACGCGATAGCCCTGAGTGACAAGTTGAGGGTGGGAGCTGTTGCCGAGTAGTCAGGGCCCTATGTACTCCGTATTTTTTTTCGAGAGACAACTCCAAACAATGGTACAAGGTTTCGAGCGCCGGACCGATTTTGATGGAAATATGCATCTACGTTCAAGGGTCTACAACATCGGCAAACAGCACACACAGCGATGGTGAATGGCGAGTTTCATCTCAACGAGAACAGGGCGTTGAACTGGAGCCATCCCGGCTCCGCAGAACATAGCTGCGGGCGTCAGCGGCGAACTCTAGACGGTCTACGTATCGCTTTTAGTTGTTTGCTGAGCGGCGGAATCCACAGCAATCATTTGGACGAGGTGTTCGGGTGAAGCACGCCCATGTTCGGGTGTGGTGGAGTGCACACAGCAAATCACGCATACATGAGCAGGGTCGAGACAGTTGTCGAGTCAGCAGCATGGGTGAGACACGCGAAAACAACTCCACCAGCTGATGAGCTCGCATCAGTGATCAACGCGGGCGGTACTGTTCGGTCTGATGGGAGCTGCTGTGTATCGAGCACTGACATCTGTTCTATTCTCGCATGAAACCGTTCTTGGGCAACCACTTGTGGTTGGATGCACGGAAAGCGGACATGCGCTGCAAGGATATGACAGACTTTCTGCGGTATGACTTCGGCACCACACACATGACTGATGCGCTGAAATATCAACTATGGAATTGGGCATGTGCACAGGTCCTCCGACGACTTCGCTGCTGAACACGGCGTACGGATGATTTGCGATGAGGTGGTTGCTCTGGATCATGTTCGAAGTCAGGCACAACTGGCCAGCGGGGGGATCCTTACTTTTTCCAGGTTTGGATGTAGCGTGCACCTTGATGAAGCCGAGAGGAAGGGTTCATGTTGCCCCTCGACCTTTGCTGTTGCTGCTACGACACACTGCCAAGCTCAGCCCTCTCCCACCACTATCATGCGCTGTTGCGGAATACCCCAGATGTTGTGTTGCGACGGGAGCATCGCCTGCTCTTGTAGCACAAGCAACACCTCGGTACTTTGGGATTCGGGACACGGAGGTACGGGCTCAAAACTTGTTTTAGAGTGTTGACATGTCGAGCTCTGGTTGGCAACCGGCCGCAGTATTGAGCTCGTACAGTATCTAAAGCTGCCACACGCTCGTTCACACGGTTCGTACGTTGGCTGGACTTTCTTGAAAACATGGCTGTCCGCAACTAAACTCACTCCGACCCTCCGCAGAGTGTGGAAAATCTGCGCGAGCGGCTGGTGGACGCTAAAAGAGTGCTGGTCGTCGGCAATGGGGGCCTTGCCTTGGAGCTTGTGCACTTTCTTGCTTCGACACAGGCTTGCCAGGTGCAGCGTGCCTGTCTTGCAGCACGTACCACGAGTTAGGCGCTGCCTTCAAAGTCTATCGGGAATGCTTGACGGTGTTGTTGGCCGTCGGCATGTGTGGGATGATATGGGTACGCCTCATCTGTACCATTGCCACCCTCATGAAAAAATTGCAGATATTTCACCGTCGCTTTGCCTGTTGTTGCACATGCTGCTGATCTGGCTGTCATCCTGGTTTGTGTATTAGGTTGTGTGGGCGGTGCGCAACTCCTACATTGGCAATACCTTCTTCGACGCAAGCGCTTCGGCATTCTTCGTCCAGCACGTTTCAACAGAAACAACATGTTCTAGATCCGAGCCGTCAGCCAAGACAGGTACACCCACCGGGGTCTCCGACGAAAAATCCATCCCGAAAGCCAGCGTTGGGCCCGATTGGTTGAAGACATTGGCTACTCAAGCAGGAACATCTGAAGAGGACCGGAACACGACTTCTCAAAATCCGCTGCTTGACATACAGTTTGAGTGCGAGCTTGGTGGAATTTGCGAGCGTGGAGAAGACAGCAGTGATCTTTACCCAGTTTCAGCAACGCTAACCAACGGGAGGCGTGTTGAATGTGACTTTGTTGTCTCAGCTACTGGTGTGCGGCCCAACACCGGTATCATCTCGTCTGACTTCAAGGCAAGTGAGGTCAACACTCTTACGGGGTTCGGGTGGACTTTGGGCGGTGGACATGTGGAATACCGGCCCTCTGTGTTTGTGCGTGCGTGTTCGTTTCGTCTTCGTGTGTGGTATGTTCGATGAATCAGCCAGGGTCACGCAAAGATTTTTTTTTCTTCGTTTGTTGTGACACCCCGCCTTTCCTCCGGCGGTGGTAGCCTTAGTTTTGATCGAGGAGGGTTAGCCGTCCCTTTCCTTCGCCACCGGTTAAGTTGAAGTGGGTACTCACGACATGATCGTTCTCCACCGCAAATTGATGTCCAGTTTTTCACACCAGAAAGAGAATCGAACCAACAGGATGCTTGTACGATGCTGTTGTACCCACGACCGACCGACGAGGCGATCGGCGGCTACCTCTGCTCTAGTGACTAACGCAAGTGATAAATGGGGCACCAGTTGCACAGAATTTCGGTGAGCTGGTGATAAGCGTAGACAATCGGTTCGTCAAGACAGAGAATAATGAAAAAACAGTTCGCATGGCGCTGCCCGCTTGCCGCTCCCCTTCTAGAGAGGCCCAGATGGGGGTTTGTGCGTGGACGAGATGATGAGAGTGGTACGCTGTGGGGGCGGGATTGAGAAGGAAGGAGACGTTGAGAACAACATATTTGCAGCGGGAGACTGTTGCTGTCTTGAGCGAAATGAAGATCACTGGTTCCAGATTCGACTTTGGCGGCAAGCGAGAGACATGGGACTGTACGCCGCCAAGTGCATCACTGGCTCTCTGGATGAACTGAGCCGTGGGGGCGTTTTCGAGCTCTTCGTACATGCCACACGTTTTTTTGGCTTCAAGGTGAGAGGGTTAACCCCAGGTCTGAGTAAAAACGTGCGGAGACGCTGTCAGCGGCATGGATATCCATCTCGTGCAGAACTGCCTATCAACCTGGATTCACTGAATGCACCTGGTCCAGGTGGCTCTTTTGGGGCGATTCAATGGTCAAGGCCTAGGCCCCTCCGTCCAAGACCTCATCAGCAACCACGAGTTACAAGAGGGTCCCAGCGGCATCGGTGTCAAGCATGGCGTCACCAGCACTCCAGAATGCCGTCACGAGTCAATCCACATCAAACGGGCAACCTCGGAGTCGATTCGAATTTTGATCCGTACCACGCCAGGGGTGGAGTATGTCAAGGTGGTATTGGTGGGCGGGCGTGTGAGAGGAGCCATGCTCGTGGGTGACACGGGTCTGGAAGAGACTTTCGAGAACTTAATTCTCAGTGAGACCGACATCTCACATATTGGAGATAATCTGTTAACTCGTGAAGTGGATATCGAGGATTTCTTTGACTAGAACTTCAAAGAAGAAAAATGGGTCACCCAAGAACAATAAAGGACGTTTCACATGTTGAAGATGAGTCGTTGCCAAGTCGTAGAGTGAATATCGAGGGCATATTTGATTAAGAGCAGGCGATAAAATACGAAACAAAAAACACCCCCCAAGGGCATGTATGTTTTTTTTCTCCGGAGAAAGAAGCCTCAGGTCGGATAGTCAACCATTGAAGTTATCGTTTCCAAGCACGCCCGCCCCCGAGGTTCGCTTGATCTCCTCTTCCAAATATGGGCTTCAATCACTCTTGCGTGGCAAGCCAAGCTTTGAGAGTTTCTATCCTGGCCGCCAACGATACGTTCTCCACCCCTTCCTCCGAAGCTGCTTCGTCAAGCAAGGGACAACACGAGCGCGAAGTGTGTAGGTAACAGAGAAGTGTCAGCGTACGAAACTCGTTGGAGTCGAGCGAAACGTTTGCGGCGTGATCCTGAATATCATGCACAAGGTTTGTGTTGCCCTAGAACCTCGCAGTTTTGCGAATCATGTACAACTCACCAAGTTCCAGTAATTTTAGCTGCTCCCCGATGTCCGGGCCACTCATGCTTCCCGTCAAGGCCAATCGGATGGGGTGAAACAGGCGCTTTCCCTTCCTTGTCAATGCCTTGCCCTTTGCCTGCGCGAAACGACCGCGCAAGTTGCGATAAGTAAAACTTCGTGATTAACCAGTGCTGCGACTGTACAAGTATCGTGCGAGGAAACTTTTGCACCCTTCAAAAACAAGATTTTGGCGCCCAATTCCACCGCCACGCTCAGGTGATTGCAAGCGTCATGGCGAATGTGCTGGTCAACTTTATGTGCCATAATAGTGTCATCTCACTATTCTGGACGTCAGTCTACACCTCAATATGTAGACGCACCAGCCGCGGGAACACGCAAGAAACGCCAAGCACGATTGTTCTCTCTTCCTTACGATTTGTGTTTCCTTTTGTACAGAACGGGCCACAATTAAGAAAAATTCTGTAAACAAAAAAGGTTCAAATGTTCAAGAAAAATAAGAAAAAAGGGCTAAGAACCACAGCTCAATCTCGGCCACAACATACGTAAGCAACGCCCCAATGAGAAACATGATCGTGCGATATCCCCAAGACATACAAACCAAAGCATGGGGGAGCTGGGGGAGCGTGTCCAATAAGAAACGTCCCACTTCCTGTTGCTCCTGCCATGCTCCCACCCCATACTTAGCTCATGTGATATTTTGGTAGGGGGGGAGAATGGATATTTATATTTTCGTGGCGCCCCCCGCGCCCCAGCGCTGCCGCGGGCTGCGCCACCCACTGCTGCTGTACTGCTGTACGGCCACAACCCCCCATGTTCGCCACATCGAGCTGTCGGTTTCATGCTGCATGAAGGCTTGGTATGTGCTGTAGTTTTCCCTCGCCAGAAAAAAGAAATTTAGAGAGTTAGCAGGATGCGACAGCCTAAAAAAATTATAAATCCGTTGTAAGAAATTTGCCGACTTCGGCTGGTCCTTCTGCCCAAAATAAGAAATTGAGGCTGGATCCGATTTTGACGTTTCTTATCTCTGGTCCCGTTCTGTATGTTAACGCGAAAAGTATTCGGCGGTGCGTTTCCCTCTTCGACCGTGAAGTCCGAGATTGGTGCACTCACGATCTCTTACTATCTACCAGACTCAGGTTTTACCGTTAGAAGGTTTCGGAATTGTGTGTGTGCAATCCACACGTGTCTTGTGATGAAGGCGAACATGGTGTGCTGGTAGTGCTTTGCAGTGGGAAAGGTAGAAATGTCCGGAAATGTCTCCTCACACCCGTAACGCCAAATGGGCAAGGTGTCTCCTATAGGTTTAACTTTCGTCAGATGTTCAGTCTCTCTGGGCAAGATTCGGCACATGCAAGTACGGATGTCAAAGAAGAAGTAATTTGGCATGGAACGAGATCGAAAAATACGCCCAACATGCACTTTTCTGGACGCGTAACACACGTCCAACCACTAGAACATGAGCGATTATCCACGGGAACAGTCAGTTTACCTTGATCCACTTCTTGAATGCCGGGGAGAAGTCCTCGGCTCCCGGCTTCGGCATTTCCCCCGCATCGAAGTCCGCAACGATGGCAGCCACCACCTCTGAAAATCCGTCGCCCACCAATTCTGTGGACTCTTCCGAAGAAATCGTTTCGTCGAACTGCAGGTGAAGACGGCGCGGTGGAGGGGGGGGGGGGCTAGCAACTCAACCATAGAGGAGGAAGTCGTGGGCTACGATTCAGCACTCTCGAGCGGACTTGTGTACCCTGAGCTGCCTTGTTTCGTTTTGGGAGTTCGCGAAAAGGGGCAAGTACACATGGGGTTCCCCGGCTTCAGTTGAGGGGTACATCTCGGTCTTCACCTTGTATCCCAACATGTCCTGCGTCTGGCTAATCGCATCAGTCACAAGCTCAAGGGACCCCTGAACCAACGTCGCTGCGCTCATTACGAACGGGCCGCCCGCGTCCTTGCACACGCCCGCTTCGACAAGGGTACTCCCGACCATGGGAACTAACTCCTCCACAGCGAGAGCCCTCAAGTGCTGGCCGTTCATCCACCTGCGACAGAGTTGGGAGGGCAAAAGAAACAAACTCGTTGCTCTTTTCACGAAAAACACCGTCGTCAAACGATTGACCACAACAGTACTTCAACCGCCATCGACAGCACATTCCTAACGATTGACCTATTGACATGCACACGTCTGTCTGGTGTACTCCATCCTTGAACGCGATAGTCAAACGAGCGCCTCCAAGCACCCAAGGTACCACATTCCCCCGAAATCGTTGAGATCACGTGTTCATCGGTGGACACGGAAGCATCAAGAACAGGCAGGTGCCCGATAAAACAACAACCGTCATCCTGCACAAAAGTGGTGGGTGCAAACCAGCACGCGCTTCGGACACTATTACACTTACTTGAGCTTGGTCATATCGAACACGGCAGACGACTTTACGACACGCCGAAGGTCGAAGGCTTCGTGAAGCTCTTCTTCCGTGAATATTTCCTTCTCCGTGCCGTCGTTCCACCCCAACAGCGAAAGGTAGTTCTTCATTGCGCTAGGCAAGAAGCCCTGTGGAAATGGGGCATCATTGCAATAAAAAGCGGCGACGCACTTGCCAAATACTTAGAATGCCTCAAAAATATTCCAGTGTCGAGCATCTCATGGGACCCTATCAACTATCGTATTGCCTTAAGAGTACAGAAACATGACACACAACCACACTACTGTTTGGCAGGCGAGCGGTCTGCGCGGAGCATACAGAAGTGCTACCGCTCTTGCTGTTGCTGTACTGCATGGTGTAAATCACCTGCTGGCGGAACTGGCCCACGCTCGTTGCTCCGTGGCGCTTGCTGAGTTTCGAGCGGTCCTCGCCCAGGATAAGGGAGCAGTGGGCATACTGGGGCCTCGGAAACTCCAGCGCATCCAATATGAGGCACTGCCTCAGAGAATTGGTCAAGTGCTCCTCCGCACGTACTACGTGGGTGATTCCCATCTGGGCATCATCCACTTCGAGAGAATGCACGTATGCAAGGTTAGAACGAGACGGTTCAAGAGTTATTGAAAAATCTTGAGGACGTTCGTTGAGGAACAGCTCCACACGTTTGTTATTTGACGCTGGGAGACATACTGCGCTTGGCATATAGCCACGTGCCCGCTAATGTCTTGCATGCCTCCGGGAAAAAGACGATGACGACGATGAGTACCACGCAAGTCGCCCTCTACAGCAATCAATGCGGGGAAGGGACACTCACCAGCAACGCAGAAGTTGTACACAGGCACTCCAGTTGAGCGCAAAAGGATGAAGTCCCCCACGGTAGCCTCGGCGTCCCAAGCAACTTGTCCCCTCACCAGATCTTGGATTACAATACGCTGCAACAACGAAAAAGCGAAGCAACCTTACGGCATGAACAAACAACGTACTTTGCACAGCTATTAAATGACGTGAGGCTATGTTAGGGATGCTCGACAGACCGCCACGTCCCCGAGCCCATCGGTCTTGAGAAGGGACGAAAACAACTGAAGCTGCAAGGTGGAGAAACTGCTATGCCTCCTACCTGTGTCGGGGCTGGCATAGCGCACGTTCAGACAGAGGTCGTGCATCATAGCTACTTGTGAGCAAGCAAAACATGGTGCCACCGAGATGATGGGAAAAGTTAGATGACGGCCACGTCTTCAAACTAAAAAAAGAAATTTCGGCTTTCCACTACTTGTATCTAGTCGGAGACCGTTGCCACACCTTGCCCTTGGGTACTTTGAAGCGGTAGGTGTACGGCACCCCTTCTTCCATCTTCGCCTTAACCTCTGCAGGATCCGCATCCCTCCATGTACCATCGTACTGCGGAGCTTCGTTCTTGTTTTCGGCCTGAATACATACAGCAGGCGGTTTAGAGCACAATACGGTCGCTCACAATACGACTAGGACTATATCCACTAGGGCGTGGAGTCACCCACCGGGATTGGGCGAGCTTCACTTAGTCAAAACTAGCGGCCTCCAACATTGGACACAAACATGGCAACTTCACCTTTGATGCTGAGCTATCAGACTGCCTATGATTTCACTCGGGTCAAATGTGCCACTCACCTGCTCGCGCTTGGCGATCAGTTCCTCTTCAGTACAGAAGCAGGGGTACGCCCACCCGGCTTCTACCAGCTTGTCGGCCATCTCCTTGTAGATCTCCCCGCGCTCAGATTGGCGGTAAGGCCCAACCTGACCGCGGTTACAGTGCGACCGTGCACATGAGCCATAGTCAAGGCCCTTCTACAACCAGCATGGTTGAGGGTGTGCCCTCCAAATATGCGCAGACTATCGCTGTACCAGAACGATCAATGTTGTGGGATAGGGGCCGACGCTGCGGTCTAAAGGGATGCCAGTCGACCAGACATGATTACAAACCAACTTCTCGCGGAGCACTGCACACGATGGTTACACCCGGGAAATCTCTGTCCGGCACGGCATCCACGCAAATTCTACCCACAAGATAATAGCCGTGCGGTGCAGAAACGTGGCTGCCACTGCTGTGCTACTATGCCATGATTCTCACCTCGCCTCCCTTGTCAGGTCCCTCATCCCACTCCAACCCAAGCCATCTAAGGTCAGCCAGCATGCTCTCTTCAGACTCCCGGGAGCTCCTAGCCTCATCAGTGTCCTGTAAACAATACAACGACGCCGATTAAGGTAGTCAATCAGTATGGATCTCGGTGAGGTTGGCTGCGATGAATGAAGCGAATAAACACCCCGGGCTGTGATAAAAATATAAATATCACCTCGATGCGCAGAATAAATTTCCCTCCAGCATTCTTGGCCTGGAGGAAGTTGAAGAGGGCAGTCCTTGCGCCACCAACGTGCAGCGTTCCGGTCGGAGAGGGTGCAAACCGCACCCTGACGTCCGCACCAGCAGCGTTGATGACGGGTGCCGTGTCTTCCATGACGTCTTCCATTAGCGAGCTCATGCGCGGCAGGCGGCGCTGTGCAGACGTTCAGACAGTAGCGGAAGTTAGGGAGCTTGAATACTAAGCAACACCCCAAAGAGCGAAACATGAAGCAGCTTGTAACGTCTGAATGTTCAAGCGAAGTTGCTGGCAGCCGTCGCACCAGGCACAATTAATGGTACTTTTTCTGTCGAGTTAGGCGAAAGAGGTTGGTGGCAATCACTGGCTGCAGCATGCAATTTTACTGCTGCGTGTATGAATCGTTTTCGCGAGACGTTGGGGGAGATTTGAAGGCCATGTCCGCATCACAAGTCTACAATCCAATTTGGTTGTTGCATGTACGCATATGTAGCTCAAAAGGCGAGCGTCGGCAGGTAAGTACTTCTTGGCTAACAGGCTACTCTTTGAATATTATTAGTCATGCAGTGAATAACTAACGTTTCTGGTTCGCGATCTCTTCATGTATCATGATTTTTACTCGGTTATTCCCTGCTGTTGCCGATCGATTCTTGGCGAACAATCCAGCGAGTGCAAGGTTGTGTTGTTGTCGTTGTTGTTGTTGTTGTTGTCGTCGTCTTCACATTAACCGTTCCGGTCTCGGCTAAGTACCTTCTAATGTCCGTATACTACTGGTCCAACTGACGCGGACGCCTTCCGTGGTCACAAGCCAACTACAACTCCAACAAAGGATTTTGGCCAAAGAAGTCATGTCATCCTGACATGTTCGCGCGCTGTCTCTAAAACGTGCGGCGTGTGAAATGTATGTGCGGTCTGTGAGTTTGTTGTCATGTTGTCATACAAACACGTTATCCAAATCATAGCGCGTTTCGGTAGGCAACAAGAAATGGCAGCAGAATACCAGAGAGACCCTTCAGGGATAACACCTCTAGAACCGCGAGTGCTCAATCTGGCCAACAGCAAACTGCGAAAGGCAGCGAGGTGAACACCAAGTTGGGCGTCACGAGGTCAAATGTAGGCTGCAATGATGCATGAAGGTCGCTTACCGAGGACACCGCATGCCGCACTCCAGAGGCATATCTCAGGGTAGGCGGCCGGACAAAGGCCACAGCTGACGGGCAGCGCATCACTGCCACGGCAGCTAACAACATCGGCCTCATCGTTGTCAGCCGAAGCATCATCGATTGGCTAACGTCGTTGGATCACATCAAACGACACACGAACGAACGACACGAGGGCATCAGCGTACATGATCTTCATCGCCTGCCACCCCCCCCCCCTCGTTTGGCGGGCTCCCCGCAACACACGTGTTCAACTACACGCGACACTTGCTCAGCCGGAGCCGCAGATAGCAGCCGCAGAGCTTGCATTAGCTTGAGAGAGAGCAAGAGAGCAAGAACACCCCGACTCAAGAGGAAGCTGAGCGGCAAGGGCAGAGACAGAGAGAGTAAGGCGTAGAGCGGGAGAGAAAAGACAACAAAGCAGAGATAGCGCGGGCGAGCAAGGACCCAAACATGCAGCGATACCTGTCTGTTGTGGCCCTCCTGCTTTGTTTGCTAACGACCTCGGGTACGAGAGGCAGCAGCAGCGCTAGGAAGATTTCTCGGACGCCCATGGCCGTCGGTGCTCTTTCTGGCTTGCGCATCGGCCTCGAACCCCATTTGTTGGAGTTTCACGGAGAGCAATGCGACCATTGCGAGGTGGGTCTAACTGCAAGCATGTTGCATGTTGCACACAACTGCGGTACTCGGAGTACCTTCTTGTGTGGGATCTGAGTTGAGGGTGTGTTGCTGGGCAACTGCTGTGTTGGTGTGCTTCGTGCCCTACGATAATTACGCGCGGGCTTTAGCATGCGTACTGTGGAGCCCCCCCCCTATCAAAGTCTTGACCAGCCGATTTTTTGTCTACGGCTTACCTCTATAACTCGAGTATGGTTACCAAACACCCAACACCCTCTAACACTCAATTATAGCCCTTACTCTACAACAGCAGTTGTACATCCCTCTCTACCTCTGTGCCGCCGTCCGACTCATTTCAGAGAGATACGTGTACCACGATCGCCGTGTTGTATGCATACGAGACCAAACCGCGATCGCCTGTTGATGACTGACTCGCTGTCGATTTAATCTTTTTCCTATAAAAGTCAATCTTACCTGTCTTCATGTTGGTTGACGCCTCCATCGTCCGGTGTGTATGCAGGCGATGAAGCCGCTATTCCGCAGGCTCTTCTTGGAGACGAGGCTGGTGGTTAAAAGGCATATGGTGTGGGAGGACACCGCGAACTTTCGCCTCATGTCTATTTACGACTTGAAATCTCGTTGCAGGTGAGTTTCAGTTTTGGTACTCTTGTACTGCTGTAGGAACCCTGACGTGGCTACACATGAACGATAGCAGTACGACAACGTTGTGTGCCGAAAGATCGCTGGCGTGCCTCGCCAAAGAGAAAAAACGTGCGCCGTAAGGGCCGGAAGAGAGACCAAGAGGCAGTCCACCTCACAAGCACGCACATGAGCAATGTGCGCAAGGGGTACACGCAGTACTACCATTTGTACCGCAGTAATGTCTCTGACGTGGGGCAGATATGTCCTTTCTTTACAGACCCAATCTACTGCCTACTGCTGTAAGATCCAAACGGAAAATACGACGGGAGGGTACATACAGCACCCTCAACATGTGATCAACCCGGGGTCCCGCTTGCGCGATGGAGAGCAGAGATAACGCACCCCAGAGCCGATGCTAACTTACTGCCTCGGTCCTGATGCGGTCATGACTGCGGTGTGTGTGGTCCAGAATATTGGGAGTGAAGGAGGTCCGTGTGCTGTGTGCCATTTTCGCTCAAGGAAAAGGGTTTTCGGGAGTACATGCACGAAAGCATGCACGATAATCCCTCTTTTATCTTTAGTACGGAATTGTATTATTTGCCGTGATTTTGATCCATTTTTGGCGATAGAAATATCGTTGGGTCGATTTGCTGTGTGAGCCAGAAAAAAAAGTCAACCCAGTCACGTAAGGGTCAACCTTAGTTATACCATGCCTAGGTCTCACTTCCCTGCCCTCGGTGCATAGCGCTGTGAATTTTTTCCGCCAACAGTTTGCAAGATTTACACCACGTTCCTGTTGATGTGCAATTATTCGCCCTCCTCGCGCCGGCAGGGGGTTGCCTTTCTTCTACAACAGAAGGACGGGCCAAACTATTTGCGGTGCGACGACGTGGTCAAACTTCAAAAACTGGTGAGTGTTACACAAAGCGTAGAGACTAAATTGAGCATGTCCCCAAACCGGTGCATCGCTATGTTGTGAGCTTCCCGGGCGGAGCTAGCAGTGCAAGTTAGTCGCACCTCCGCGTGATTTTCCTTCGCCTTTTTTGTCTACGGTTGAATTTACCCAGGGCACTCGACCGGAATTGCAAGTCATCCTCACCTCCACGCATGACTGGAGAACAGCAAGAAGACGCCAGGGAAAAAAAGCTGGAGCAGGTGCGAAGTTTTGTCGCAATGCGAATGATTCGTGATTGTTATTCGATCTTGCCTATGACGTTTGCAGCAGCGGTGCTCGCAGCCTTTGTATCGTCGAATGTACTGTAGACACTGATTTTCTCGCCTGGTGCGAGTTCAGACAGGACTACCTCGGACCTTCCGGCTGTTCCAGAAAAGGTAGATACAGTGTGAACGTCGCGCCCGTACGGAGGATCGGCAGAATCTTTTTTGGAGATGGATTTGGACGTTGGTCACGCTAAATTCGACAAGAGACGAGTTCTGCAGTCGCGAAGTTCGTGTTTGCTCGAAGGTCTCATCGCCGACGTTGGTGTGCTGTCGTTCGCTCCTTCCTGTCCACATTTCATTTCAGGACCCGTTGTTCAGCAGACTCAAGAAAGGTTTGGGTGGAGACAAGGAAGCGACGCCGACGACGATGGACGAATACAAATAGTACGCTTGAAGTACCGTGTCACTTGGTAAAATTCTGTCTTCGCGTTTGTAATTGCGTGGCGGGCGGGCCTCCGTGATCTGTCTTTGTTTCCTTCGATAGTTTTCGCCATCCCGTTTGCAACAAGTAAACGTGCGCCATACCTTGCAATCGCACGCTACTGATGTTGTTGCCGTAGGCATCATTTGCTGCATCCGTTTTTCTGCAGGTCGTTTGCTGCTGCTGCTGCTGCTGCTGCTGCAGCCACACGTTTCCGGTGTGTAGTTCAAAGTATGTCATGGCCACACGAACGATGTGTATTTTTTAACAGAGGGTGAAACAATCGTGATCGAAGCGTCATAGCCATCACAAATAAACAAAGCACTTAAAATATCTAAGGATGGCGCAGGAGCGAAAGTCCCAAAATGGTGCATGTAGTCTACAAACAAGCGCGCTTTCGTGGTTGGTGACAACACCCAGTGAGAATAGCATGAACGTTCTGCCCCAAAACGTGTGTGCAAGTTCGTATCTTTCTTCAACGTATTTACACCGTAATCACAACATTACAAGCCACGGCTACACTACACTCTACAAAGATATTTCTCAACAGGATATGTTACATGTTTCTCAAACTAAAGCAATTGCCATCGATGTTCACGCGCTGAAGAGGTCCAAAGCGGATGCAAGCAAGCTGAAGAACGGCTCTTGCGTTTCAACCAGAGCTGCCACCTGGACACGTGCAGCGTAAAGAACGACATCGGCGGCATGGTAGAGCGGAAAAATCAGTACACCAAGTCGGACCATCGCTCGCAGTTAGGAGGGACTCGACATTTTTCGACGGCACGACCAACCAAAGCAACAAATAACAGCCTCAGCAGGACCCAACCCCCCCCACCTGCCGGCATGCAAGCGTGAATTATTGCCAATAACTGCATCACTCGAAGGGGGGCACTTCACCACGGGTAAAAATGGTTAGCTCACCTCTTTCAAATACGCCTCCAGATCAACCTTCCTCTTCGCAAGGAAAGCCGAGTTCTTCTGGTCTTGAACAACCTGCAACAATCAGCATCACCATGAGGTGGCACGCGCGTGACCAAAACAGTGAACAGCTCTCAAGAGTCGATCAAAGACATGAAAAAGAGTAACACGCAGGCGAACCCGCAGGAATGATATTGCGCAGTTAGAGAGCTGAACCGCCGCGCCACCAGTACACACAAGCGAAACGCTCGCCCACATTCGGTTAGCAGTGCTGCATTCAGCTTACCTGCCCCTTTCCCGGTAGAGGCGGGAGGTGCTCCATTAAAGGGGAATTCGTCTCCCTGAAAGCCCGCCTGAGATCAACATGATAATAGAGCAAGGAACGAGACAAGCGAACAGAAACATCAAGGGGAAAATCGGGCAGGTGTTCTTCCTGTTCCCATCAACTCCATGGGAATCATGGTGATGGATAAGCCAAGGAACTTGGACGCACGATCGTCCTAGGAAAACTTAACAACAGGTCCGGCCGGCACTTGAAACCCTGCCGTCCGGCAGGGTCGGCTTTTCTTGCCAATAACTACTGTATCCGGTTTCGTATGGCGAGACGTGAAAAGCAATACAAACCGGGTACAATCCATACAGTAAACAATGTAGAACGTATCGCAGTTTGTCCTTGCTGCCTGACCCGGCAGATGCTCTCACCGCAGCTTGTTGTGTAGCTTATTGAAGTCGGTGTACAGTTTCTCTGTCTTGGAGTACCACGCCCGCCACTCTGTCACCACCTTGAACATCACAATATCTCCGAACGATCGATGGCCGACGATAGACACCTTCAGCGCCGTGCGGAAAGGAGATCTGCCCACATCCATCAAGAACCTGATTCACCAACAGGCATGCAAATGATTGAGTGTCCATATCAGCAACCATTGCCGATCAATGCGTGGGGGTCGGTGATACAAACCAAAGCACTTAGGCACCACCTGCTTGCGCTTGGTTTTGGTGTTTGTCGCTTGGTTTCTGTCGCAAGCTCTTGGCCCAACGTGTGGGCACCCCTCCTGTCGACAACAACCGCCGAACTCAAAAGTAAACTGAGGAACACATGGGTAAATTGATCCCGTGGATGCGCACCTGATCAGGAGCACATGCATGCATACTGTGCATTTCAATATTTGTATTCGGTGCAAACCAAGCAATACCTGCGTTGAAGAGGGTTCTTAATCTCAAGCTTCTCCAAGTCAGATGCCTTGAGTCCTTGCTGCTTGATTTTTTTCAGATCAGTGTACCTGTGGATTACAGGCAACCGCGGGGGTGGCGGGGGGCGAGGGGGTCCAAGGTTGTTGTCTGAACTCAATTCTTTGGTCAATGCCCACATCCAACTTGTATAAGAGACGTTTCCAAGAGCTGACATTCTCAATGCATTTCACAGCCCAGACATGCTCTTGTGTTTGAATACGTCTGCCCTTTATAAATCGCCTTTCGTCACAACAAAAATCCCTTCTTTGTATCCCTTCCGGTGACCCCAGCCGGTGCGTCCAAAACACACCGGAATGTGAATAATGTTTCATGTCCGTAAATTGTTGCGCTTTCTGGCATGTCAACCAGTGGCATCGGGTGTGACCCCACCGCTATCTCCACCAATATTGCAAAATGACTCTTCGCGTCCTCGATACGGATTTTTCTGAAAAACGCGCGTCGGCGCCCAGAATCCTATGCATAGCTTGATTCGTGGAGGTAAGAATTTGGTCTGTTGGATTTATGTACTCGAAATTCTCATATATTGTTTTTTGTTCCTCCCCCCTCCAACATGAACCGCAAAGTGTACACAATCACATTTCCCAGAAAGCAAGTTCAACTGATTAAAAACTAGATCTAAATATGAGAAGATGCGGCAAGCAACTCAACTGAGGACGGTAAGCTGCTTTGATCAACCTTTCGACCACGCTATCTGCGAAGCCATCGGGTGCACGACGACGCAACGTGAAGAATACAACTGTGGTGGCAGTTGAACCCTTATGGTGGGGCGCCGCGATCCTTCCATGTACACATGTACGCCCCGGATCGCAGTTTTCCTCTTCAAAAAATCAGGAAACGCCTGCATATCTCAGTTTTCCAAAGTCTAACTCCAGTACGAAACTACAATCGCAAATTAATCGTCCGCGCATCACCCCTCGTAGACAATGTTAGTATCTGAGATTGTAGCCCTTGCGATACACTGCAGACTAGCGGTCCGATTTTCCAAACGATCCTTCTATCATCGAGATCGGTGAGCTACCAGCAGGATTTTTGCAGCTGCTGTGCGGTCCGATTTTGAAACGCTTCAAGCATACAGCAACGGCGAATCAGCGCCTAAGTGAGTCTGTGGGGCCGCGAACTTCAGCGCAGCTCTTCCCTCCGTGTTCTTCTCGTCGCCACAGTCGATTTGCATGCCTGCGGTGATGTATATGTAGGTCTACCCAGAAGCAAAGGTGCTTGAAGCGTTTCAAAATCGGGATCGCACAGCAGCTGCAAAAATCCTGCTTGTAGCTCACCGATCTCGATAATGGAAGTATCGTTTGGAAAATCGCGGACCGCTAGTCTGCAGTGTATCGCAAGGGCTACAATCTCAGATACTAACATTGTCTACGAGGGGGGGTGCGCGGACGATAAATTTGCGATTGTAGTTTCGTACTGGAGTTAGACTTTGGAAAACTGAGATACAGTACTGGTCCCGGTATAGTGCAGGGGTGTGTCCAGAAATTTTACCTGCACTATACCGGGCACCTGCACTCTCATAAGAGTGCCTCAATAGCGCAGGTCCTGCACTACTGAGGCTTTGGAAATCCCTCAATAGTGCAGGTTTGGCACTACTGAGGCACTCTTTGACTTCATGGTGTGGCGTTCTCGCTTTGCGGGGCTAACAGAGCACAAAATCGATCGAAATTGTTTATAGCAGTATTAATATGTAGTGGACGAAGCTAAAATATCATTCCTCGTTGCCTTCCTTCGATGTTGCAAGATACATAGAAATACAAAAAACAGGAAAAGAAACACGACAGGAAGCGCATTGCAAAAAAACAAACAACCCTGTACTAACAGCTGTACCCTCCATTACTACGTGGTGACCAAACTCTCTCATGCCTGCCTGGCGCACCCGCTTCGATACTGCAAGAAAAAAAACACAAAACAAACCAAGACAAGCACGATAGGAAGCGCACCGAAAGAAAAACAAAACAACCATGTACCCCCCGCCCTCACTACGTCTCGACAAACTCTCTCATGTCTGCCTGGCGCGCCCGCTTAGCGGAATGCGCTGCGATCATCGCCATTTTTGCTTTCGTTAGGTAGAACGCCGCCTCTCCGTTGCCACTCTCCTCTGTTGCCACTTCCAGGACGCCGAAGTGAGACGACAGCTGATCATAAGGCGGTGGAGCACGGCGCTCGCGCCCCGTGTTCTCGTCGCCATCGTCGCTTGTCGCTTTGCGCTTGCCAGCCTTCGCGACGCACGTGCTGCAGATGCGGTGATTGTCGTCGTCCTGAAAAACGCTGCCGCAATTGCCGTGGAGCCGCCCGCCACATCCTCCCTTGCAGACATGGCCATGAGGGGCTTGCGGCGTTCTGTCTGGTTGATGGCACAGTTCACCGTCCGCACAAGGCATGGTGCGCCTCTGCGTAGAGCTCTTCGGGTCTGCAGCAGCACGTGTACTGCTGTGTTGCGTCTGTCCGTGTGTGTGTAGGGTGTGTGTGTGTGTGTGTCCAACCTGCACTATTGCGGGGCACCGCGGTGCCAAACCTGCACTATAGCGGGAGTGCCCTCAGTAGTGCAGGACCTGCACTATTGAGGGCACGGTCTGTGTCCAGAGAATTTACCTGCACTATACCGGGCACCTGCACTATTCAACCTGCACTATACCGGGACCAGTACTGTATGCAGGCGTTTCCTGGGTTTTTAAAGAGGAAAACTGCGATCTCCACCGCGCCCTTAGAAATGTTCTGGCTTGCCTACTGCAAAGCCAAGGTAATCTTTTCCGAGTAGGAATTAAGAAACATAAATACAAACACAGAAAGACTACCCATTCGAGATACGATGGTGCGGTGGAATTTTCACACCGTCCCCCCAGAGAGCAGGAAAGCACACCAAGTCACGTCGGCACTCGGTGCTCGCCTCAAGAGAGAACCTTTTGCAATAATCCTTCTAGGCTCTATGTTACACTTCTGTGAGCCCCTTGGGGTCAAGTATGGGGAGCTACAGTTGAGAAATTGGGCAGTATAACTCGGATATGACATCTTGTTTGCCATTTCCAACTGGGAAGTTCAACCCCACCCGGTTGGCACTATAATAGTAGGAATTTCAACGACAGTTTTCAATACTCCGGGTTGGAACGTGATACCGCACTGCGCGTGACGGACCCACACCCCACCCCAGCTCCGCAGGCTTGGCCCCGAGAAGCTCACAGCCGTGGAGAATACAGCTTCAAAAGTTTTGACGACCAATGTTTCTCCGTGAGGCGAGCACACAAAACTACCGTGAGTTGGTCTGCTTCCCAACCGCTTTTCGCACAAGTTCCTGCTCTCTGGGGGGTAATGAAACACCCTACGAATCCCGTATTCTAAATCGTTTTTTTACGACAACTGGTGTAATCGCGTCGTTAAGGCCATTTCTTACGGTTCTTTTTTGGAGGTGTATTGTTCTTTTTCCTTCTCAAAAAAAGACAACTGGCCACAGAACCCCTTCTTACGGTGTCTTTTTTCAGGGAAAAAAGGCCAACAAAAAAACAACCCGTTCTGGACAGCCCATCCTGTCTTTTTCTGGGGCAGTTTCGGATAAGTCGGGGCTGTCTTTTTCTGTGGTCTTTTTTTGGTCACAACCACATGACGCTACCTACAAACTTGAATCTCTCGACGGTTGATCCCCGCAAACTCTAACGGTGTTCAAACGAGCTGTGTCATGTTACTGGTGCAGAGTCAGTAGCATCAGCGGTAGCGTTGTTTTTTCATTCGGCTGGACCAAGTGGACAACCTGATGTGTGCGGCGCAAACAAGCGGCAAACGAGCCGAGAGAGTCTGGACGCAGCAGCGGAGGGTCTTCGTTGGTGTGCTGTCAACTTTTGCGAACCCAACTTTTGGGCGCCCTATAGCCTCCTGATCTGTGTCAACCACCACACAAGACGGACCATACGCGCAGCTCACGGCGGATACCTTTGTCATCGCTGTTGCTGGAGTGGGTGGCGAGGGAGCATCGATGAACCAAAGTTGCGACACGGGCGAATTAGCAAAAAAAATTGCTTGAAGACGAGGCGGGTCATTTTTCCCGTTTGTTCACGACTCTTGCGCTCACAATTTTTGAGCGCCCTTCAGCCTCCTGGTCTGTATCAACCACCACACAAGACGGACCATACACACAGCTCATGGCGGATACCTTTGTCATCGCTGGTGCTGGAGTGGGTGGCGAGGGAGCATCGATAAACCAAAGTTGCGACACAGGCCAAAGCGCAAAAAAAAACTGGTTGCTGGCGAGGTGGGTATTTTTTCGGCGTGCTGTTGACCCTCGCCACCTCAGTTTCCGTGCCTCCAATCGCCCTGTGGTCTCTAACAGCCACCACCCAAGACGGACCATACACACAGCTCATGGCGGATGCCTTTTTCATCGCTGTTGCTTCACTGTATGCGGAGATATCACCGAAACACCATAGCGGTGGAAGGTGTATGTATGTGTGACGAACGGCCGTTGCAGGGTCTCTTTTTTTCGGTCGATGACTCGGAATAGAAAAAAGGATGGACCAGCACCGCAAGAAGGGGGTAATCTTTTTTGTAGATCATTTGTTGGGTCGTCTCTTTTGGGGGAAAAAAGATCTAATAAAAGAGACACCGTAACAAATGGCCTAATAATAATTTCCTGCCAGGAGTCTGCCCGACGATTCTTCATCACAAACGATTCACAATTCGCCCCACCGCACCCCATCCGAACAGGTTCATGTGATGCTTCGTGTACTGGCGATCCCAGGAGCTCATGTGTGTACGGGAACAACCATGACAAGTTATGCACGGGACACACAAGTTGGCTAGCGGTACTTGACCACGCACAGGAACACTCAAAATTAAACTCTGGGCATGTCAAGCAGCAGCACCAACAAACAGAAACTAGTACTATAGCGTTGGAGGAACGATGCAAATATTTACATTTTTTCTGAATTGGAAGCGACTTGGCTGCGTTCATACCGCTCCAGCTCAGGTGGTCACAACAAACCTCCGCACGTTACCTGGGGCTTCGAGCTCATTAGGTAACCACGTTTACGTCGGCGAAGAGTGCAAACGCATAGTTTCAAACTGGCTATCGTATACTACTGTATCAAATTCCATGGTCGCATTTCACCTACAGCAAGTGGAACTCAGCAATCGCTGGTTCCGCGCCGAGTGCTTGTGAACTCAGTAATAGTCGTTTCATTTTTCGCTCCCTTGTAATATTGGGGGAGAGACGCGGCGGGATCAGATTGTCATACATTCGAACTACAGCCACAAGTTTGGAATACTTTTAGGTACGATGCCGCGTCCTCTCACCCGTGCGCCTCGAAGTTTGGCCAAAGCCCTTCCAGTCGAAGATCAAGCAACCAGTCCATGATGCTATCGGAGTTGCCGTTTCCTCCGATGCTGACCAGGGGCGACGCTTGATTGTCTGAACTGGTCGCTCCTTGTTCGTCCGCGTAGGCAATACAGCTCTGTTCCGGCCGGGGCATGGGTAACACAAAAAATGTGACAAGAACCGAGCCAAAACCGAATCACATGCTCTGCCGTCAATCACGATCGACATCGCGCAAACACACATGACGTGAACACTTAAAGCAACACCGTTGGTCCACCCTCTGTTTCGGTCGCACCTCATCACAATGCATCTCAACAAGAGTAACCTGACCTCAATGGTGGACAGCCAGGCTTCTAAAGAATTGCTGTTAGTAGCCGCGAGCTCCATCTCCTCGATCCCCTCCTTGTCCTCAGTCACCGCTGTCCGGGCCACATGCGTTTTGATAATTTGGAACCTCGAAGCCTAATTGGGAAAGATGGGACAGCGTTCGGGTACAAGGGTGGCACGCAGATACATTGATTGGCTAGTGTAGATACGCTGCAATTCCCCGGCCACAACGGAGTCGACGCTTCTCGGTGAGCTGGAGAGTCCGCCAGGTTGTTGCCGTGGTGGCAAACGCGAAAGAGAATACGGTATTCCATGCCAAAGTACGTACCTTGCCCCGTTTAATCGTACACCCTCTCAAGCCGACGGTCTCGATAAGTCCACCATCCATGTAGCACACCAGCTCTGCTCCCGTCAGCACAAACCAGCGTTTCTTCCAGTTCCGGAAGCCGATGCCCTACAAACGAGGTGCGCCAAAGAACGGATATATATAAAAAAGAGAAATGGCAGCCACACGCAAGAGTTAAAGCACGCTCGAAACTCTCGCTGGCAAATAAATATGCGCACAAGCATCCGTAAAAATGGCCACTTGAAGACGTTCGAAGGCTATTGATAGTTCGCCTTTCTTGTGCGAACACATGCACCGCCGTAATAGCGAGGTTGCAAGTGATACAACGACCATCCAAAGAGCCACTGACAGTAGTCCCAGTTCTGTAAGATCCGAGGCCGCACTCGCGGGTACGCACGTCTTTTGCTTCAGGCCTACCTGATTTTTAATGTGCAGGTAGCCCATTTTGGATGGCACAAACGCTTCCCCGTCTCCGGTCACAGAAGGCAGCTGGGAAGCCGAGAAGAAGGACTGGTCGTCTCCACCACCCATAGCTGGGGGCGAAGGAAGGCCAGAGTTGGCATCAGCATCTCCGGCCCAGTGTGCCCTGTCGTTGTCATCATTACGCCAAGCGTATGCACACCACCAACGAGTTCAGCGTGCATCCGAGAAGTTCACTCCCACAGAACCTCGATACAGAACGGTGGACCAAACGCTGGGCAGCAAGCCACTGCCAGAGAAGACAATCTCCTTCGATCGGGTAAAGAAGGCGCAACTTTACCCACGCCATCGCATTGGTTTTAAGGTTTTGAATCTCGTGTGGGCAAGGATGGCAACTGATAAAACAATTGCCGATATTGTCCACCCCTCTGTGGTGCGCATACGCACAATATAGCTGCAAAAGCATGGCATGCTAACCTGTCTCGGCCGGCCTGAACACGCCTCTTGTCGGCGTCAGAAAAGTTTGCAGTCTGTTCAAGACCATCCATATCCGACTTCCCGATGATCGCGGATGCGGGCGGCGTCTCAGCGCTGTCGATTCGGTCTTCACCCTCCGGTATGGCCGGAACTTCTAGCGGCTCTGGTATTGCGCACGTATCGTTTGGCAGCTCTGATAGTAGCTCCTGCGTTTTTGTCGATCGCACAAGCTTGAGTATGGTGGTACTTGAACACAGTTCTTGGCGTGATTCGCATGTGGCATTGCTTACTGTAGACAACGATTTCGCCCCTGCTACATGTGCCCCAGATAAGCCGGGAGGTTCAAACAGTCCTCTAACTCTTGGAAAGCCGACAGTCCGCTGCGAGTCTAGGCTACTGTACAACACACGATACAAAACGTTCCTCGAATGTACACCCGTGGTACTCCGTCGGTAAACTCTGTGTTTGCTTCGCTGTAGTTTGCTATTATAGTTGATCGCGAAACCGCCGGTGGGGCCTCAAGCACAACCTGTGTTTCCACGACAATCAACACAAAGGAAGCTATCCGTACCTCTAGCCATGCTCTCGTTTCGTCTGCCGAGGGGCGTTCTTCCGCCTCATACTCCATGCACCTGCCAGATCACAAGAGAATATGTAAACGACAAGGGGCCTCTCAAGTAGAAGTGGATGGCTGTCCAGGTGATTTTTTTTCTGTTGAGATGAGATAAAGAGGCATGCTCCCCATATTGTACTTGACCCGCAAGGTCAACGTCGAGACCAAGTACGTGCGGACACAGGAACCCACATGGCGGCTAAGTTAAGCAGAGAATCCGGTGCATCCGGAGGTGATTCCTGTCGGACTTCTTCTGCTTCCAACGCGAAGAGTTTAGCGGGAGTTCTGCGAGCGAAACCGTTTTCGCCGATCTTCTTCCGCGTGATTAACTCCAGCAGGACCATCCCTTCATAGTGCATGCCCGACCAGAGATTGCGGCACGCACGGGCAGGGCAGAACGTCAACATGGTAAGATTAAATGCGGTATTTTGCATCTTGCTGAATCATGAAGCGACTGCTGGTCTTCGGCGTCATCCTCGTTTGCAATCGATCGGAGTAGTCCACAACCTTTGTTGGTGCTCTTCGAGCCACAGCAGTACAATAGGCCGAACTGTGTCGCAACTGGAGCGCTGCTGGTCCAAACGGTTCCGACGAACCAGCCATACACACGAGAGCTCGACCGACAACCCAAAGCCACCCCTAGAGCTCGAAATCGACATCCAACGATCAGTGCGGGTTGTTCGTTGGTCGCCAAGACAAACGCAGTGTCACCACAAAAACATAAAAAAAATCATTCGGACGGCCAAACCAGTCGGCGAGGACGAGTTGATGACAGCAATGGTGAATCGTTCTCCTGGGTCAAAGCGACCGTTGTTGTGCCCCTTCCAAGGCATAGACCACAAACCATGAAATGGGCGCGACATCCTACCGGGACCCGGGTGGTAACACCAAACCTGAACTCGAGAAAAGCCGCTTAATGTGGGCAACGACAGCGAAGCAGCAGATCCTTACCAAAGCTGAACATGTCAGCAGGGTAGCTGAACGACTCGTCAAAAAGCATCTCTGGCGCCATGTACTCGTCTGTGCCACAGATGGTCATCTTGCCATTGCTCGACACCTGTTATACCATTCCATGCATTAGTTACGGCGATGCATCGTTTCCCATCCATGAACGGCAGTGACCTACAGCAGAAACCTTGAGCCTTGGGAGGTGCTTCGTGACAAACTAGGTTTTCGTAGGAAATACGCGTCTAGTCTACATGACCAGGACGCAGAGACGTTCTGTCACCCTGCCAAAACCGACACGAGCTAGCCCGTATGGAACATCGTCAGATTGTTGCAGAGAGTTCCTGAAGGTGGTTTGTGGGTATGGCTGCAGCTGAACCCCGAGCCGACTGTCTACCCTTTGACACCTTGGATACTAAAGCAGGCCATGGATAAACGCACTGATCCATCAGCATGGTGAAGTGTTGAAGCGCCGCACAGCGGTAGCTTACGTTGCGAAGTACTAGGTTGCGTTAATGTCTAAATCCACAGCGGCTTTGATTGTGGAGCCTCTACCCGAACCTGTAGTATAGTGTACACCAAGTGCCGCAAAAAATGTGAGACTACCCAATGTCCTTGCAATGGTAAATGGTTGGAAGCGCCATGTGATGCCGAAACGTGCCTCACCTCACGGGCCATGCCGAAATCGCTCAGCTTGCAGTGCCAGTCTCCGTCCAACAAAAAGTTGCTGCTTTTGATGTCTCGATGGATTAGTTGTTGGCTATGCAAGTACTCTAGTGCCTCAGCCCCCTGTGCGAGAAAAAATCAAGAGTAAACGGAAGGTGAACACGGCTGCTGCAGTAGTAGGCAGCCCGGGAGTCTCACATGCCATGTGCGGGGTGCAAGCAGCACCTGGACGTAAGTTTGCTGCACAAGCAGGCTCGCACACCGCATCTCATCGATATCACCAACACAAGAGCAGAACTTGGTGTCCAACAGAACAGTGGGAATCAAGCGATTTTGCTGTGCGAGAACCATTCGAAGCGTGTATCGTTGCATCTTGCCTTTGAGGCCCGACTGCAGAACTGCAGTGATACACAATCAACAAGTGAGAAACTTTGTGACAGCCACGCTTCTACGTAATCACAGTGAAAAGTAGATTACACCCAATTCTCCTATGAATACCTCTTTCGCAATCTGTATCCGGAATCTCCATCCCAGGGGCGTTTCAGTCCTCAGCAAGAGCTTGAGTAGATCACCACCTTGGGCATACTCCGTAATGATGTACACAGCGTGCAGTTGCCCACGCGACTTCGCAATCACGTTGTATGCGCTAAGGTAGACGTGGCAAACAGTTTGGCGAGGGAAGGGCATGCGTACGATTCCAATTCATGAGTCTTGCCTGCAACGCACACATGCGGTATTACATGACTTTTCCGGGCTGGGTGTGAAACGTTGAGCTGGATGTTTGAGCATTCGAAAACCACGGAACGCCGTCAACAGACACCACCGGTACAACAACAAGCACGAGCGTTGTCACATATGGTCCGTTCAGGACAATATGTTCAACAACTTCTCCTACACTTAGAGCAGGTGAACTTTTCTCGGGGTCGGGGTGAGTGATTGTTCCGAAGTCTACTACACCTTGTCTCCAGGGGCACCTCCCAATGGAAAGTATTCACACTTGTGTATATGTGCCCTGCGCCGATATGCCGAAAAAAACGTTCAACAATTTTTCGTTTTCATGTGGTGTGTATTTTTTGCAGAAACAGCTTGGCAGAGGCAAAAGAAAAAAAATCCGACAAGAAAAACGTTTCTGAGGCATCAACATATACCCCCCAAAAGCAACAACAATAAAGTACCACCAAACTAAATAAACTCAGTGTGGTATTCTCTGATCGATTATTTCTGCGACGACCAATCTACAATTCAAAGTAGAGTGCGGATAGCGACTCCGCTAAAATCCGCAGATTTTCTCCCCCCCGCCCCCAGCCCCCCGATTTTGTTGTCGTGGTTGTTGCTATTGTTGTTGTTGTCTGCACATTAGAAGTCGTTCCGATTTCCGCTCAGTACCTTGTAATACTCGTACAGGTTCAACTGACGAGGACGCCGTCCGTGGTCAAAGCCAACTACAAACAGGTACCAAAGAGAGGGTTCACCTTTCTAGCAATCAAAGAATGGAAAAAAAAGGGACCCTGAAAAGGTCCTCCAGACGTAATAATTAATTATAGGATTGAGCGGGGGCGCGGGGGGCTACCGCCCCCCCCGTCCTCCGTTTGAGAGTGGATGTGCATACGGAACGGTAAATGTGAGGTAGCAGTTGCAGATTTCACATACAGTAAAATGGGACGGTGGTTCGTTGAGGTGGTGGTGTACACAACAGCAGAAAGAACGATAGATGAAGGTTCGATGTCGGGAGAAGCGTGCGTCACCATGCTCCTTACACGCGTCTCTGAAGTTGTAATTGTTTGAACATAGCCTTGAAGCTGGGCGCACACACGTATGTGCGGGAACTTCTCTGTATGTAAGTACCATAGCTATATCCGTGAGACTGCAGCAACAGCAGGTAATATGTTTTTGCACACACACACACAACGTCGTCCTTCCGAGAGCAGAGATATCCTCCCGCAGTACATGAGAGAGATGTGTTCCGAGAGCTATTGTGTTTTTTCGGAATGCCGCACGTTGCCGTCTCCTCATTTTTGGAAGAGATGTTTACTCGCTTGCCTGCACGCACATACATTCAGGTGTGTCGTTACAGCAGTGGTAACAGCTAACAGTCCACCAAACACACCATGGCTTAATGCTTATGCACCATCGCTGAAGTGCACAAAAGTTAGGCACAATGAGGACGTAATATTATGCTGGATACACATCCTGAGAGACACGGAAATAAATAGATGGAACAATGAACCGAGGAAGAATAATCGTGTCGGCCGTCATGCAGGTGCGAGCACGTCGTATGGAGCGGTTTCAACGGCGCGGGCAGCTCGTCCGGCGCCCGGCGCCCGGAGCCCTCGGTGGCGGCGTCTTGCGGAGAGAGGGCGTCCCGCGGGCCCCGCGGAGAGGGAGGCCGAACAGCGTCCTCTGCGGCGCCAGCCGCGCTCGTGGCGTCATCGTGTCGATTTGAGAGTAGGCCTAATTCCGCCCCTTCGCCGTGAGCGACCGCTGCGAGGCCGCAGGGCGCGAGTTGAGCCTGAGCCAATAATCCTTACCTCTGTAGCAAAACACAAACACTAACCGGGAGGCGACGAACCCGGACAACTAAGGAAAGGAAAACAGGGAAGACCCTTCCAGCAGAAACAACAAAAACAAAACAAGATAAAAGAGGGAGAGGATCTCCAGAAAACATAAATGTATGTAAGATCAAAAAGAGAATTTCGTACAACGATATTTCGCGAGATACACGATTTTTTTATCCATCAAGTCGATATTTTCTCCGGGCTTGAATTTTTGAAAGTTGGCCTTGTGAATTACTTGGTATTAATGTGAGGCATTGCAATTTTTGTTGAAACTACTCACTCTTCAGTTGGAGTACAAGTACGTGCTACTCAAGGATAGAAGTACTTTTGCGTGCCCATGTATTCTTGTGATCACTAAAATGCCTGGATTGTCGCGAATTCGGTTCCGACATATGATTGATCGAAGTGTCGTGGACCCAAAAACGCATTTCGCACACAACACAACCATCATTCTCATCATTCGGCAGCTCATCACAAATTCAACCGGGCGGACATGGAAAAAAAGAAGACGTGTTCGAGAGACTATACACACGGAACAAGACTTGTGCAATTACTGAGACATGTTGGTAGAGAGTTTGCATGAGCCATTCTCGTAAAACCCGTACGATCTTGGCTTAGGATACGACACATGCGGTGTACGATTGAAATTGCCTGATGCCCCGGAGTGTAGACCGACCGCTCTCGACCTGCCGGCGGCGCCGACGCATAAACAACGCTGCTATGCTGCAAGTTGCTTGTACACCTCCCTCGCGGCGTTAGACCGCGTCACACGTCACACGACACCAACAGGCTGTGAAAGTGCGAGGGAATCACAGGACAGTTCTGCCAAAAATATGATACTCTACAAGGCGCACAGGGAACAGAACGAGTGCTTCAGTAGTTCCCTTGCAGCAGCATGATCGTCGCCTACAAAAGGAAAGACACGGCAGCGTTGGAATTACTCGCTCACCCGATATACTCCAGCATATTTTGGTGCCGAATGTACTTGAGCACAGACAGCTCCCGTAGCAAATACTTTTCCAAGTCTCGCCCCTGCCGTGTTTGCTTTTTCACCGCCACCACATCTCCGAAGTACTTGCCGATGTACACTGTCGAGAACGCCCCTTCGCCAACGGCAGGACCGATGGTGACCTTCGAACAAGAATGCAAACGTAGTACCACTGCAACATCAACTTTCGATTTGGAATCGCGAAAAACCGTCTACCCTCAGGTAGAGTATCCTCCCCGCCTGGTGCTGTAGTCCCCGTTTGAAAATTCTTTGGCCACAGCGCACCCGAGGCCACTTCAAACCAAACGACTTGAGGGAGGGAAGCACACACCCAATTGCATCTAGATACGTACCCCGCCCGATATTCACGAGGATTTGTCCCCGGCCGTACTACAGCAGTAGTAGGAAAAATAGAATAGTAAATACGTGAATACACAGGAAGACAAATTACAATACCCGTTCGAGATATGCATACAAGTATAACTAAGCAAATACAATTGAAGGGGATGTGTTGGGAGTTTTTGCAGTGAGTGGAGGGAAACCGGTTGGGTACTGGGCTTGTTTCGAGTCTGTTAAGCCTTACACTGATTATTTATACCAGTGGTACCAGCCGGTGCGAAACGCACAAACATCTGTAACATGGCAGGTCAGCTACATTTTACAATACATTCCCTGTAGACGTCCAGTTCTCTACTGGGTCAACGACAAAAATATGCCGTATCATCAGCAGACTTGTACATGTAAGAATACTGCTGAAGTTCTGCTGCAACTCACTTGTTCCTGTTCGACGTAGAAGTCGCTCTCCTCAAAGTCAGGCAGCTGCAGCCCTACTTCATCTACCATAATCCTGTGTGGCTTCGTAGCGTCGGTGGGAGAGGTGGCAGGTGGTATGACATGCCATGCGGTACACTACCACCGTTTGCCGAGGGGGGCAGGCGATGCCATGATGCGGTCGTGTGTGATAGGGGTGCTGGTGGGGGGGGGTTCCGTGTGTGGAAGAACATGCGGAGAGCGAAAGAGAGCTGCACCCGCCAGCCAACAGCAAATACTTGTACCACGTATTCACTCATGTACACCTAGGTTGCCAGAGTGACTACAAGTGCGCACGCTAGTGTTATCTGCAGCAACGTCGATTTGGAAAACTGTTTCTTGTTTCCAGTTTGGGCCAGCGAGCATGACTTTTCGAGTCCCAGTTCGAGCTATAAGGACGGTGACAGATTTGAACCACTTCAAACAATCGCCGGTGAGTGCGAGGGAAGGGTGAATCAAGCAAGGTTCACTTGGCACTTGGCACAAAACTCCTTCTCTGTGTAGCTTTTGGATGCATATTTTCGCACGTGCCATTGCATCTTCTACAGATTAACTTCAGATGAATTTACCTGCACACATTTCAGGGCGTTGATGGTTGATGCACACTCAGGCAGACCCTGCACATTTAGACTAGTCTATATGCACATGAGCCATACCCACTGCTGTGGCTGCGTGGAGAACCAATTTTACGAGAGCACGCAGATGTACCAAGAGCGAATGCGAGGAACAGATGTGTGTTGGTCCCTGCAATAGGGGCGGGAACCCGCACAGATTGTGGCAATTTCTCTCTGATATCGGCCAGAGGCGTGACAAGCCAGTTTTACTCTCGGGCTTTTTTAAATATTCTCTCGAAGCCCTCCTATTTATTTAGTTTTAGTAGAGGGACACATGGGGACACTTTGCGGACACAGCACTCAAACGCCTATTTACTGCACCGTAGTCACCCTAGGCCCCGCTGTGTGAAACGCACGTCATATCCCGTAGTCTATCATGCTTGGCTGAGGTGGTACGCTGTGTGATATGCTGTGCGAAGCCTCTCCTCGGCCTCTGACTTGCTGTACACCATCTCCCAAGCCGCGTCTCCCCTATGTCGTACTAGACTGACCGGGGGCGAGCTAATAGTTTTTTTGGGTTGAAAAAACAGTACCTACAGTAGGCTCGTGCGTTTAGGGGCAGGGGGGGTGGGGGGGGGGGTGTACTCACAGTCGTGCATGCCTTAGTCGTTAGACCATTGACCTCGCATCCCTACACAGCCGGGACGGACGGAGCACGCCGGGTTCTCGACGGACCAGGCTCTCACATCACCAAGCGCGAAGCACCGTGAGGTATTCGGCGAGTCGCATGAAGGGCGCGCTGCATCCTGCTAAGGGTGTTCAGCATCTTGTGCTTACTTCCTTGCGTACGGATGACAGCTGCGTATTACTTAATTTATTTTCTGGTGCTTTCACTTCCAGAGACAGCTATAAGCACTGTGTAACTGCCTCGAGGATGCTTGACCATTTTAACACAACGTGGTGCGATCATCCCCCTTGCGCGGAGTGAGGGTTCTCGACCCTGCACAACATGATCTACTCGACCACCATTGTGGGGGGGTGTTATTCACCATCAGCTTGCAGCGCAAAAAAGAAAGATTCTCCCTGGTCCTCTCTCTGGTTCGAGCTCTCATCCGGCAACTCAAAAGCGTGCTATGGGTGACCAGACTAGCACGGAAGGGACAGGTGGCACCCTAGGCCCTCGCTCACAAGTATAGAGAAGTTTACAGCAGTACATGCATCATGAATGGTGGTGCCTAGCAGCGTGCTGGTGTAACTCTCTCTGTCCTCTCTCTCGCTGATGGCAAAATACGCGCTGTTGTTTTGGTGTTGGTAACAATGCACAACACAACAACACAACCAAACACTTCTTCTCTTCTCTCGCTTCCCCGCCGATAGCTACAGCAGCGTGTTTGTCCATGCTCCCTGTCTCTGTGTAGTGCGTGTCTTGCCAGCAGCAGCTGCTGAGCACAGCAGCAGCAGCGGAGAACCAAAAAAGTCAGTATCGGCACAGATACCTTTAACTCGATGCGCTGGGCATGGATTGAGCTGGAAGCAGTTGCGATAATCGGGCAAAATGTTACTTGTTGGGCACAAGTCTCAGACTCTCATTTGGTGCCTAGATGGTGAAATGAGGTCCAGTCTCGTGGGTTTTTATTGCTCATACATACCCGGCACGACGCAGAAGAAATTATTGCGGATGGCGGATGCACTACTGTTGCCCCCGAGGAGTCGCCCGTTTCTGCTTGCTCAGACTGACCGAGCTCGTTTTTCGATTCATCTGAGACTAAACACCCAAGATATATCCGACACATCAGATATCTGCCTCATTTTTTTCTCAGGGTTAGTTTCATGGCTCGCTGTTTTTGTTTCATACCTTCAGTATGTGCCGAGCAAGCACAACAAGGCGCTGACGCAGTGTTTAACACGATATATTGTATTTCATGTCCTCCATCATGAGCATCTTCATATGGCAGCGTAGGCAAGGCATCCGCTCTAAAACGGCCTTAACTTCATTGGCTACGGTTTGAGAGGGTTTCTCTCTAAAACCGACATGAGAGAACACCGGATTTATGAGAGAAATTTTGGTTTTCCCGACCCTCTCTTAAATCGTAGCCACCACGCATCCCCGTTTTATGTTGAGGTCAATGATGAAAACCAACATATGCTATGTGAGAAGTTCTTGTTCATGGATTAAAGCGTTTCACTGGGCGCGTTGCGCTGTGTGTGATCATGACGGACGTCCTGCCTGCTAAGGGTGTTTGAACAACCTTGCGCCGTTGGCCTCTATGCCGATCGTGGCCCTAATAGCCTCTCTGATTTGCGTTGTATGCCCGCTGACATATAGCCCCCCCCGATTGGGTCAGCCGTTACGCAAAACAAGCTTTCACGTATGTGGGGAGCACAAGTATTGGCTAAAATGTTCATGTAAATTTGCGGTCTCTCGCTTGACAGACTTACAAGGAGCTCATGACGTTCATCCGGTTATGCAACGATGCCGTGATGGGCGTGCGAGCTTCCTCCCTGCAGCTGGACACTCCGGATACGGCGATGGATACCGTTAGTCGAATCGTGAGGATGCTGAGACAGATGGGGAGTTGGGTCGACGATATCCCTCCAATTGATGAACCGATGAGATTCGGTAACAAAGCGTTCAGGTGGGTTCAGTTGTCCGCCTCCTTCTCAAGGAGATCGTTTTCGACTTTATCACACAGTTGGCATTGCTATTTGTCTAGGAACAGTGATTACGATAAGACACGGGGCCCTGATGCTTGCTGAACGCAAAGTGGGACAAGGATAATCAACTTAGGCTTTGAGTTATTGCGCGGTATTTGTGTTTGTAGGTCGTGGTACCAAAGGCTTGAGCAAGAGGCCGGCGGAATGGTGGATACTCTTCTGGAAGGGACTGGACATGAGGTGAGTGGCTCGACTTACTCACAACTGTTTGCGCTATGTTGTGCATCGCACAGACAATTCTGCGGTGAATTCGAAGTTGCCTTCATGCTTTCCATGACCCGAGACTTCCCGTAAATATAACCCTAGCCCCAAGTTGCCTTGATACTTTTCATGACCCGAGACTATCTGCGCGAAGGTATTGTAACCCAACCCTACATGGTTATTTCATGTCGGATGCTGCTTGTGTACGGCAGCAGTATTGTGGTCATGAGGTATTGATGACCCGTGTGCTTTTCACAGGCGGCCGCCGTGGAGTTGGTACCGTACTTGCTGGTGTCATTTGGGCATCCGAGCAGGATCGACTACGGAACTGGGCACGAGACGTCCTTTGTGGTCTGGCTATGTGAGTTGCCGCTTTGTGGACGACTAGTTTCCCCACTCAAATCTCTTTTCTTTTATTGCAAGTTCGGTCAGGTTGTCGCTCCACTGTTTGATTCATTACTGAAGATCTTCCTTCATGGCGACCCCGCGAGTTGAGGCGTCTTTGGGCGGCGGACTTCTGCAAAGCAAAGACCGAGTGCAACCAGTTTTGCAGACAATTTAAATGTGATGGTATTTTCCTGGGTGCAGTCGTAAGGCTGCCGTAGTGCCGGTATGTGCCCAACCAGCAACCCAGCACTACCCTAATGATAACTCGGTTTCGAGCGATTTCACCGGTTCTATACCGGGCAGAGGCCTTCTTCAACCGGCACTGCGTTAGGCCCACAACTGCTTGTTGCTTTTCCCAGGTTGCCTGTTCAAGCTCGGCTCTCTCACGAAAGAGGACTTGGCGCCCGCCATTCTGCAGGTTTTCTACAGGTGCGAAGATTTAGTAGGGTCCGCATCGCTTCTCAAACTTGATTCTGAATGAATTCATTATATTTGGCTGTAAGTCCGTTGCGTGTAGGCAGACAGACGCCTGCACGCAGGTAGAGAGACGCAGAAGCAAACGAAAAGAGACGTACGTAACCACCCGAGCCCACTGGTACGCGTTCAACGGGCAAGATAAACATGAGCATATTGCGCAACCAAGGCGGTCTCGCCTTACACTGCTTCTGCTCTCTCTCTCTCTCTTACGGGTCTGTCTCTCTCTCGCCCTCTTCCACTGCTGTCTCGCTAGCTCTCTCTGTTTCTCTCTCCTCTCTCTCACTCTCTCTTGTCTGTTGGGTCTGGTGTGTTGACCGGACAAAACAAAAGAACAGCCAGGCCCTTTTTGCTCATTTAGAAAGGCTAGATTTCCATCTTTACCCACCCCGCGGTGGGTTCGAAATCACGCCTGAGCCCGTGTTTGTCTCACCAGAAATATTAACCTGGCCACCCCCGTGATGAAATTTATTGCAATTTGCCGATGTCCCCAAACCTGAACTTAAGGGAATACTCAAAACAAACACAAAAACACCCTCCCACGATCGCCCTCACTTCTTATTACATGAATGTCATCGATCGTCGTTCATTGTACAAAACGCGTTGTGAACTCCGTCTGCGCTGCTCTCGCCTTCGTCAGCTACTTGCAGGTGATGCGCAGATTGCAAAGCGTGTACATGCTCGAGCCTGCTGGCTCGCATGGAGTGTGGGGATTGGACGACTATCACTGCCTTCCTTTTTTGTGGGGGAGCGCTCAGCTTATCGATCATCCATCAATCAAACCGCACGATGTGCTCGATGACAACGTGTTGGACGAAGGTATTTCTGGTTGGGGTTGGCGTACATCAAACCTAGAGCCGGACCGATTCTGCTGTCTCTGCCGTCGTGGCTTCAGCCTGCTTGCCGAAACACCAACTTTTCCACCTGCTGATGACCGTATGACATTACTTGACCGCTTATTGACCTGTCCTAATACCAGGTAAACACGACTACCTCTACCTAGGCGCGATTGATTTTATCAAGAGCCTCAAAAAGGGCGCTGCTTTCGGAGAGTGCTGTCCAATGTTGAATGACATTTCGCAGCTACCTTCTTGGAAAAAGGTCAACACGGGCATGCAACGTCTCTACGAAGGTGAAGCACAATGCTGCTGTCGAGCAGCTGTAACAGACGATGATGGATGCACTTATTGTTGTGTGAAACGTGAAATGTACACTCCACGGCACCTTTGGCAATTTCGTGCTTCTCTACACTTGGCCATCGTATGCGACAGGGGATGTTTTGGGCAAGATGCCCGTTATCCAGCACTTCTTGTTTGGATCTTTATTGCCATGCACATGGGAGCCAAGTCCGGCTCCAGCCGTCAATCCTGTCGCCGTCAGCTCTTTCGGAGGTCGAGCACCTTGGGCGAAAGGAGCTCCGGCACCCCCAGATGTGAGAGAAGTCACAGGTGTTGGTCCCCATTAGAACATCGAAACTGTAACGTATGTTGCTTGTATCCATGCGGACATCCTAAAGCCTGGAATTACACCCGGAAGCAGTCTTCCGCGACGGATTTTGTACTGTTTTTCTTTTGATACACCTCTGGTTGTAGTGGTGACCCAAACCTGTGTCTATCCCCTGTGCGGTGCGGGCACAAGAAGATGTGCACACCCGGTTAAACCCTATTTCTCAGGCCCGCGGTGTCTAGCACCGTTGCATGCTCTCACGGCTTGGGTTTTCATGATGTTTTGGGAGATATGTTCATGATCGTTCTGGAGGCCCCCATTTAGGCGCTGCTTACTACTATTGCTGGGGTTCATTCAGACTTGATCTGGATCACTTTCGCCGACTTTTGCACGACCGCTACGATCGCCGTACTTGTGGCGATCCGAATTGTGCATAAAACTTGTCATGCATTCCTTCGTGGTGTACTTTTGTTTCATTTCCTATGATACTGGAAGGCATCACGTGTTGAGCGAAATTCATCCGGAGCGGACCTGAACGGGGGACTAAAAGATGACCCGACAACGTCGTTCTTGTCCAACACTCGCGAATTTGTGATCCATGATTGGCAGGTGCACACTCTGGGAGCGGCGAAGGCGACGTCAGCAAACACCCAACCTACACGTCAACATACGTCAACATAACTATGCAGAATGTAGCTCGGCACAGAGTAACGTGGTGGTACTACAGTAGGGTCGAGACGAACTGTTGCAGGCGTATTGCTTTTGTTGAAGCAGCAGTGTCGTCGGTGGGCTCCGGCTGCGTCTTTCGGTGGTGAATGATGCGTCTTGTACGTTGCTTGTTTACTAGATAATCCCTCTGTTGCCGTGAATAGGTGCATCGTGCTCCATTTGGCGTCGAATTGCGCCTTATCTTCAACTGCACTGATTACAGGGCACAATCGCTGTCTCCTCCAAGTCCAACGCAGCCGCGACAGGTTCTCGTTGCATTGTGCAAAAACCGAGACTCGAAAAACAGGCAGAAAAGATGTTGAGACTGGTCGGATATATTTCCAACTGTGTGCAAGGATTTTTCACGAAAACGGTGCCCACCGGAATGCTGCGAATGTTCGGATGGATCTCTCTTGTGCATGTCTACTAATATCTACTTGTCCATCTATGCCTGTCGCCAGTCTCAATCCGTTCGGTACATGTTGACGCACCCGCAGGGGTCACACGGGAGTTTCTTTTTCTTCCGCCCTTCCGGTGGTTGTTGTTGTGTCCTTGAGAAGGGTTCAGCGGCCCCATCCCTCTTGATTGCACTTTCTCGCCGCGCGTTCCACTGATGCTGAATGGGGAGTTGGTAGTCGCACCGGAGAGATTCAAGACCTGGTCTGTGTTGTAGCTCCAGCCCCTGCGCGAGATAAAGCAGCACAGGGTGGATGTGACTCATACCCACTGGTACAACCCAAGCTTGAAGGTTTGTGGGATTGGCGAGAAACCTAACCGTCGGATCATACAAACGGGGATAATTGTGCCGATGGAAACATGTTCCCATTCTCCTAACCTATGCATAAGTACATACCCTAGCTTCCCGCGCCTCATCACCGGACCTGAAATCAAAATGTCAGCACCAGGTTCAAAGTGTGTATAATAGTCACGATATGGCAGGTGTACTGCTGTAAATTTTTACAAGCATGATGATGATGGAAGAGAATAATAATAAATAGTTTTAGTGTATGCGTATACATTCCGTACTTCGGTAGTGCGTATGTATTTTATTATTAGTGCGCATGTATGCGCACCTAGCAGACGCTGGAGAAGGAGTTGTTCCTCATACGCCCACTGCGGGACGGTAAAAGAACCAAAATAATTTCAGCACAAGAAGAGGCGTAACGGCTGCTGCTACGTAGTATAGTGCAAGTGTGTGTGAAGAGCGAGAGACACGTCATCATCCGGGCGATGCGTGCGGGTGGACTTGGGACATTTTGTGACCATCACCTCTTAATCACACACCACTTCTCGCCCTACAGCTCGGCGAGGGTGTGTCTGCTTTATTTAGAGATGTATGTGTGCATGAGATCCACGAGTACTGACTTCACTTGTACATACAATACATGTGATACGTATCTGTGGTCTGACCGGTAGTTTCGGAGATGGCGGCGCGGGATTTTCGTAGATTTATGCCCACCTCACTCATCCCTCACGGTTTTTCTCACAACTCACGTCCTTACCTCTTCCCCGTTTTTCTGTCCCTCTGTGCCGCGAAGCTCCATGGAAGCCAACAACAGCAAGGAGGATGATATCGAAGTAGATCATTACTTCCTTCCAGGAGGTATATTGGATACGCACCACGAGGAGGATATGATCGGCGGGTCGCTTTTGGATGAAATCGGAGGAGTGGGCAATGTGACGGCGGTAAGAGAGCTCGAGTACACTGTTTTCGAGTAATTATGTCGTCTGGCGAACCTCTGGGTACCTCTCGCTTGCGAAGATGGCTGCGTGATACTCACGGCTGCAGTGTGCTCCGGAAGGTTGACTGTGTCAGATATACTGCTAACCATCCCGCTTGATCCTGTCCCTCCCTACCAGCTCCACCCAGCGAAACAAATGGCAAGTAGGATAGTGGGCTCGGGCCCACGCACCGACCTCCCCCCAGCAGCAACAGCGAGTGACAGACGACCTCAGCAGTTCCATAGGAAAATCACCAGCGTTATTGGTGGAGGCCCGACGTGAGTGTGGTACTGGGTGCTGCAGGTGTTGGTACAGCTTCATTTCCTCATTTGGTGTTTCACAAAGGTATCTGGATTTTGAAAAGATCCCCCCGTCTCTCTGTAGGCATCAACGACCAGCTTGTAAATTCAACCGCGTGTAGACATCGGTCCATTCATGACCTTCGGCCGACGGCGTCAGGGTCAGGGTCAGTTGGACAGTCGTATTGAGCAGAGATTAGAACGTTTTTTATTGTGAAGACATCAACAACAAGAACAACTACTACGCGGCTAGTTGTATGGTGGCATGCACTATTTACTTACTGCTGTACATCGACAGAGAGTTCTGCCAAGGGTACCGGGAGTCATACTGAGACGCCCTGCAAGCCACCTGGCGCCACTGAGGAAGTAATTACATAGTGTTCTGCACAATGCCCACAACCACACACTTGCATACGTTCGTAGTACAAATGCGCCGCCGTTCCTTGCCCGGATTCAACGCTTTGAAACACTTCGCGCGGACAGCCGATTATCTGTGGAAGGCACGAACCCCATGGCGAAGGAATTCACGCCGTCAACATGTTCCATTCCAGCAGACGCTGCCGTAGAACTTCCTACAGGTGATGAAAAACGGAAGGAAACAGCAAGGTTTCATCGATACACCAGACCTGGATACCTAAAACTGGGGCATCTTTAGTTTTATGTTATGACCTACCAGGTACAGCGCACCCATTTCATTGGTACACCACAGGACTCAGACCAATAGGCACCAGCGTTGGGAATGGCCAATTTTTTGAGAGACCATGACTTGGGGCTTTTTCTTGAATACCGACGTAACCCGCCTCCAACCCCCCCCCCCCCCCCCCCCCCCAACCCCACGGGTTGGACTGATTCCCAGCCCAGAAAAATAACCCTCCCCCCCCTGGCATGGAACAAGGCACAAACAGAAACGAACTTTACAACCCCCAAAGAAGATGGCAGGGAGCCCCCCTGCGCATGTCCCAAATCCCGCACCCAAAGCCGTGAAGCGGGGATATCCCCCGCTTGGTGGTTCCCAAGGGAACACGGCCCCCGCCGAGGGGAGGGCCCTGCCGGTAGAAAGGATCCACCAAGGGGCAAACCAAGAACCTAAAAAGCCCCCCAATTGGTTTGCCCCCCCCACG